TTACTCTACATTATTAAAACATGTATTATTTCGAGTATATAATAAGCGATTGTATTATCATTGTTGTAAAAGAAATAATTATCCGTGGCGATTTCGATAAGATGCGGCGTGCTCATGTAAGGGCTTATATTTGTCACTAATTGTCTTAAAGTTTTAATAATTACGCTACATTTTATAAAATAGAAAATATGTTTTATTACTGTGAAAAATAAAAAAGTTTTTTTTTATGTGAGGAAGTGGCAAACGAGCTGGTGGTTCACCTGATGTTAAGTGGTAACCGCCTGCCCATGGATATTTGCAACACCCGTAGGGTTACAGATGCTTAATAATGTGGGCCCCGGCTACCTCACTGACCAGAAGAAACGCAGAAGTGCAAAACTACTACTTTACGCCGCTCTTCTGTGAGGTCGTGGCACTAACCCGGACGGACCTGCCCATTCGTGCAACAACGAACACTGTTGCGTGGCACTACCACCGTTAAATGAAAAAAAGTTGGTCCTTCTTTGCTAGATGTAAGAATATACATAATGACCCCGGATTTGACCGTAGTCTCAAAAATACTAAACTCCTATAGCTATAGCATACAGCTCTTTATAGTCAAGCACTGGTCAGTTTTTATTTAAAGAAAAAATAGTAATAATAGAAAGAATTGTAATCGGACATAAATACAAATGTAGGTTGTTGTAATCTACTAAGTGTTTAGTGTAATAATGAGTTTATTATGAATGGTGAGGTGAACTCCATTATATGTTTCAAGGAATATGAATAAATGAATGACGTCCAGTTGCACTCTACTCATCCGATCTCATGCAATTTCAATGTAAAATGGACAGGCGCTCCGGTTAATATAACAATTGCCGTCCCTGAGCATCCCCAAAACCTATTAGGATGCAGTTGTGTTGCCAGTTTTTAGAGAGTAGGCTCCGGATAACTCGCTAATGATAATGAATCGATAATGAATAGTCAATCTTCTTTAAGTCAGCGTTCTGCCAATAAACATCACGAATGTACCTTTCAGAGTGCCAAGTTCAGATCTGGTCACGGTGCTTGCAACGCCACCGTATTTGGGATGAACACAAAAGCTTGAAAATGGATAGAGTAGTTCTACACTTAATTATACGCCGCTGTGTAAGCCTACCTCAGCTGCCCAACGAAGCGACCAAGGGAAAGTCATTTCATCTCGCCACCGCCCCGCCTCGGGCTCGAGATGAATCTGCTATATATAGGTGGAAATTAGTGGATTCTGAACGGATATGATATTTTTGGTTCTAATACGCGCTGTACATGTCGCAAACTGTGAACGGTGACCCGAATGGCGTAGTGGTTAGTGTACCTGACTCCTGTGCCAGAGGGTGTGGGTTCGATCCCCACTACTGGAAAAATATTGTGTGATGAACATAGTGTTTTTCTAGTGTCTGGGTGTTTATATATGTATAATATGTATTTATTTACAAAAGAAAAGTATGTTTAAGTATGTTTATCAGTTTTTTAGTACCCATAGTACAAGCTTTGCTTAGTTTGGGACTAGATAATGTTGTGTAAAAAGGTGTCCTAAAGTATTTATTTATTTATTTATTTATGATCCTAAAGCAGTATCGTCGTTAACGACAGCATTTTTGAAATTTTTTTCATTTAAACTCAATTTCCTGAGGGGACAGTGAACATCTTTTACTCCGGAGGGTGAATCGGATACCTACTACTGGAAAATATTTTGTGAGGAACATAGTACTTATGTTTTTTGTTTTTGGATTGTTTATATACATATCTATTATAAGTATTTATTCACAAAAGAAAAAAATATGCAAAGGTTGGTGAAAAAAGCTAAGAATTTATTTTTAGCGTGTAATGAAGAAAGACGCAATTTATTATGATGATTATATAAGTGTCTATTTAATCAAACTTTTATTTGTAGTATTTATTTTGTCTATTGGCCGTTTCATTCAAAAGCTGTTTCGATGCAAAAATAAAACATTTTTCTGTGCCAAAGAAGTATAACTTTTACGTATATATGCACTCAGGTTTCCTTTGACATCTGTATTAATAAGAAACGAGGTACGCCACATGTTTTTAAAAGGAAACAAACAGTCTTGTAAGTTCCCTCAATAAAGAGGTAGACGTCAATAGCGACTGTTGTCGATCAAACAACTATTGAACGTCAAACCCGTGACCCTTGATACGAATATTTGCAGGCTGGTACGGGGTAATACTAACAGATAAACATTGTGACATATTGTATTATTTCCTGAGACGATGTCTATTATACTTATAATGAAATAAACGAAAAATATAATGCAAATGACCGTTTAAACATATATTCACAATGATTGAAAGTACTAAACTGAATTATACGTACTTTTTTTCTCATTCTTACGGCTGTTTTTAATATTCTATCTATCTGTACATTTGGTAACTGGAGATAGAATTTTGACGTAAGTACTAAGGAGCTAATGGCAAATACCTATCGCTCGTAATCAAATCTATAGATAGATAGAATATTGAAAACGGCCGTTGATCGTCTTCCAATACGTCATCTCGTCATTTTCTTTAACTACTTCAAACATTTAAAAAAAGGAATAGAGTATTTATTGAAGAGAAAAAAGTATTTATTGAAGAATATTCAGATTAACTTAACTGTTGAATGTCAAATTGAAGCCCGTGACTTGGAAAGCCAAACCTGAAGTAAAGGTTTAGCTTACTTATTATAAAACAAAGTCGCTCCCGATATCTGTACGCTTGGATCTTTTAAACTATGCAACGGATTTGAAAGCGGTTTTCAGCAACAGATAGAGAGATTCAAGCGGAAGGTTTATATATAGTATAATGCATATTATAGTACAGAAAAGCTGAGAAATTCAATATCTCCATTGCACCCGTGCGAAGCCGGGCGGGTCGCTAGTTGTTACATAAAATAACCTCCCATGTTCTATCAATACTTTGGGAGTAAACAGATATAACCAATACAACAGAGATAGCATATTAACATATTACAAATTTATCTAGTCCAAATTCTGACAAGGGTCTTCAAATAAAGTTATTTGTTTCTATTTTGAAGTGAAAAATTATTAGAATATTGTTTCATGACGCCATTTAAAAACTTCGTCGGCGATCGACCGCTTAAAGTCACCAATAGCTCGAAGTTTGTTCCAGTGGAACGGAGCAAAAAGTTTTTTACGCCATCAGCTAATTGGAGCGCTAGAAGAACTTCAATCAACTCTACCAAAGTGAAATCTCGCTAAGGGGGAAAATTATAGACTACTTTAGAGATATGACTTCGCTTTGCTTCTCGTGCACTTAATATTTACAACGCTGCAATCCGCCTTGTCTAGAACATGTAAAAAATGTTGTTAGAGTTCAATTAATTTTTATTAGAAAAAAATTACAGAACTAATCTGTATCGTGGATGTGAAATGTGCAAAGCGCTAGGAACTTAAAATAGAATAAACGCTATAATAGTCTTAATTGTACGTTTTTAAATAAAATTAAAAAGTCACCAAATATCCAGTTAAAATTAATTGTAACGTTTTCATTTATTTTCCCGTTGGTCACTCTTAGGACTTGTGATATTGGCATTATAACATAAGCCAGGCAATTAAATTAAAATATTCACACTAGGTAATATATCCATTCAAATAGTTCGGTTTTCTCGATTATAACAATGATCTTTTAATTTGACAATAATTTATCAGTTCAGAGTCAACACTGAGTAAAAATTAAGTAGAAAATTATTTTGACTTTATTAATTAAATTGCGAACAATATTCCGCAGAGAAAACAGAAAGCTTGCCAGACTACAGTATAGTAGACGTTATTGCTTGGAGAATTCAAAGCTTTATTAAAATATTGTCATCATAGAAACTAGATTAAAATTCAAATATAGGTTACATGAATGGTTTAAGTAAACAATTTAAATAAAAAAGTGGAGTATATTAATGAATGAGGTTTTTATACTTACAATCGATATAGGGAATAGTGTATTTGGAGCCAAATTTTCTGAATGATGCATAAGTTTGTAAGCAATGTTGATACAATAGGTTAGATTTTATTATGAATGGGCTGTTATGAACGTAACGAGATTTTTGGTGGCGATTTTAAGTGCTGACTTATCACGTTTTAGCGGCGAAGGAAAATATCGCGAGGAAACCAGCAAATTTTCGAAATAATGACAAAAAAGCTATGTCAAAGATATGTGAACTCTGCCAAGTCACAGTGGAAACGCGTGGTGGACTATGCCTTATGACCCTATGTATATAAGAGACCTTGAGCCAGCAGTGGTACATATAGAGCCTGTTACTATACTATATTTTTTGTGAACTCTTTTATATTACTCAATTACTAAATTTCGAATAACAGTCACCATAAGCATAGACTGCATAACTTTACTACAGAGTATAAAACAAAGTCATCCCTATCTATGCTTAGATCTTTAAAACTACGCAACGGATCTTGATGTATTTTTTTTTACTAGATAAAGTAATACAAGAGGAAGGTTTATATTATGTATAATACATTGCACCCGTGCGAAGACGAGCGGGTCGCTAGTATTAGAATAAATTGAAAGACACACTCATAGCCTATCTGTGTATCCCTCACTAACATCCCTGCAAACCTACCTACTCGTCGCATTTGCATACCTGTTGACTATATTTTGGGCTCCATCAAATAGCCTTTGCCCCGTAACGGCAACTTTGTTAAAAACTAATTTCCCGCCATCACCCGACGACTTCTACATTAATGCTAAGACGGCAAGCGTCGCTTGTTAGAAAAGTGTTTCTTCTAAATATTTTTATTGGCTGAAATTTTCATTTTGGCCCCTAGGTCAAAGTTTTAAAATTAAAAATATATTGTTAATAATTAAACTAAAACGAGGATTATTATAAATAATTCAAAGAGCTCAACTCGATCTTTACACAGTTTTAAAACGGGCCACAAACGGTGGACTCAGTTAAACATGTTACTGTTGCACAAATTTTTCTGGTACTGAACTGTACTTTTTTGTTTCAGATCCTGTCCAAACGCAAGCGTTGTGATGAAGAGCGCAATGAGAAACTAGGTCTATTATAAAAGCAATAAAATTGTTAAACGTAGAAACCCCGTAGCATATTAGTGACACTGTATAATAGAGTGCAAAACAAAGCGTAGCGTACGAGATCTTCCATATTTAAGCCTAGTGTAGACAGTTGTGAGAGTGCAAAATGTTTGCTAAATACGCCGTCATAACGTTCTTTCCCCGCGTGCGTGTGTGCCCTCCCGTGTCGGTCGATTGTGCGTAGCCCTCGGTGGTATAATGGTAACGCGAGGATGCCGCAGCGCGCGCCCTTAATGCGACCCCTCGTGGTGCTGGCCCTGCCCGGGATGTATTTGCTATACAAGTACAACCAGTACCGCCAGCAGCAGATGGAGACTGCGAGGCGACGGGTCACCGAGCGAGAGCTGATGCACCTTAACACGAAAATCGTGAGTAAACAATCGCTTAGATCTTAACATGATTTCAGTAAATCCAGCGTTTCCATCAACTGGACATATTATTTATTAATTCAATAAATTAAAGCCAAACGGTGAATTAAATATTAGAACGCCATTTTAAGGAGTATTTAGAGGCATTCAAATGTATCATGTTCTTTTTTATTTTATTTTAACCCGTTAAAGAACGGTATGAACTATTTACTTTAATTCATAAATTCTCAGATTATTATGAAATATTATTACATTCATTCTCAGATTTACATAAAGTAGGCATAAAAATATTCAGCGTCTTCGTCAATTGTCAAATATCTCTTTATGCAATAAATTAACGCAAAACGGTTAGTCAAATATTTGCATAACGCTCTTTTAAAAAGTATTTAGCGTTAAAATATATGAAGGATATTTATTCATGTTATTTTGAACCGATATAGAGCGGTATGAACTGTTTTAATTCTCGGATTTACATGGAGTAGACCAAAATCGTTTATTTACATACTGTGTAAAAACTGAAGTAAATATTTACGATTCAGGTTGCGTGTGTTATTTATGCAATAAGAATAAAAGTTATTGCATTTTATTTTTATGATTTATACGGAGTTTGCCTGAATCTTTCGTGATTTTATGGACATGCTGTGAAATGTTTAGTAAACATAACTTTTTTCACGATGTTGTTTGCAGAGATTGGTGACCATAAATTATATGCCCAGGAAACAAAAGTAATATAAGGCAGTATATTTGGTTTTTCATACGCCAAAGAAAATTATTGCTTTTCGCGCGTCCACGAAAATCAACTAAACGACGCACAGTCATTCTTGTCAAAAAATCTATTATCGAGGCAAGGCCGGTGAAATTGAACCCATTATTCAAATGTACGTACTCCACAAGGTCATTCAAAGTTATATAGAACAGAATTGTTATTCGGTTCTCTGTATATATAGTGCCAATATGTTGTTTTGTTTTCAGTTTAGGAATTCATTAACTATTCATCTACTATTTTTTAATTTCTACATATAATTATACATGTAAAGTAATAAACAATTACTGATTGGCATTATTAGTTGATACACACTTGAACACAACAGACGGCAATGAGAACGACATAGATATGCGAAATCGTAATAGGCCTGTGTAGGTCACAATTGGGAGCGCCCGACACGCGATGACAAATGTTTTAAAAGCGTTAAACAATGGTACTAGTAAAAGGTGGTAAAAGTAATGTATTTTTTTAACGTAAATATTTTTATATGATTATTGGCAAGTAGCGTAAGACGTGTGTTCATTTATTGTCGCCGTTGGAACGAAACGCTGTATAAGATCGCAGAATTTCTTGCCGGTTCTTCTCTGCCCCGTCTAGTTTAGTCAACCCTTGCTAGTTTTAACGTTCAATAAGAGCTTAAACTAAGCCTATGTTGAATAAAGAAATTTTAATTTTGACTTTGTAATAGCAAAAGAACTAGTGCAACACAACGTCGCTTGATATGTTAACTCTAAGAAAAGAGATTGTGACAACCAGGAAAAATAGATTGATGCGTTAACCCGTTTCTACAATCTATTTCGTCTAACCGGTCCGGTAAACCGTCAACGGTGGTAGGGCCACACATCAGTTTGCTGATGCACGAATGGGCAGGTCCGTCCGGGGAAGTACCACGACCTCACAGAAGACCGGCGTAAATTAGAGTGAGGCAGCTGGGGCCCACTTCATTAAAAGGTGGCAACGCCTTTGCAACCTTAAGGGTGTGGCAAGTGTCCATGGGTGGCAGTTATCACTTACCATCATACGAAGCGGCTAGCGCTATTTCATGAGAATCGCGGAGTAACTAGTCCATGTAAAGTACTTTAAACCATCGATGCAAGATGGGCACATTTGTAAATGTCCATGGACAAAATATGGTGCCAGCGTTTCCGAAATGAAGAGGCTCTCTTGTTAATTTCTTAAGTCGTACTAGTGCATTAATAACACTGGTGTCAACGAATACCATAGACTTAACGAACAGAGAGAATGTAATCACTACGTTTAACGTTTTGTTAACGAAAAGCGTACTGTAGTGCACTGTCAAACGTTACGTTTGCATCGTTGGTATTTTTTTTATTTCAAAGAGCTTTCGATAAATATTAGTCAAGTTATAAAATTCTGTTAAATCAACAGAGTAGCGAACCTATCACGCGGCTCCGTTCAATTATAGACCCTATGATTGATCTCTGCTCCTTAATTATGTTGATCATTAATTATATTTTTAATACCCGAATGTAAGTAAAAATTTTATAGTATAGTTTAATATCTTCGTCAATTTGTCATAAATTGTGCGGAGTCATCAATGGTTTTGTTGGAAGCTTAGGTTCGCTGGTACACGTAAAATTGCTGATCTTTCGTGACACAAATTTCACTAAAAATGTGTACGTGTGTGCGTACGTACGCACAATTACAATTCACTCGTGATATTTGAAAATTACATTAAGCGCAAATAAGCATGGATATTCTATAACATTTCGCAAAAAAATAATGTTTCAGTGCTCCGCTTTGTCGTTGGCTGAATTAAATTTACTCTATAGCAAAACGTTTTGATGGTTCTAGAATCTTCCAATCAGCACAGTATAGGGCAGTATAGAATAAGCTTATTACGAATCCCATTAGTCGATGCGGAAAATCAGGAAAAGAGCTAATTGTACAAACGATGTCTTTTTTTGGTAGCGGGAGAACATTTTAATTGATAGTTTCCAGGGGAACGATAGAGGTAGGGATAGATATGTTAGACTTGTACTAGGTAAAAGCCTCTCGCAGGCCACCCATAGTGGCGTTCAGCACTACACCCGAGCCAGGAGAGGCGACGTATTTCCCTGGCTTTACATCACGCTTAACCCAAAGCCCCCTTTTAGTAGCCTTGTAGGCAGAGGATACCTTAAGGCTACTCTGAATTCTTGGAAGTAATGGTGTCTACCTTAATATTTTATTTCTATGAAAAGTGAAGCATGTCCATTACCCACTTTCTGGACAAGGGCCTCAATCACAGAGGGTAGTATGATATGGCCGCTCGGCGCCAGTGCGAATTTTAACCTAAAGATGTTTTTATTATTTCAATGACAAGCATTTTCCTCAAGATGTTTTTCCTTATCGCTGAGTACGTAGTAAATCAGTATTGAAAATTGTAATTAACAATTCCACTAGTGAGAAAAATATTTCACAATTTTGAAGATGATGTTGTTTTAATTGTAACATTTTTGTATCTATGTTACACAACCATTTGAATAGATTTAAAAATTAATCATTTGAATTTAAAAGTATAAATTTATCCAGAATGAAGTAGATACAGATCACATTGCGGGATTAGCGACAGTGGTCGAGGGCGAGTTGAGTAGTGATGTGAAATTGTATTCGTATCAAGATCAAGATATAAATTGCAATTTATTTATACATGATTTTCGAATGTAAGAATATTGATTTTTTTGCATTTTTTTAGTGACATCGGTAAATTTATATGATACGTATACTCGAATGGTATTTTTGAAGAAATGCTTCAGGAAATGTAAAGGTACAAGTTATTTTTGAACGTTAAATTTATAATTCGACAACCGTGTCAAGGAAGAACAACGTGTTACACTTGCTCACACACACAAAATATATGATGACATAATTATTTCTACGATACTCCTGAAAAGTCCCTTTACACAGAAAATGCATCACTGTAAAGGACTTGTCTTTCTTTCGCAAATAGGTTTTACCGGATTGGTGCCTTCAACATTTACGACTCCGTCACTACTTAAAACCAGCCCAGATAGCTGTGTACAACTGGCAGTTTCTCAAATAAGAATTATAAAGAAATAGCGTGGTACGGCATGGAATTAACAATAAAAATATTACTAAAACAATTATCACTAACTATATAATGCTTCGATAGAATCGGTTCTTGACGTTTTGCAACGTAAACATCTATCGTAGAAATTGGACGTCACTTCGATGTTCGCTCTGAATTCTGAAATTGGTTATCTCGTTGCGACGTTCGTAACTTCGCTGACTCATTTTATAACTTCAGCCATCAAAGTGTTATAAAAATAAGAATAAAGTTTAACAGAATGAAGAATAAAAGTCAACAACAGAATAAAAATTGTTCATACCCTCCAATTTTTTTTAATTAAATAATAACTTTCGCACACAAGATATTTGTCATATAAATAAGGTTTCACTTGAGACGATTAAATAAATTAAATTTTAATTATGTGCTATTCTTTGAAGTCTCTGAACGTGGTCGTTATTTTGCTGTGTATATTATAAGTTTAAGCTCATCGGTTTTAATCAAATCTCAATACTCGGCTGTCATTAAAGAATATGAACCGGTTGTCAATGTAATCTAATACCTCTAAACAATTCTTGTATATACAGCGTGTCTTTACAATCACGACAATAAATGAACACACATATAGAGGATAACTTTTTAAAATTGTATTAAACATTTACATTCTTTAAACATCAATATTTACAGAGTTATTAAATTTTCCAAAACAAACAATTTTAGAACAACCTTACGTATTAAACTGTAACGTAAAGTTCATTTGTAAAGGTCACAAAGCATATGAATGGGTTGAATGAATTTAAAAGAGACAAAACATATTATTAGAAGGAGAGGCTTGTAATGCGACGCTGTGGCAACGAATGAAAAAGTCTCGGAATGTATGAATCAGTCAGTTGTAGTTGTATAGGATGTTACAAATTTTGTTTCTTGTTTACTTAATTAGTTTGTTTGAAAAATAATTTTTAATTAAGGATTTTTTAACGTTAATATTTTTTTATGATTATTGGCAAGTAGCGTTAGACGTGTGCTCATTTATTATCGCGATGTATACAGCGTGTCGTTACCATCTCAAATATCATCCCAAAAAATAAAAAAGAATTCGGGGGCGAAAAATCGATCTAGCTAGGTTTCATTTTTATAAAATGTCCTTTTATCCCTGTTTTCAGGGAATAAAAATTATCATTCGAATATGACGCTAATTTTCGAAAAAATGTTATAATAACTCGGTCGGTAATCGTGCGGCCCCGAAACAGAAGGCTGCGGTTCGTGTCACGGTCATTTACACACTTTTTTTTTTTTTTTTTTTTTTTTTTCATTTTTTTTTCTATACCAGATCATTGCTTTCTTTATTTTTTATTTTTTTATTTCCAAAATACACGATTTACCAAAAAAACCAAACAAAGCTCGGTCCTTCAGGTACTAATATATTAACTCGATTGTCGATAACGATTGTTGAAGTTTGCTTACAGCTGTAATCCTGTAAACTGACATTGAACGACTATAAACCTGTGTTTTTATCGAATAATTATTGTAATTAGTTAAATTAGTGTATCAATTTCTTTTATAGTTTTAGTATGAAAAAAGGATTAAATATATCAATAAATCATAACTTTAGGTTATCCAAAAAGGTGTGTATGTTTATGCGAACCCAGTATTCCTTAACCCAATATTCTTCCCAGATACGAAGACCTGGGATACGCGGAGATCTAAAACGCGAACGTGGAGCGATTGTGCACAAGTTCAGAGTGCACTATTAATACGTCAGTGCCAAGGTAAAGCGTTGCCCAGAGCGCTTTCCCTCTCGACCCGATAAACTGAGCACAGACTATAAATAACTCAGAGGCTGTTAAAGCAACCCGATGCTCGTTAATGAATGCATATCGGTAATGCTTATTAATTTATCTGTTCGTAGTACTTGTTCGTTAAGAATCACTCGGGTAGTTTTTTGTTGACATACCAATAATAATAAATTCATTATTCATAATCAAACTAATTATAAACAATTGGAGTGTTAATATCACACCATAAGTTGTTCTACATAGTTGGCTCCATAGTGTTGAACTCGTAGATGAAAAAGTTAATAGAAATTATTGACTTATATGAATAGAACATATGCTGACTAACAAACTTATCTAATTTGTTATCGTTTTTACACTTTATTTTCGGATTACTAATTAAATCGTCACTCGTAATGGGATATAAACCAGATGCCTATTAACATTGTACCTACTTATGTATTTTAATCCGTAACAAACATGTTATGTCTTTAATATACTAATATCTAAACTTCAATTATTTAGCAGAGTTAATGAGAGTTAACTTCATGGTTCTATAAACATATTGCCGATAATACTTATAAGAGTTCTAACGTTTTTACCTTGATCCTAACATTTTAACTATTACTGAACTTGAATATTAACAACTATTATAACGACAAGCAGCATTAGTGGTAATATCACCGTCCGGGAACGCAGCCGAAATCCAAGTGACCGCTGCTACATGCGACCATGTGTCCCGTGGCTCGAGTAGATAATGTCATATCCGGTATACAGTGTTGCCAGCGCCAACATTCGGCCGTCCTGCATCACGCCTTCGTCCTCGAATGGCGTTGAAGTCTGGTACAAGTAACCTTCATAAAATTAACACTACCCTGTGGCCTATCTCCCTCAACTGAGATGCATATCCCCACGTTCATAACACTTTACACTGTGGCTTATCCCTCAACTGGGATGCATATCGCCACGTTCAAAACACTTACTCTATGGCTTATCCCTCAACTGGGATGCATATCGCCACGTTCAGAGCATCTTACCCTGTGGCTTATCCCTCAACTGGGATGCATATCGCCACGTTCAAAACACTTACTCTATGGCTTATCACTCTCAACTGGGATGCATATCGCCACGTTCAAAACACTTAGCCTATGGCTTATCCCTCTCAACTGGGATGCATATCGCTACGTTCAAAACACTTACCCTGTGGCCTATCCCTCGCAACTGGGATGCATATCGCCATGTTCACAGTTTTCAGTGATTTACCGAACTTAGGTGGCTTTACCGGTTACACCAGTCGTGTATCGCTACGTTGTCTAAGTACCAGTGATGGTGTTTAAATGGATATCCATCACCAGTTCATGCCTTAAATCTTCCAACTTCTAAAATGCTCGGTAGCATAACCGGGTAAACCAGTTGTGTATCGCTATTTTACATTTTCTCATATATGATAAGTAATTAATTAACTGGAAGGTACTCACCAAAACTTTCGTTACATTTAACCAAAAGATTTTATCACCATTAGGTATAGTAAGTATAAAACACATTGTTTTATTTTACGAGGGTTTATTACACAAGGAGAAAATATGTCGCCGATTGTTTGAACAGCCAAATGCGAGTTTTCGTATTGAATCCCACTTCTGATATAAGAGTTCTAACGTTTTTACCTTGATCCTAACATTTTAACTATTACTGAACTTGAATATTAACAACTATTATAACGACAAGCAGCGCTAGTGGTAATATCACCGTCCGGGAACGTAGCCGAAATCCAAGTGACCGCTGCTACATGCGACCATGTGTCCCGTGGCTCGGGTAGATAACGTCATATCCGGTATACAGTGTTGCCAGCGCCAACATACTTTTTGTAAAAAATATTTATTTAATTCAGTCGACTGATAAGGAATTCAAATCAAACACAAAAACTCTGTGGAGAATTCTTGCATCGTTAAAAGAAAACTCAATCATTCACTCAAAACGATGTCATCAGGACCTTTTTACTCTATCCCAAAACAAGTATTTGACAAACCATAGCATCTAAATTTAAAAATGTTTAAATCAAATTTCTTTTCAAAATCTAAATGTGTATGGACAAACCTAATAAATTTAAGAACGGGCATTAACTTTGTGCGTCTTTATGCAAAAACTGTTAATGAAAAAGGCTGCAGAAGGGCTCTCACCGATATACCTCCAGAAGGAGATACAGTTTGTACCCAGCCATGTGAGAGAAGGAAAGAAAAAAAGGGTATTTTGCACCGAATCAAGCTAAAAGTAATCGAAGGCGGAACAAACTTTGGCAGTTCGTTTTCCGTTAATATTATAACTTGTATAATTTTTAGAAATAACTGTTTATAAGCACTTCGAATTACGAAATTTTTTGTTAACTCATTCCGACCCCCAAAAGAAAGTTCAGTTAAAATACATTATCTACTCAATATAATAAGCGCAAAACCTAAGCCTATAAAGCTGTATTTGCACTGTAAAGATTACTACGTATCTAATCTATTTACAATCTATCTACGTTTGGGGTGAGAGAGGCATAGTATTGCGCTTTCTTTCATGCAATAAATCGTTTTACGGTCGTGCTTCCACTGAACTATTGTGTTTATTTGTAAACATCACTGTTTTCGTGAATACAAGATTTTTATATATCAGATAGTATTTCATAAGTAAGAGCTCGATTTTTTTTTGCGCTGAATCGGCTAGTTCACCCGGGTTTTTTTATGTGAAAAGTTGACAAGCTAGCTGGCAGTTCACCTGATGTTCAGTGATGTTCAATACCGCCGACCATGGACATCTGCTTCACCCGAGGGTGACAGTTGCGTTGACAACCTTTTGAAAATTGGGCTCCGGCTATCTCACTCACCAGACGAAACATGAAAGTATTTGCCATACTTCCACTTTACGACGGTCTTTTCTGAGGTCGTGGTACTTACCTAGACGGGCCTGCCCATTCGTGCAACATCCGATACTGCTGCGTGGCCCTACCACAGTAAAAATATATCAGAAGCAAGAGCTAAATTTTTTTTTCCGCTGAATTCCCGTAGCTGGTACATTCGGGTGCAATAAAGTTTTCCGTGAAATGGGTTGCAGGATATTTCCGAGTGAACACTCACTTATCAAAGTACACTAGTATGTTAGTACAGTGATGTGAAACGCAACGCATTGTCGTTTGTAGCGCCATTTCGTCAATTGCGTTGTGAGGAGGAAGATAAACCGCAGGAGAAGACAGAGAAAACGGGCGCTAAGACGTCGGCACCGATGGCTCTCCCACCACCAGAGCGCAAGGTCCTTCCTCTACCAGCTCCGCGCCCGGGAGTTCAGGTGGCCGTACTGGGGGCGGAGACACCGGTGGGCCAGTACCTGGCGTTCCTGCTGAAACAGTGCCAGAGCATTAAGAAGTGAGTTACGCATCCATGGTAACTTGCGCTACTTAACGTAAACTATACAAAAGACGGTACTTTTTGTGAAATAAAAAGTTGTGCTGGAAGTCGACGGATGCAGGTGGCTCAGGATCGTACTTCGTGGCAGTCTGTGGGGTAGGCCTATGTTCAGCAGATGACTCAAACAGGCTGAAATGATGATCATGATGTTGAAAACGTTGCGTGTTAGATTTTAATTAGAGACGTTTCAGAGTGTACAGAGGAACGCATTCGGAACGCGAACGCATTCGTATCCTAATGCTACGGCTATGCAAAATGCTATTCAGGATTCAAATGATAAATTACACAGTTTGCGAAAATAGTCAGACTGACTTCTTGTAATTTTATTGACTACGTTCCGAATTTCATTTCATAAGAAGTGGTCGGGGACCCGGGACGTCGTTATTTTAAGACACGGCTCATGAAACCGCTCGGCTGCATCCCTAGAGACCGTCAGTCTTATAAGCAGCGACAGGGCTGTCAGAACATGGATCGCATTCCCGCCAAAACTTTGAATTTATTGCGGTCCGCCTTGGGAAATCTATTACACGGCTGCTTGAATTTCTTACGATCACGTCATATACTTATTTTTTTATACATATATGAGCCGCGAATTAAATTGATAAACAACAATGTATAGAAACGACTTTTAGTTCTAACACTTACATTCGCTTCCGAGGCCTTAAATACCATATAAATTGCTTTGTCGATTTTACTTGAGAGCTTTAAAAAACAACTTTTTTTGTGAATTATTTATATACAAATCAATCTTAGATATTTAGGAATAAGACATTTCAAAATTTTACATAGATACAACAAATACAAAGGGCTTAAAATAGACTAAAGACCTTTGAAATAGAAAGGAAAAGCAATTTCATTCCGCTTCAAAAGAAGCGTCAAATGCACCTCGGTATGATGCTATAATGGAATTTATAATGCTTCTCCGTTTGAACGATTTAATGGCTTACTCTTCTAGATTTTTTTAAGGTCAAAGTTTTATCATTAACTATTAAATATCGTAACACCTGCAACACTTTGTTTATTTTGAACTTTGCGTTAGACAAAATACATGCATACACGATGGAATGCCTCGAAAATGAATTTTATGTTTTCTTGTGTAATATTTTTTTATTTCTGATTTATTTTTATACTAGTACTTTCACTACTACAACGTATTTTGGTTGCATCTAGCGTGTCAAAAGCGTCTATTGATCTCGCCTGCGCTTACGAGTAGAAGTAAAAAGATGGGGGGCGAGATGCAAATGTGATTGTTTTAACAAAAACAATACACGCTTCCGTTAAACGAGGTTGTTCAGATGGAGATTCTTTACTGAGGATAATAACATAAACGAGAAAACCTTAAAGATTATTGGAGCACGCCGTTAAGAACCTGACCGTAAGGCAACACCCTAGATAAATAACCTGTGCGGTCTGTACAACATCAAAATATGAGACTAAGACTAAGATTAATGAATAAGAATAATAGTTTTTTCTGACATTTGTCTTAGAGATCCATGTTTATAACTAACTAGTGAAGTTAACGAGATAAATTAAACATATCCAATTATAGATATTAGGCATAAAACAGCTTCAATGAAACCGTCGTTGAAGTAAAAAGTAAAGATATAGTCTATAAAGTTACCACAGCTGGGCAAAGACCTCCTCTGCACAAAGGGTATTAGGGAATTCACCATGCGGCCCCACTGCGGATTGATGGAATTCACATATTTTCGAAATAATTTCTTTTGTTACTATTCCGAAAATATGCAGGTTTCCTCACGGTGTTTTCATTCACCGCAGAGCACGTGATAAGTCAACACTTAAAATTGACAATTGCATTGGTGCCGGCACCGGGGTTGGAAATCAAGTTGCTCAAATATATTGAACTAGCTTTTCACCCGCGGCTTCGCTTGCGTTGAAGCCCTTAAATAAATATATTTCCCCTTTAAGAACCCTTTATAATCCTTTTTCCAATTAAAAAATAGCCTATGTCCTTTCTCAGGCTCTAGACTATCTGTGTACCAAATTTCAATTAAATCGGTTCAGTACTTTTGGCGTGAAAGCGAGACAGACAGACAGCAGCGCATTTATAATATTAGTATAGATTAATAGCAAGCTCTCAGGCACTGAGCTCTGAGCTATCTTTAACTGGCTTCCCAAGAAATAAATTTAAGCTACAATAATCTGTTAAAGATAATGTCTATAATGTAATATGCCACCTGCTCTTCAAAGTGCTCCAAGATTCAAATCATCGCTTCTTTTATTGCCATCGTATCTCGGTATAAATCAATCTACAGGTTGTTCCTCTAGTCTTCTTTCATTATTCCAAAACAAATTATCGATGTTCTCGATCTGGGCTCTTTCAATGCCGTTATCAAAAGATCGTAAGTGTCCATTCACTTATCAGTTCGTTTCAGTCATTCAATTAAGAGACACGAACAAGCGAGATCACAATAAGGTGCTTTACATCTCTTGGGCTTAAATGTTTATCTTAAGGGAGTGTGACCGCTCTTTTGGCATTTGATCTTTTAATCCGAGATCAATGTCCGGTTCATATGCGATTTGTTAATAAAACAAGCGCTAAGTTATCGGATACCCGTTTATTTGACTTATTGATTTTTATAAAGTAATTGACTTTTACTCATCATCATTATCACTGCAGGCCTTATGCCTTTGGCTGAACCGGGTGTAATGCACCGGAGTAGGCCATAGTCGCGCCAGAGCAGCGTAAGATTGCGTCTACGTGTTCCCGACTCCCCGGCCAATAGGACAGAGACAGGTCCAACATACCCTTGCCACTCCCCCGATCCGGTGGCAGGAGATCGATAAAGGATTTTAAGTGAAACGTAATATGTCTCCAAAGCTCTTTATTCCTAGGCTTTTACCACCAAGCCTTTACGTCAACGCCTACATCAACAACTCTAATCACATGCAATCTAATAAGAGTTCAATTCAACAATAAGCCCATTCGTATTAACATATTATTAGAGAACTCTATTTGCGACGAGAAAGTCGAGAAAGTTTTCATCTTCTACAGATAGTTATTACGAGAAAGAAGGAAACGTAATTATATCCACTAATACTCTTATAGTTCCTTCTTTCTTCCTTCTTTCAAAGTCTATTTTCTATTTCCACAGATAGAAACGATATTTCTGACAAGCTATGTACTTCCCGCTAATCGAATATCGGAAGATTCGATTCGCTCAAACGATCTCATTTTATGAAATCACCGCATATGCCAGCGCGGCCGCATAAAATCCGCCACGGCCTGTCCTCGCTGGGACCGCTAACGGATTGAATGGTCGCATCAAAGATTTACGGAACCCGCGTACGCACCGTTATACGGGTCGTTCAGCGAACGCAATAAAGGCGGCAAAGATTTTACGAGTGCCCTCGTGTCCGCCTGTTTATCATGCCTTTTATAGTGGGGAGGTGATAATACCGGTCGTTACATGCCTTGGTACCGCGCTGATTAAACTTTTACGCGACTGTATATCGATGTGTCGAATCCGATTTCTCTGCGACCGTCGAATGCAGTACAATCGATTATCCCTCATTAATATTTCAAGCTCTATTGCTGGCTCTGTTTAAATCTGTCATGTTAATACACATTTATACTTGAAACATATCGGTACTAGGCCTAGGTGCACGGTTTAAACGCAGTGGTTTTTAACCGTGTGAATTTGTGAATCAAGTAAGCGAATACAAACAGAACTTTCGTAATTCATACAGCAGTTATAATTACAATGTCGCCAAGGCAAGAGTGAATAGGGTGTTATGGAGCTAGTGTGTTTACCATCTGTGTATATTCCATCTTACTTAACATCAGGTGAGATACTACTACTGATGTACTAGCCCGTTTTTGGGTAGAAAAACTAATAAAGTTGATGAAAAGTGGGCCCTACTAATTATTATCTATACAGCCTGTTATAGCAAAAGGCAACAAAGTATGTATTTGTTTAATATTATATTATAAAACCAAAGATAGTTAATTTTTATTTTTTAAATTCGATTCGGTAATAATCATTTATCACAACCCGAGCAAATTATGGACACGAAGAAGTGCAAGAACTTATAAATTAAATTTATTCATCAAATGTAATCTAAACGATTTTCGATCATCAAATTAGGTCGTTGGTACGTCGAAGAATATTCTCAACAGGACAAAGTGCCTCGTTATTCATAATTGGGTCTGCGACATCCCACGACAATATATTATGTCGCTATTTTACGTTGCCATTATGTAAGAGCTTGGCAATTCCCGATTGGGCCATTTTCGTATTACGACCGATGAGTTAGCAGCGGCAACTCATTTTGTATCAATATACTTAACCTTGTATTGCGGAGTGTTGTATTGCTCGTTGTTCTGATCGCCTGGTGCCGTGAATGTCCGTGGGTGTTGGTGACTCAAACACAACAAAAAGCGACCGCTTTTATTTTTATTTTTTTTGGTGTAAAAGTGACAAACGAGCTGGCGGTTCACCTGATGTTAAGTTAACCGCCGCTCACGGACATTAACAACACCGGTTGCAGATGTGTTGCCACCTTTTTAATCATGTGGGCCCCGGCTACCTCACCAGACGAAACGCAGAAGTGTAACACTTCTACTTTACGCCGGTCTTCTGTAGGTCGTGGCCGACTGGACCGACCCGGACGGACCTGCCCATTCGTGCAACAGCGAATACTGTTGCGGGTCCTACCACAGTCGCTTGTTTGCAACCAGCTCCTGCCGCTATTGAACTTAAAATTCTTCTAAAATTTTCTTTTGTTGTGCTTAATCATTGACGGTATTGTCTTTATTTGATACCAGCTGGTGCCCGCGTCTTCGTCTGCGTAGCATTAGTACTTCGAGTAGCTATTACATAGATATTTTCGTTCCAAGGTCCAATCTAATAATATCTTTATACCGAAATGCATTAAAATTTGTTCTGAGGTTAGTCGTGAAGTCGCATTCACAGACAGACAGAATTAATTTGAGAGACCCTTGTATCTTTATAAATTATAGCCTATGTGCTATTCTGCTGCATAAGCTATATTGTTATTTTTAAGTTTCATTAAAATCCATTCAGTAGTATTTGCCTGAAAGGTAGAGGGATTCGAAATGTACTTTAAATTATTCTTCTATTCATTTTGCTTCTATACAGAGAGGTTAAAGCAAACATTAAGCTATTACTTGTCGATTCCACGATCCAATATTGATATTCCCGAATTTTATAACACATAAAGGAATTTCAGTATTTGGACCTCATATTTATTGTCTCGGAATACTTGTTATTACGATTACAGAATATTTGTTTTTGAAGTATTAGGTAATAATATTCTTCTCAGCTACCTCGGACGATTCGCCGAAACTAATTTCGATTTACTATACTGCGTAAACTGAAGCGAACCATCAAGTTACTTACATTAAGTTTTCAACATTTATCACGAAAGCTAAGTTTTCACAACAAAACAAACGAAGCATTTCAGTTTGACTTCTATTTACGCGCGACGTGACTTTTTAACTGATGACGTTTGGTAATAGTGCTGCTATTGAAATAAAAAAAATCAAGTGGGCAGAAACATCTTTAAAAAAATTAATTCTAGCTGGCAGTTGGAACCGTTTTTAGGAAGATTTTTCACTATGACACGCAAATGCAACCTTATATACTCACTAACCCTGAAGATTCACGAAATACGGCATTAAATCAATAATGTGATAGTTAACAATTAGTTGAAAACATTTAATGTAAAATATGTGTTACAAGATATATGCGATATATGAAAACCAACAAAAAAAAGCCTTTCCAAAAACAAAATACACTACAACGAAAGATCAAAGTTTTAGCAAACTTACGAATGCTAATGTAGAACTTTGGCTTTGCGTTACTTATGTCTCCATAAGCAACAGAAACGAAACGTTGGAGCAACGACGCGCCCCTCTGTTTCCACGGTCACGTAAAGTCCGGGATTCGATTCCAGATTGCGCCTGTACGCGGCGAAGGCCACGGACCCGCTCTGCAACCGCGACCTCTGCCAAGTGGTGCAGGACTTGCATCATATCGACACCAATTGTTTCGTGCAGGCTTACAGTTGCGCGTGCAACGAGCTGGGAAGAAGCTTACAGGTGCAGACATGTCTATGATGTTATATACTGACACCTCTACACGTATTACTAGTATACTGTCTATGTTTCTCAATTCCAAACCGGGTACTGCTTCACTACTAAGCCACCCAATGCTAACTTGTTATGCAGTGGCGGATTTGTAGTCTTGGCCGCCCCAGGGCCCAGCCCATGTAGTAATTTCCAGCCGCCCCTTTCTCAGTGCCATCGTATATCTTGTTATCATTATTGATTTTTTTTGTTACGATTGGCGGCCCCTAATATGTGGCATAGGCCCATGTCTATTGTGTACATCCGCCACTGCTTTAGTGTACATTATTAAATAAAGACAGTGATTTTGTCTGTCCGTGCACATATAACTTACGAACCTGGGGCCAGATTTGTCCACTTCTATTAGTATTACATTATCTGACGGGGTTTGAGTGTAACAGGTAAAAAGTAATTCAAGTAAACTAATCGTATTCACGTACAGAACTGTCGATGTTGTTTTTTCATATTATTTCCCCTTTAGAATGGTTCAAAAGGAATTGTTGCTATTTAAGTTGTTGACCTATTTGAAAGGGCTCGTGGTGGAGTGTTCTGCGGTTTGTAACTGCGGAAATGTAACGCAATAAGCCTTCCCAGAGGTAGGTAACCGTTTGAGGAGCGTACCCTCGAGCATCGTTGTATTTTTCATTCTTTTTTCTTCAATAATTTACCGTTGCGTCATCACAATCCACGCGCACCGTTTCGAATGTTTCTCCTTACTATTATTATTATTTAATTCATTAGCCAGGTTATTATGAAATAGTACATTTTTAAAAACATGTTAAGAAACTACGCCACGGACCCCACTGCGGATTGGCAAACTTCACATATTTTCGAAATATTTTTCTTTATTTATTTATTTATTATTGTACACAAAAGATCACGGTAACAAATGACAGATTAAAAAAAGGAATATACAAAAGCGAGCCCCTAAACAGTGTTCTCTACCAGCAAACCTTTGATAATTAATAACAGGTGAAAAATCATATGAAAACAGGTAGGTGTATTTTTTTTGTTATTATTTCGAAAATATGCAGTATTCCTCACGATTTTTTACTTCACCGCTGAGCACGTGATAAGTCAGCACTTAAAATTTAACAATTTCATTTGTGCCGGCACCAGGGATCGAACTCAGGTTGCTCGAGTATATTAAATTAAAGTCGAGCGTCCGGACACTGAGCCATCACGGCTCTTATGAGCTGCATCACGGCTTATATGACTCAATTAATTTTCAGTGACTTTTTTAAAAAATTTAACACAAGAGGGAAAACGATACATGAATTAAAATCATGTCCGTACAAAAAATTATTTGACGATAATGCACGTTAAATACTTCCGCAATTATGTAGATACTACAAACAATGACTATACGTACACATTTTCATAACGGCACTTACCAAAGTAACTTTATCGACTGCATTTACGAGGAGAACAACTTTGGGAATTTTGCTGCGGCTACCCCACCAACATACGCTTTGAGCTGTAAGTGCATGATGCATCATTGGTATGAAACTGGGTCTCTAAAGTAGGTCTCACGTGAGGCCTACCATCAACGTACCGAACCTTTTACAGCGTACATACGAAATTTGCATATCTGAGACTACACCGCACACGGCTCCACCACAGCCGCTTTGGTTAGGAGCAAACTTGCTCCAACTGTTCGCGTAACTTCATTATCGCCAATTCTGCAGTCAGTGTAATATTGGGCGACCAATTTACAGATGAGAAATATGAAACATTACCAACAGTCGACGATGACGATGATAATATCACGTTTGGGGAACGATAACAGTTAAGCCTTTGATTAAAAATAATTATAGTGAATTGAAAGAGGTTTGCGTTAGTAAAGTTATAAAATCTCGTTACGTTTCTCCCTACTTTTTTAATGCTACATTGTGCGATGTGACTCAAAGATCACGTGTTGTTCGTCGAAAATGTTTCAACTTCAAGCTAACAGCATTATAACTGTCATTTAAAAATTATACATCAGCCAGTGTTTGAAATTCGAACGAAATCGTTACGTATTCGGGGAATTTCAACTTCGAATGTATTCCGATCTCTTGTGAAAGGTTAAAGCGAAGGTCGCCGAACAATGCCAATAGAAGGCGAATTGTTTTTTTGCGCTCGACTCGGTTCGTTTGGTCATGCATGGCATTTGCAAGTGAGCGGGGAGTGGCGTCGACCCCTGCCAATCAATACAACAAACTACCCCCGACCGCGAAACGTACACGAATACGCTTTGCACGAATCGACGGCCCCGTCTAATCTCGGTGATACGCGAGCCGAGGCTAGTGCCTTCTCCCGTAATCGTCTCGTGCAATAAAATTGAAGGAAATTATTAAAATTCCCTTATTAATGTGCTTTTACTCTAACATAATATAATCATCTTCATTGTCATCAGCTTGTGTGTTATTCACCCACGATCAAGCCTTCGTGTAAAAAGAATAAGGCAACAAATGTTTCCTGTTTCAGTATTTTTTTTTAATTCAATTATTTTTGTTTGGACTGGCGCAAAATATTGATTTAAAAGTATAGCGTAGTTCACGCCCTCTTTTCTTCGAATAGAAAATTAATAGAAAGAGTCTAACACAATATCTTATTTCCAATAACAGGAACAGAGTTTAATTATTATTTTTTTTATTTTTTTAAAAATTAATAATGCCTTTAATGTTTTATAATTTCATTCGTTAATCGTATGTAATAGTTAACACTGTTTTTACTTTAATGATTTTGGCGGATGACGTATCTATATATGACTTTTTGTTCTTATGCGCGGTGGCAAGCGAGCAGGCGGTCCACCTGATCTTAAGTGATAACTGGACCCCGGCTACCTCACTCTCCGTACAAAAAGAAGTATAACACTTCTACTTCGCGCCGGGCTTTTGTGAGGTCGTGGTAGTTACCCGGACGGAGCTGCCCATTTGCTTCGTGGCTCTACTACACTTTGATTTTGGTCCTATATCGTTTTATTAAAAAAAGTGCCTCGGATTTGGCTTTTACGGGAATAATTAAACATTGCGCTGAGTACTGTAGAGCTGCTGAAATGGTATCCACTCGAACAATAATTTTACTTAAACACGATAGAGCGGTTAATGCCGTCTGGTTATTGTAGGATTCTATTGATGTGTATGACGACAATACTTCTGGGTGGTTTAGGCGGATCTTGATCACGGGCAGACCCTAGGACTTGTATGGTGAAACAGTAAACAGTGATTATCATCTTTATATATAATTGAAATGAAACGATGGTGGCCCAATTTAAAGACTCGGCAGGTTACGGTGCTCTAGGAAAACAAAATCAATGGGATAGTGTTTAAAGTTGAAAATCGCATGCAACAAGCACTCTCTCAACGGGTGCCAATGTGTCTATGCAGACGACATAAATCACTCGTGCGCCAACTCCAATAATTGATAATGGCCCGTGCCTTCAAGCCACTCCAAGCTTCGAGACGCCTTTTTGAAACTAATCATCACAGAAATTCATGGAAGCGAAACCTTAGTTGTTCGACGTCTATAATTATGTTCATTCGATGTGTCATTTTGACTATGAGTAATTTAAAAAAAGTATCAGTTGTTGTACGTTAAAAATTTCCCATAGACAAACACCCAAATAAGTATTTGGTTTCATAAATATTGAATTTTCTGTTATATCTTAATTTTGTGAATTGAGATTCTGTTTTGAGATGGTCAGTTTCAAGTTTTTTTGAATAAATTTTGATATATTGAATTAAAGGCGAGCACCCGGGCACTGAGCTATCACGGCTCTAAGGTAACATACAGGAATCATTTAATGATGTTTCTACGTAAGCAAACCTTTTAAATATATACATTAGAGATATGGCCGCGGACGGCATCCGGTAGATTTAATTTTCACCTACTTCCATCTGAATACACGTTACACACGCCAATTAGCAATGAACACAGTGTCGGTTCGCGTGGCGAGGCTGTGGCCCGTAACACCCCACAAAACAGGGTGTTTAGTCAAGATTCCAGATAGCGGCCAAAGTGGCTGGCTATCGCGTGACGCTGGTCAATGGGAACACACTAATGATTAACGCCGTGCCACTTATTGGGCGCTAGTTTAGCCACCCCTGGCCGAGCCTCACCGCTCTGCTTCGTTGCCGGTCAACGACCTTCAGACTAAGTCTGTGTGCGTGGAAACACATTCATTGATTTGTACTTATATACGGTTCTCCTTATATAAACTAGCAACCCACCCCGGCTTTGTGTGGAATGTGCATATAAACCTTCCACTTGAATCACTATATATTGCTGAAAACGGCATTAAAATCCGTTATGCAGTTTAAAAGACCTAAGCTTACAGCTTTTAACAACGGGAGCTACTTTGTTTTATACTATGTACAGACTATTCTTACCCATTTCAACATCGTGATTCTGACTAATTTAGTATTTTTATAATGTGACAATAGCTTCAGATACATCGGGAGGTCTGAGTTGCGGTCAGCCCCGTCTCTAATATACGTATTATCGTTTTAAATTAAACACGATTAAATGCACAAAATTGGTTTCCTAATAAACTAACTCCTAAAATACTCTCATAGAACTCGGACGTAGTGGTAATGCTGGACGACGCGTGCGCGGAGGATCCTATGGAGAAGCGGTTCAACGAACAGGCACCCTTGGTGAAGAGGTACGCGGACGCTATTGCGAACGAGTGTCCCAAGGCCTTCATCGTTGTGTGCACGACGCCCGTCGACTGCATGGTGCCCTTGGCCGCTCAGGTTGGAACCATGTCGATTTAAATCGCTCGTATAAAGGCTGAGGATTGCAGCTGAACCGAGAGAGGGAAGAAAGGTGGGATTGTGGTGTTTAAAGTCATGTGACTAGCAGAGTTTTGAGTATGAATGTGTTTGAAGGGTAGTGGGACACCGAGAAAGGTTTGCATGGACTGTGTGAAGAATGATATTTCTGAAAAAGGTTGATATACGAAGGTGGATGGAAAGGACACCCTGTGCCGATACCACCTAGTATGGGACAGGAGAAAGACATAAACCCAACGAGAGAATCCCACCTATTGTGGGACAGGAGAAAGTAGCTGTGGTTTTCTAGTGTCCAGGGATGTGTTCTCCCAATCTTAAGGGTAAGATCCCAGAGGCAAGGTGGAGTTACTGTTTACAGATATCTAAGGACCTGAAACCACTGACGTACGATTACCCTAGAAATACGTTCCAACAATGCATATACAGTTGTTTATATGTAGTTGTGAGTTTTGGCGTGTTTTAATATAATTTATCAGAGTTCTAATTTGATTTTGGACTGAAAATCGAAATAGGAAAAACTGTGGACGTTATTTATATTAATGATTGGCGAAGATAATCATTCGGGGAAGCGGCATCTTCGATATATTGTTAGCTGTTTTTCATTCGGATTTGTAGGTGTAACTAGATCGAGCGACGTATTACAGATTCAACGGGAAACTTTACACTGCCTTTTTTAATATACGAAAAATTAAAATGTCATTGTCACAGTGTGGGGGAGCGCTAAAATCACTTCCAGCGCGGAATTAACTTTGTTATCACAAATTAGACACACTGAATCACAACGTATTACTTCGTACGAAAAATTAATAGTTTTCTTTAGTTTTAAAGTATATCGATAATGTGGTGCTATACAAAGGAGGTTTAGATCGCTTTGAGGTTGTCCAATAAGCTACCAACACATTGCTAATTATTGATTAATCAGCAAACTAGTATGATTGCGAATGCGTAACACCAGCCCCGGCAATACTGTTAGGCGGGCCGTAAAGCTTTACGCGGCAATAATACCGAGCCATCAGCACTTTATCGCGGGGGATATGAGTCGTTAATTCCTGGATATGGATGTAATCAGCGCCCGTTTTATGAATACGGGCCATACGAGCCTCCGCTCCTCCGTTTGGCTGCGATTGTTACACGCGGGCGATTGATTAAATATCGTTAATAAAATCCTTCGTCAAAAGAATGTCATGTTAAACCAGCTTGCTCGCTCAGATCAGGTCATAAGTTTTTCGTATGTATTTTAACTGCTAAATGGTTAAATTCTATATAAATTGCTTCATTAAAACAATAGAATATGACGCGTTTAATTTCTAGGCTTGAGCAGTTCCTGACAACGAGTCATGTTACAGTTTGATATAATATCGTTAAAACGTTGTAAACTAAACGCATTAATGTAGAAATAACAAGAAAATATTTCATTTGTAACATTAAATTTACTTTCTCTATATAGTCCTAAGACTTGGATAAAGTAAAGCTTCGTAATATAATGTTTAATATACATATTGTGTATGTACGGAGGGGATTATTCTTTTTTGACTTTTGACTATTGACAAAAATAATTTCATTCTCAAAAACTTTGTATCTATGAACAAATTAGTTTTTCAAAACAATTTTTTTGTGGAGATGGCACAAAATTCTTTTTGCAAAATTTCCTTAATCAACCTTCGGCAATTAGTCCTCTCTGGAGTCGAATTTATATTGGTTTAGTATCTAAACTGCGAAGCGATAGATTTGTAAAATGACCTTTCCTGATTCACATTCCAAGGTCTTAATATTATGTATATTAAGGATTGGATATTTTTCTGTTGCCGGTTCTAATTTATTTAATATCGTTCAAAAATCGTTTGACAGGTTGACAGTACAGTTCGTAGGGGAAAATTAAATTGTTGATATTTCGATTTTCCATCAATTTATCAATAATTTCTCATCGTTTAAACCTTCCCTAGACTGCCAAGAATATATCAAACCCAAAATTAGCTAAATCGGTCCAACCGTTCTCGAGTTTTAGCGAGACTAACGAACAGCAATCCATTTTTATATATAAGATTTTTAATAAATTAATTTTAATTTCTAGCTAAAATATCTAGACTTTCCGGCTATGAAGAAATTTCAAGAAAACTTAAATTTCGACGTGAATTTGTCATGAAAACTGCGCTAAGTATGTGTTAGGAGATAGAAAACCAGGGAGCGGGCCTGATGTTAAGTGGTAATCGCGCGTGGACATCCACAGCATCCAAGGGGAAGTTATAGTATCACCAACTTCAAGAAGTTGCAATATCATCTCACCAACCTGATTAAACCGAAAAGTATACTTTACGGATTTGTAGGCTTTGCGGCACTAGACCCCAGCCCATGTAGTAAGTTTCAGCCGCCCCTTTCTCGTTGCCCATCATACATCTTGTTATCATCAGTGATTATTTTTGTCACGATTGGCCACCCTAGGTCCGGGCCTATTGGGCCTTAGAGAAAATCCGCCACTGCTTCATCGGTTTTCTGTGAAGCCGTAGCTCACCCCATGACCAGCCTAACCATCGCTGAAACAGCAGAGGACATTTTAGGGCCCCCTCACAAGATTGTTTCACAATCAAATAAAGTAGGCCAATCGACTTTTTCCCGAATGTTCCGTGTAAACGCGTTACAGTTTCAGAGTAATCGCGCAGCTACAAAAAATCATTAAGGCCTATTGTACTATGCTAAAACCAGCTCTGCGGGATGACGTATTGGACGAACGCGTCTGTCTAACCGATTGTTCTCGAACACAATCAACTTTATAGGGCTATCGAGTCTGATTATGTTTGCTATGGAGTTATTTTGCTAGTATTAGTTTTTGCATTCTTCGCATTTTTGTGGTACTCACATTTTGTATTGATAGCGGAGCGACTAAGTGGGTATCTCGCCTAATAAAGTGGTCTAGGTACGTTGACCGGAGACGAGCTCTCAAGTTGACTCTTAAATAGTAGACAGACACAGCTAGACATTAGCGTTTCATCGAGCTTATATAGTATACAGGAGAGACATAATTATGTGAAACTGCCATAACTGCTTACTAACTACTAGGTTATATATAAATTCTTTGTTAAATAAATATTTAGGACACATTTGTACACAACATTTTCTAGTCACAAAGTAAGCAAAGCTTGTACTATGGGTACTAGAAAACTGATAAACATACTTAAACATACTTTTCTTTTGTAAATAAATACATATTATACATATAGAAACACCCAGACACTAGAAAAACACCATGTTCATCACACAATATTTTTCCAGTAGTGGGGATCGAACCCACACCCTCTAGCGCAGGAGGCAGGTACACATAACAGGTCGTCATATAATTTGTAATTAATTAGTTCGCGATACGCGTGATGATAGGTCCGCCACGCTGGCACTTGGTTTGCGCAAATGGGGATGATTGTGTGGGCAAGTACCTTAGCTCCATAGGCAGTGGCAGATTTGATCCGTTAGTCGCCTAGGCACATTGAAGATTGCCGCCCCGCTACTCACTGTAAAGCACAAAAATTAAATTAAGTAAAATAAAATGTAAAAAAAACAACGAAAGTCAATTACTGATATCTGTTCATGAAGCCAAAGAATGGTACCTACTCATCAGGCCCGCTTGACTTATAATTATTTTTACGAGATATTGCAGACGCGAAGGAGCGAGAAGCGAAAGACAAGACTACTAAAAAAACCCTAAGTTTTACCGCCCTCTTAATTTTGCCGCCAGGCCCGGGCCTAATCTGCCTTTAGGAAAATCCACCACTGTCCATAGGAGCTATGTGAAGTAATAGCGTTACTTTTGCATTTCGCCTTGTGGGATAATTTGGCCAACTCTTTAAATGGTTGGCCGCGCATTTAAGGTGTACTTATCACCGCGATTGTAACTCTATCTGAACCTAACAATATACTTAAATCAAGTATGTGAACACCGCTTCTAATGCTTTAGTAACCCGATACACTGTAATATCATAACCTTTTCAAACAGTCGCTCATGTAGCCACATTACACTTACGCGATATCGGCTTGACCTTGCTACATTATCCGGCTTTCAGAGTACTTGGGAACGCGACGCCATTACAATTAAGGAAACCCTCACGATCCCGTTTAAGCCGCATTCTTACGCAAATTGTGCTGTCAACGTTATGTCGAGTGCAAAATATTGATCACGCATCTGTATATTGATTGTGAAAAGTTGTCAAGCGGGCAGGCGTTTTATCTGATGTTGATTGATAACCGCCGCCCATGGACGCCTGAAACACCCGTAGGGTTGCAGATGCGTTGCCACCATATCATAAAGTGGGCCCCTGCTAGTAGTTAGTGCAGTAGTAGTGCAGAAGTATGACACTTGCACTTCAAGCCGGTCTTCTGCGAGGTCGTGCAACAGCCGAAATTGTTGTGTGGCCGATTTTGACAATTATTTTTGTGTTGGGTTCGGTTTACCTTATATGTGGGCTCATATAAACTTCGTTAGTTTTGAACCCCGGAGATGCAAATGAATAGGGAGTGTAATAAAAATGCTGACTCGGCAACCGAACACATAAAATATTTGACAGGTAACACAGACACACTTGACAGGTTGACAGGTACAGTTTGCATAGGAAAATAAAATTGTTACTATTTCGATTTTCCATACAATTTTTCCATAATATCTCATCCTTCAAACCTTCCCTGGACTGCCACGAATATATCAAAACCAAAATTAGCCAAATCGGTCCAGCCGTTCTCGAGATTTAGCGAGACTAACGAACAGCAATCCATTTTTATAAATAAGATTACCGCCGCTCATGAACGTCTACAGCACCTGCAGCGAGACTACAGATGCGTTGCCAAACTTTAGAAAAAATTGAGCCCCTGAGAGCTAATCTCTCACCAGACGAAACACAAAAGTGTAATACTTACACTTCACGCCCGGTCCTGTGTAGCCGTGGTACTTCCCTGGACGTCACTACCCAGCACGAGCAGCTGCTGCGTGGCCCTACCACAGTTCAAATTCAACTTGTCTTTGCAAATTCAACTTTAGGTCCGCGTTGGGATCAATTATTGCTGTGCATTTGGTCCCACAACGGACCAAAAGTTAATGTGATCCACAAAAGTCGCTCCGAACCTAAGTGTACATTGCGTCATCGATTGCATTTTTGACACATCACGTAACAAAGATAAATTCTTTATATATTTTATATACTATTACTACTATGTATTTTAGGATACTTCAGATATTTTGTTATATTGCGCGTAATGCAATAGTTTAAATTGATTCGTTTTAAAGATCAAAAATAATAATTTATATAAAAAAGAAATAATAGAAATTATTAATATTGTACAAAAAAAATTCGATAAAAGCAGTAAATTTTGGCTTCAGATCGAAATTGCCATTAAAATAAGTCTTTAAGTCGATTACAGTACGATCGGCTTTTTGTGATGGAAACGTCAGCGACTTAAGTCCTAAGGGAATTATTTATATCGAGTGTCAATATAACAGATTTTGTTAAATACAGTTTAAATTATAATTAGTTAATTATGTTCGGCTTTCATAGAAATATTCCAATCCTGTGCTAAATCTAGCTTATAATAATATTTAGGCTTTACATTGTAATAATTACCAAGTGAGTATAAAATATTAAATATCGATCTCCATCTTTGTTACAACTATCGACTACGTATTTATTTGATTGAGAATAATAATATAAGATAAAAATAAATTAACTGACGGGAGGTAGGGTAAACCACTACACCTATAAAAAATTGCAGGAAGTCTTTATATGCATATGGTTTAGTAGTTTGGGGTGGTCTTTAAGGCTCAGCTGTGGATGTTAAGTACATGTGAAAATTTATTTGCGTTTTATCAGTTGGCTGATACAATAAATTTGTTTTGGTGTTATGAACGTGTTTGAGATCGTCGTTCGTATTCGTCGTTCAATCGAATTTCAAAAACATCTACAGGGTGATGTTTTGTACGTAGTACATACTTTGACATAATGTTTATTGAGCATTCTATAATTCAAAAAAATACAAATATTTTATTTTGACAAGAAATAACCAGAAAAATATCAATTCAAATATTGTTTGTTTATACCGTTAAGAGTGGTCACCCTAGTTTAGCGAAATTTTTAATGCTCGTGAATAGGTTATTGTATTGTGCAGGTAGGTATTGTGCAGGTCGGTAGGGCAGGAATTTCTTAAGGTGTCCATAATGTATGAAAAAATTAAAAATTACCTTTGAAAAAAAGCGAGGTCACAAGTACGTACCAGATTCAGATTTAGAATCAAATTCTGCATATGCTCTGTTAATAAGTCCGTCGTCTATCACTGGTCCACCAGGCTTTAAAAGACATGGGCTGGTACAACCCGCAGAAGATATTAGGTTCGTTGGCTGTTCCCGAGATGCGGGCTAGCACTTTAGCGGCTAGGGCGCTCTGCCTAGACCCGAGCTACACGAAGATCCCATGCGTTGGTGGCACCGAAGGAGCGTCCCTAGTGCCACTGTTCTCGAAAGCCGTCGAGTACTTCGATTTCACAAGGGTATTTCTTTTCCTTATTTAACGAGCTTCGTACCAATAACATTTTTAATGCCCTTTATACATAACACAGAATATAAAATAAAAACTGTAGCTTTATTACGATTTAATAAGAACCATATGTCACTGATACTCGAAATTAATGTTATATAGTTTAATTAACATGTTAATTTCTTTACAAAAGTATTGGAGAATATGACATTGCACTGTATAACTCAATTTTCAAATATTTTCCACGATGTTGTGCGGAAAGTACCATTACGAATACACTCTATCAAAATATTTACTAAATCTTCAGGTACTTCGTCACAGTTTTGATACGGAACCTTCCCCATCCCAAGGGTATTTGAATCATATTAAATTACGGTTGTGAAAGTTAAGCAACTTTAAACAACTTTCATAACCGTAATTTTTAAATGATGTGCTTGCAATTAAAAATAACTACTTTAATATTATTTAATATCTTGCAGAAACACGATTATTTCTGGAGGCAATGTACGACGAGATTTCAGTCAAACAAGCAAAATTCGTGGATTAATTAAATAGTCTTCTTATATACTAGGGAACTATATAATACTATGAAGATAATTTTATTCAATGAATGGTTTATCCATAATTGAATATTCTATCATATTTTTTAATTTATTTCTCGAAAAAGAAGATAATTAAAGTAAACGCATAGCGTTACTGTTTACGCCTTCACTGATTAGTAATGTGCAAAAATTCCAGTAAATTATATGCACGTGTACGTTGTCAGGTCACCACTACACGTTTAGAACTGAATAGCTCAGTGGCGACGTAAAGGCATTAGCCATCTCTGTCCCTCACGTTTGGCTCGAAAGGGTAAAAGTAACTCACCATAATCACAATGATCTCCTGTCTCATATCAAATCCCTCTTCGCAAAAAAAAACTAGGATTTCCAGATTCGCATTCAAATCAATGTCCCGTGTAGAAGTCGAACCAAGGGCCACGGAGTTTAAAACCATCTGAGAGAACGAGATGGTATTAATCGAGGGGATATTCCAGCAAAACTCTAGGATGTTGACGGAGACCGTCAGAGCGGCCGCCGCTGCCATGGCCAGAGGCGACGGCGTCTGCGTCAAGGCGGCCGAACTAAGCGAGGCGCATGCCATTGCCGGACTTGTGATGAAGATCTCCAACGCACTTCTCTGCAAGGACATCCCCAGAGTCACTGGTTTCGTACAAACGAACCAAAGTCAGGTTGTATGCTCCTCGAGGTAAATCGCCCCCTTATGCCACAGTCCCTTATCCCACCTAGGTGCCCTTATCCCACCTAGGTGCCCTAATCCCAACTAGGTGTTGACACAACATGTGAATCATTGTTTTAAGTTGTTTTGGCCATATTTTTTACGACCGGCGGACTGCCTGACGTCCAACCCCCTTGGGAAACAAACACCCAGATCCAGAACAATTATCTGTGGGTCACGCAAGTACTTGTTTCGTGTGGGAATCGAACCCACGACCCCCGACGCCAAAACCATCAGCTTAGCAACGGTGCTACTGAGACATCCCTTATGTGTCCTCCAGTGTTTCGGAGAATCGTTTTCGTGAAAATTTTACTTGGGTTCCTTCCAAAATTCCCGTAGACTGCTAGTCGTTATAGTAGTAGGGAGGCAGTATAAATCATTTGCTAATTATATATGTACTGATAAACAGTGGATGTTACTTCGATCAATATTATCACACGCACTCATATTCTTTACAGTCAATGTAATGTTTAATACGCGGGCAAGATTTAGTAGATTCTACGAAATTTTATAAAAGAAATGTTATAAACTGTCGGTTAGGAGTGTAACAAATATACATAATACGTGCTCACGTATGCGGAAATGAGCGGAATTGATGTAGGTGTTTTGCATTTCAAAGGAAGCTTTGTTGTAAAACTTACACGCTACAATGTAAAGTAAAATGTCCAGTTTGTATACACAATCAATCAACATCAAACAAATCCTACTTTATGTAAAAAGTATCTCTTTTCCATTAAGATTAAGTCCCGATTAAACATTCGCTTATAAAATGTTTGGTTTTCTTCCTAAATCTGAGCTACTAATTAATATGCTTAACGTACATCAATTCTCTAGATGTAAATTATCTAAAATGGATTGTAAACTTTGTACCAATCAGACAAAGAAATAGGTTCACGAAAGGTAGTAGATGTTAGGTATTTAACTTTATCCCGTTTTAATATACAAAAATATAATAAACACAAAATAAATATATTATATGTATATATGTAATCTAAATATAAAAATAATATACGCACTTATATACATTAATAGAGCAAACATATGAGGTGTTTTATAACTTTAATAAGAAGATCGTACATACGACAAATTAAATCGATTTTAACTTTAATGTAATATATTATGAAATGTTTTTACTTTCTATCTAAACTTTAACACCTTTAGATTAGTCATACAAGAATCATCAATCATACCATTTTAAAAAATAAACATTTATCTATAAATAAATCTTTATCTAAACCAATAATGTGAGACCACGTCCAATATTGTTTATTCTATTTGCAACGCGCAGAAGCCTCGGCTGTTGCACGAATGGGCAGGCTCGCTCGGGTAAGTACCACGACCACACAGAAGACCGGCGTAAAGTGGAAGAATAATACTTTCGCGTTGTGTCTGGTGAGTGAGGTGACCAATTTTCAAAAGATTATCAACGCATCTGGAACCCTCGGGTGTAGCAGATGTCCGTGGGCGGCAGTATTCACTTAACATCAGGTGAACCGTCTGCTCGCTTGGCAACTTTTCACATAAAAAAATCACTCGAAGATTAACGTCCAGATTCCTGGCCAACGTGGTGGAGATCAACGGCACGGGGATCTCGAGGAACTTTTCGCTGCCGAAAATGTCGGACACCGAGACGGACCTGCTGTACGTAGCGCTCTCGGATCTCTGCTACAAACACGGCCTGGTGGCAGACTGGTACTGCAAGTACTGCAGCTTTTCGTGTGGACTCAACGCCACGCAGGTCAACTTCTTCATTCCGAAGCACTACGAGAGATTCGACGACTGCGCATACGCCAATATGTGACCTTACCGGTCAAAAAACAAAAGAATTTACAAGTTGTTTTCTTATTGATTCGAGTATGTAACTAGTTTCGATTGCCGTTTTCGAATAAATACTTTAACTGAACCAAGTTTAATTTTAAGTTTGACTCTCACGGCGTTTCATAAAATCGGCATAGCTAGGTAGATACAGCAGCAGAGATCAATGAAATAGTGGTCTGTAACAATTATGCAAGCTCATAAGGTATTTATCTTCATCGCAGATTTTGCACTGTATGAGACATTTACAGAATAAAGTAGAACCATTCGACATACAAAACGGTGGTAAGTTGTTGGTTGAAATTGAGTTTTTTTTTATTTCTAGCTTTGAAAGTATTGAGCATGATAAGATTATCAGAATTTACGATTTCGCACAGTCGATTGATAGAATAGCAATCGATTCAATCATCTCGGAAATCACACCTCGACATTCCAACCACGAGGCATCGGCTGTCCGTTTGACTATAATTATGTATCTGCATATCCTTTTGCTTGATTCACTACATACGTCAGTAGTTCGTGACTTGCGCTGCGCACATGCATTGGCCTGCTTATTTATTTATGAGTAATATACATCGCGTACAAATAACATGTCTTGGTTTTTTTTAACACTGCCCTTACTTCAGGATAGCATTGTCCTGTGTTGTAAGGACGTTTTACGTACATAACGTGAACAAACACCCAGATCCGAAATTATCTGTGGGTCACACAAATAGTCATATCGTGTGGGAATCGAACCCACGACTCGCGAAGCCGAAGCCTGCAATATCTATTATCGACTTCTTATATCCCAAACTAGGATGGCTCAGGATCGTGCTTGCTTGCAATCTGTGGGGGAGGCCTATGTTCAGCAATAGACTAACAGGCTGAAATGATGATGATGAGGGTGGTTACTATCAATTTTAAGAAAAATCACGGAAATATCAGAAAAAGTTTACAAAAGAAAATTTTCACAGCAGTATCGCGTTTATTCTAAATTTATATTCTCGATGTTTCGAAAACTTTGCAGCAGTCAAGGTCAGTTTCGGCTTCTATTATTACGAGTCACTTCCGTAAATATACATTATTCGCGAACACTAGTCGCGTTAATATAAGAAATCAATGTTATGTTATGGGAAATTACTTTCAAAACGGGTTTTTACTTTTGAAAAGTTGACAAACACACCGCCGTGGTAACTTTAACGAATGCAGTAAGTGTTAAATTGCTTTTTAACCGACTTCAAAAAAGGAGGAGGTTTCTCAATTCGACCGTATTAATTTTTATTTTTTTTATGCACATATAGCAGAATATAAAAATGCAGAACACTTTTTTTAAGTAGGTAGACTCAATGAAAGAAAAAAAGAATTTAAATCTATTTTATTTCATACAAATATTCAACAAGACAACAACATACACGAAATATTCCCTTACCTTCCATTTAACCTGCTTAACCTGCCATTAAAACAAAACAAATTACAATAAAAAAAAACGCGAGAATCTTTACAAATACATTACTTTTTTAATGTTGAAACAGCATTGATCAATCCTAATGACTAGTGGAAATAAAATAACACGTAAAACTTCGTAAATCGTAAGTTATTAAATACTTCTGTTAGAGAAATAACGAAAACAATCAGAACCAGAACTTTAGACCAAGCTCTATTTGGACAATACGTTACGGTCCGTTTCTAGCAAATGGCGGCTTCTGATTTGTCTCCAGATACATGATTCCAGTAATCCTGCAAGCGAAGCACAGAACAATAATATTCAGATTAAATTAAAAACAAAGATAAAGAAAATTTGATAGATACTGCTCCTTCTCCGTAGCGAATATAGCGTCTCAATTTGCTATTTCAATAATTCGGATTTGTTTGTACAACCCACTGTATAAACAAATCCGATTTATTATAGATACCTCGTAGATTTAATTCTATGTTTTCTATCTATGAATCATTATATATAAAAACTCGTTATTTTTACTATTCTAGCTTCCGGAATAAAGCCTGAAAGGACCACACGCAATCACTACAAATAGCGTGTTATATAAAATTGGATTAGGAATTATCGGCGTTTAGATGTTTTGACGAAGTTTCAAGTATTACTTTATATTACGCAATGCCTTTGTAAGTTTATAATTATAAAAAGATATAGATCTTGTACAATGTAAAAATATAATGTAAAAATATAAACGTAAAAATACCCAGAACTTCTTAGAGCTTAGATATGTCATCAGCAGACGAATGTTTATCTAACGAATTTAGACATGCCGTTTAAATTGATACTTCGAGATGAACAACAACTTCATAATTCAAATTTAAAATAAGGTTGCTTTTACCATAAAAAACAAGAGATTGCACGCATTTCGTATTATCAAGCGCTAATATAAAGAAAGGTGAGTTTAACAAAGGACTACTAACACAAACTCTGTAAAAAGAAAATCTCTGAGCCACCATTCCCTCATGCAATAACGAAACTGCCAGTTGTATTTATCTTGCAACAACAGATGGATTTATAAAATCTACAATATATTTTATAAGGTAATGATTATATGTATTGTTTTGTTTTTGTATTAAGTTTCGTATCTTGTTAATCTCTACACTTAAATTAAAAAAAATAAATTTGTAAAAGAACAAAGTAGATAAAATACGTAATTACGTAAATAGCTTAGGTTAGTCTTAGTCTGGGCGCGATTCCGGAAGACGCGGGGTCGATTCCCGTGACGGCGAAATACTTTTGGTACATTTTTCTATAAATTTTAATTTATTGTAAAATTATTTATATTGGAAGGGATTTCATTAGTATTGAATAATGGCAGCCCAAACAGCAATTTCTCTGTGAAATTTGTATTGTACTGATTTACCAAGTGTTCCGCAGAAAAGCCGCCGGGAAACGTACTATGTATAAAATAGTAAAAAACATTACTTTAGTGGTCGGTAACTCATGTAGGTGTCCATGGGCGGCAGTAATCACTCAGGTGAACCGCCTGTTCGTTTACCAAATTTTCAAATAAAAAAATTATTACGTTATGAAAGTGCTCCATTCCGCTGGAGGCGCGTGGGTCCACGCTCCAAAGTTATTTGTACAGGTGTTTGTTGCTATATATAGCGTCATTGTATTCGCTTACGGTGGTTTAGCTCCCAGCCCCATGTAACCGTCCACGGTGAACGTACAACTGCTCGGGGTCTTCCATTGCCTGCACAAGGTGGCTGGAAACCCGAACGGACTCCGTAACGACTCCGCGTAGTAACGCCAAGCGCGTGTGTGGCTGCAGCCATCTGGGGATTACCAAGAAAAACTAGACCTTCCATAAAATGGTCCAAGGGTTACGCGAACTAAGTTGTTGATTTGATTTATAGAAGAATAAAAACGCACGTGCTTTGTTTTAAGCCGTTCAAACTTTGGCCTGCTATCGGCTACGTGGAAATGTCAATTAACGCATAGCTACCATTTAATTCGTGTGGTTTTTAAGTCTTTCAACAACTGTAAAAGATTTTTTTTTAATCTGACGCTAGCGAGGAACCTGGCTGACGTGATGAACAACCTTTAGAGTTAGAATAAACAAATTCCAATTCAAATATCTTTATTCAATATAGAAGCATTAAAGTTACTTATTGATGGTCAAAACGCCACTACCGGCTCGGAAAAAGCTACTGACATGCGAAGACCCGGCGAAAGAAACTCAGTGGTACATTTTTTTAACCATTGACAAGGAAACACATTTACAAATGTTAACTTGAAAGAGCCTGGAGCGATCAATTCATTTCCAGGGTGTGTTATCATTTAAATAATCACAAATGTTATAATATCCTATAATACACAAACGTTCCTTTACAATTTTTTTTTTAATTTAGAAATTCATACATTGTGAAAATTTTCTGGGATTTTGTTGTAAAAACGTACATCATATCAACAATTCACTTCACCAAGCGATGCTTCCCATCTGTATTTAATTCGTGTGATACAAACATTACATAACATTGCCCTAATGCCTGAAGCGATATGCCCTGCCAAATGTTATACATCGAATATAAGTTTCCAGCGCGCGATAACCGATCCGATATTGACATTTAGACTAACGTAAAATTCCTGGGTTAAAGCCAAGTGGAGATTTGCAGCCACTCCGTGTAAGATACTATACGGGCAATGCTCGAACTACTTAATAGGGCACGTATACGCCGCATTCAGAACGAACTCGTATATGCTAACGGCAACATAAAGAAGCTACGGACTTGGTCTAGGTGATAACCTGAATTATTAATGATATATTGACATAGTGTTATTCCAGTGTCTGGCTGTTCATATATTTATAATATGTATTTATTTACAACAGAAAAGTATGTTTATCTGTTATCTAGTACCCATAGTACAAACGTTAAGTAATCAATAGGATGTTATGATAGAAGCAGCATGGCGTAAGTTTCGGCCAAACAACTCACAAATAATCTTTTTTCGCTTTTGGTTAACTTAATTACAATTGGCATTGATTACAGTTTAACAACTCTAAACCCCAAGAGGAAGTAAACTACCGAATAGTTTCTGAACAACTCATCACCTTTGTTCGCGACAAATAAAATATCGCAAAACGATTCCGTTTCGGTGAGGTGTAATGCCACCGAGTTCACTCCACATGATTACAACAATATTATGTTATAGCTAACTTATAGTAATTGTCAACATATTCATATGGTATTAATACCTACACTACCCAACCATACACACACTCAAAAATGCGTTATGTAACATTTTAGGAAATGAAACTACTATTTTATGATATAGTCTTCATACCTTCCTTCTATCCTTTATTCCAATAAGAACCCCAAATTCATATCATCATTTACCCAAACGGTTGAAAATTGCGACTCCAAAAAAAGAGTTCCTTAGAGAGCTTGTTAAATGTATCATTAACGGGACAAAGAGCCACGTCTATCTTTAAAAAAATTATTTAAACATATTTAAAAGCTATTTTGTAACTCGTGCAACAATCATAATGACAAAGAACGATAGTGATTTTTACAAAAATAAATCCCGAAAGTGCGCCACTAAATAATCATCGTTAAAAGCCCTTAAACGACGATTACACATTTATGAAAGTTCTTCAACACAAATAAATACCCTTTACCGTAACTTGTAGTACGCCCCCCCCCCCCCCCATCCCTACTCCGTTTCCCTGCAGCATCCGCGCTGTGACGTCATAGGATCGATCGCTCGCAGCCGAAACACTGTTACGACAATTTTATCTGGCACTGGGGTAATGAAGGGTGCGCAACTGAACTCGCCTTTGTTCTTAACGCGTACCCGGTGTCTGGAATGTTCTATCTACATTCTCTTAATGTTAATCGCAATAAACTCTGAGTGTTCCTTTGTTTTGAATTATTAAAATTAAAAAAAATATATTATTTAACGCCATAGTGGCCTCATTCTGACGTCAAGTGCTTTTTCGTCAAGTTCAGTATATGCATGTGCTTCCTAAGGCTGTCGCGATACCTATGCGAGAGTTTTATTTAGAACAACCACAATACATCTTACAAGTCAATATCATCATAAAGATATGATATTACATGTAGACACCTAGCATACTAGTCTGTGTTTTAAGTTTTTCTAGTTAATTATCTTCATGAACAGCTTTATCAAATAAACAAGAATCATCTACTACTACATAACTGACAAGAACAATGTAAGCTTCACCTATACGACTTTTACTCAGCGGAATCCCAAGCTCAAATCCAATAAGCACTTACAAATAAATCTTAGTTCCTCCTTGTTATGAAACAGCTGGTCAACCCAGCATCCTAATATTATATAAATTACAAGGACAATGTAAGCTTATCTATACGACTTTTACACATCGGAATCAAATAAACACCAAAAACCAAATAAACATTCGCTTACAAATAAATCTTAGCTCCTCTTTGTTATGGAAGAGCTGGTCAACCCAGCATCCGGGCTGGATCCACGAGCCGTAGTTGGGGTAGAAGTCGACGTCGCCGATCGCCTGCGGGAATCCAAAGAGGCCAGGGTTCGTGTGGATGACGTCCACGAAGGTGGCATCGCCCTTGGACAAGTGGCCGCCGCTGTCCGTGAACCTATAGCCCGGATACGCCGGGTCTAAACCTATGATGGGAAAAGTTTTCTTAAAATTTGTGCGAAAGCAATGTCCTCAAATCATGAAATATCGATCTTTAACATTTCTATCAGAAAACAGCTAAATAAGTTAATTATTTATGTTATATTGTCTATTCTTTTTTTTAATCATGATATGATTTTGATGTATTCTAGTTTTAATCATAATATGATATAATATAGAACAGACCTAGTAAATTTCGATGGATATAAAAATGGAGTGTGAAAAATGGATATGGCCTACGATAAATTTTAATGTATGACTTTTTATTTTAACACAGTGGAAAGCTTTTTCAAACTCAATTAACATAAAGTTAACAATTTAATTCCTTTTTTTAACATTTGAATATCAAAAATTAATGTTAGTTATTTTATCAATGGACAATTATTCTTTGGAACATGCAATTGCCCCGTGTCGCATTGAATTGACCTGACAACGAAATACTGAACAAGATTTTAAAAAACCCATAGTTAAATTAGAATACAATTTCATCTAGAAAAGAACTCGTTGTTTTACGAGATTATTCATGTCTACAAAATCTGAGTGTAGGCAATATATCAAGGGTTCTTTGTCACAGATCGTATTTCAAAAGGCTATATAAAGGAGTTCTCCCTCCCTCATACGTCGTAAAATCAGAATATTGCTAAACGACTTACTAACCATAACGTGTAAAAATTTATTCTATGTTGAAACAGTACAGACCTTCCTAGTTCTTTAGCCGCAAACCGCACAAAGCTCTTACGCTAATTAAGAGTAAAAAGAATAATAAAACGCGCGCTTGCTCAAACGGACGTATTAAATGTTACAACAAAACTTAAGTTTTACTGCATTAACAAATGTAAATGCGTGGGTTTACGGATTTAACTTAAAGCGTTCACAGTACAGCCGTAATCCCATTTCATGAAGAAGCGACGTTACTCGTGATGTAAAATAGATTTTTTCTACGTCTGTTTCGATTTCATCAACCGTGTTTAATATCTGACGCTTTCTGCACGTTTTTTTAAATTAAAACAATAAAAATCAAAAAAAATGAAATAATTTATAAACACAAATACATCTCTTACTTTTGTCTGCTACTAAAAACTAAATTAGCCTATTATGCTTTCACTAAGATACTCCAACATAGCCTATAACCCTATAGCCAGCATTATAGGTCTACTATATAAAGGGTATATATTTGTCAAGTAATATTTACGAGGTTTAATATAATTTATAGCACAGGACTGAAACATACAAATAGGAAAGCTAGCAATAACATCATTCCAACCCGCGTGATAATTACTATTATTAAAATAATCAATGTAGATAATTTATTTGTTACTTTGTACTAACCAGTAATTCTGCCTATCGTCAAGCCCCTGGCTTTCGACTTCTTGCCCGCAAATCCAGCAGCCTCCGCCCCCAACGAGAAACCTACTATATGAAGAGACGATGCCTTAGCACCCACCGAGTCCAAATATTGCACAAAATCGGCAAGCTTCGAACCCATGTACCGCGTATTACGGACCGCCGAGATGTACCTGAAATGCATTCTTAAAATTACCTTTCCGAGCCGTGATAGCTCAGTGTCCGAGCGGTCGCTTTTAATTCAATATACGCAAGTAAGCCAAGTTCAAATTCGTATTTGGGAAAAGTATAAAAGGAAAAGTATACCTAGTTAGTTTTTTATTTAATATTTAATTACATTACATGTTAAAAGAACTACTTATGTTTGCTTCACTTTTTTATGTTTACTTCGTCGTATAGAAAGTTTTTACAAACTTTGTTGTATTCAAGCAACAAGTAACTAATACCCACCTACGAATCATTTGAGACATTCCCTTAAATATTATATGGACGCGTCCCGGCGTGGAAACCTCGTTGGATCCATTCGCCAAATATAACAAAACAAACGCAACTATCACGAAGTACGCTGCAAAATATTTACATATAGAGGCAATATATTATGTCCGCACGTACGCCGCATCGCTGCGTCCCAAGCGTAGCATTTCTAGCGACAGTAAATTCCATACGAAAAGAGACGCTGAAGTTGTTGTAGTATATGACTTTATTGTTGTATCGTAATTATGTTTCAATTTTAACAGTGTACGTGTCAAGCATTTACTAAACAATGAAGGTGGAAGATTCGTTGTATAGTCAAGTATACTAAATTATCTAGGTTAACTATATATAGGATCGTACTTCGTGGTAGTCTATGGGGAAAGCCTATGTTCAGCAGTGGACTCAAAAATGCTGAAATGATGATGATGATGATACCAAATTTGAACTTTAATAAATGTTGATCAAGCAATCCCCAAATTTGCTATCAAGAGTAACAACACATTATTATTTTTAATAATCAACTTCAAGATGATGTTATCGATGGTACATAAATCTTTCAAAAAAGGCTTTACATAAATCTCGCACTGTTGGACAAAGATCTTAACTGTATAGAGAATATTTATTAATTATTAAACATACATTGCGGATGGGCGAACTTTGCATATCTTCGAAATATCGGTCTTTTATTTATATTTTAAAATATGCAGTTAACCTCACAGTTTTTCCCTTGTGGATGAAAATACGGTAAATGAGCAAAAGCAACATAAGCAATTACAATTTCCCTATCGAGATTTGAGCCCAATAAGCCCATACTCGTTACCATTGCTTCATATCAATTAAGAAATGCAAATTGATTTATTTTATTGATTTACTTCCAATTTGACATCGCTTATATTGAGAATTCCATAATTTATATGTATTGAAAAACATGAATCTAAATTTAAAAAAAAAATTATTATTGCGAACCAGAGTTTAAATTACTTAGCTCTTCTAAACAAAACAAAATCTGTATAATTACTTAGAACATTTCACCTAAGAACATATCACTAATACGTCATGTTTTCAACAATTTCAAAAAATTACGTGACCAATCGTAATTCTAATCACATACTTTTTCACTAGGAATCGAATTTGTAAGAATCTGACATTCAAAATGTTAAGACTAACTGATGCCTACATTACCATATTACTAAAAAGTCATAAAAAGTCATAAATAGTTGTATATAGTCGTATCGTACTTCGCTAGTGAATATGGAAGGCAGACGAATAAGTAAAACGCTACACCATGGGGAAATACGCTCAAATATTAGGAAGGAGTTTTACTTTTATTTTAAGTAAAATTTGAAAGTCGACTTTCTCTCCAATCTCTGGTTGGAGAGAAAGTCGTTTATTTTTTCTTTAATACATCATTCATTTTTTCTTTAATACATTTCATGTAAATAATTGTTGCTCACATATTTTAGACTATTTATTTATAAAATAGGTAAACTTGCCATGGGAATACGATAAGTCGTGACCAATCCACCGAGATAAAGTTACAATCACTGGATGCTAGATATTCTGAAAAGAGATAAAAAATATTAGTAGCGAGACAATATTACTCAATGAAAACCGAATGCCTGATGAAGTACAAGTACGGTCATAATCTACATTTTAAAGTCCCTTTATTTTATCTGTGGAATATATTAAATTGCTTGTGAAAAAAATAGCGATATATATATATATATATATATATATATATATATATATATAAATAATAATGAATAATCTATTTAAATTATACAATAAATTGCATGTCATAGAACATGAAGCAGTACCTATATTTATTGTAATTCGACTGGTATGCAACTACTTTGATTAATTGGGCAATTAGTATGTTTTAATTAAATAACTCGCCTTTAGGTATAATGTATTGCATCAATTATGTAGTATTATGTACTTAATTCTTCCATTGAACGAAGAAATAAATACATAATACTTGTTGTAAAAATTAAAGTGTCAATCATAGCATGTCATAAAAGTATAAGTATCTATATTGATCGAAGTTATATTAACTCACATTATAAAACATAATGGAAACTTGAGTGGAAATAACAAGGGGTTCAGAATAAATAAAGGTCATATAAAAGCCCTTCATATTAACAGGAATATTTTTTTATCACAATAAATACGTTACTGTATGATAAGTTTTATTTGGTTTTCCATAGATTGTCATTTTTGGTGAATGGTGAAACAGAATTAACACAATATCATTATATATATAGTCCTCCTCATCGATTTCGATGACGGCGACAATATCATTATTATTGCTGTTTGTAGGTTAAAATGTTGACACAAAGGGCAAATCTGATGTCATATATTTTAATTATTAGAAAATTCTTAACAAGTTTCTCTTCAGTTCTATCGGAGCACCCATTATTTCACATTTCAATCTTTATCAAACAAAAAAAAAACAATCTAAAATTTTAGAATCATCTTAAATTTACTCCCCTTCCCGAATACTGAATTACTGAACATACCGCTTACTGAACAAAAATTGATAGAATTTCGCAATGTACTTCTTTGTATTAATACTATTTCAAGTTTCCTCTGGCAGTGTATGACTTTTTATCAAATAAGTATCAGAAAATATACCATCATGTAGTAAAGAAAATTAGACAACCCGAGCAAGTTGTACCAGGTACCTATCTAATTTTTCTCTTATGCTCACTTTTAGGGTTCCGTAGCCAAAGGTTAAAACGGGACCCTATTACTAAGACTCCGCTGTATGTCTGTCTGTCTGTCAATCCGTTACCAGGCTGTATCTCATGAACCGTGATAGACAATTCAAATTTTCACTGATGATGTATTTCTGTTACCGCTATAACAACAATTAATGTAAAAACCAGAATAAAACAATATTTAAGTGGGGCTCCCATACAAAATGATCTTATTGCCGTTTTTATAGATACTGATACGGAACCCTTCGTGCAGGAGTCCGACTCGCACTTGGCCGGTTTCCACGTATGGTGTTAAATCTCACCATTCCTCAAAGTCGTTGTGCTGGCTCCATTGATGACCTCCGAGAAACCCATCACGTAGATGACCGTTGGCTTCGACGGGTCGAAATCTGTCCGAGACAGCTCGGCGAAGTTATCCGAAGGGATCGTTTGAAACGTCGTCGGGTGCGCCCTGAAACATGGTCGATTCATTCTTTTTGTACGGTAACTGACGAATCAACATTTACGAAAGGAAATTTTCTCTTTTTTAAACCTAATGGAAGACAAGTTTAGTATTGCATCACCGATCCTGTAAAAACCCAAAAACATGACAGGTGGCTATCCTGTCATATCGTAGTGGGCAAAGAGAAGACTGTCTAACAAAAAAGTGAAATTTTTCAACCCTAAGGACAAGAGAGTTGACAATTAATACCAAACACGTTTTCTTAATTATTTTGATAAGAATTTACACATAATACGATTTTTTTATAGTTAAATACCGATTCCAAGAGAACAAACTGCGAGTCCAGCCAGAGCAGTGTTATCAAAGAACTTGAGAGGCAACGTTCCTCACATCTAAGGCAAATAATCTACGGATTTTTTTAAATATTTTGCTCAAAGATTTACATGCAGATTCTATCACGCCTTAAAAAGGTGAAATGTTTTTGATCCTTGTGCTGTGGTACCTTGTAAACAGCTTGTACTGGATGTCGACACTGTCATTCTTTGGACAGCAACCCTTGCAATCACCAATCGGTGCCGGCATAAAACAAATTTCCGATGCACCTGAAAATGATAGCGAATCACTAAAAAGATATTGGTTATATGTTAATTGTACTGAAATGTACTTATAACGGAACACAAATTGTTTTCAGAATAGACGAAAGCAATGAAAGCAAGTGCGAGTAGCACTCACGCCGCGAGGGTTCCGTATTATTTTAATATATTATTATAACGATGCACTAAAACTCACTCATTGCCAAATTTCACGATTGTAATTCAACTGGGACTGCCCGTTTGAGTTTGTTGATTTGGTTAGCTAGAGTATCAAAATATCTAAATGGAGATTTAAATGGATTTTAATCATTTTATTGGGCTTTAGTAGCTGTATGACATAGTCTTTAACCTTAGTTCCAACGTAATGCATCTAAACTCGCTCATTACGAATACAAAAACGTCTTTGAATGCCAGACAAGCAGACGAAGCTGCAGATAGCTTCCTCCTACAAAATGATGCCGCGACCTCTCCTTGATTATTTGATACTAGACATGCCCTATCCGATTTGTATGGTATTGATCCCTCACAGCGATTAAAGACGTATGGTTGTTAACCACGTTCGGAATTCATTTGAGCAAATGTTCGATTTTATTTTTAATCACTTCAGAACGTCGGTACCTCCAACCAGTACGTTAACATAAATCAGTACCGGAGAAAAACTGATATGCAAATCTGTGATCAATTGTATTTTCTACCTGAACTATAATAATATATCGATATCAGTACAAAATCAACAGCAATCAAAGGAAAAACGAGTAAAGTGAAACACTCGGCTCGCTCCACGATGCTTATCCCAACATTCAATTCAAATTGAATTATTTTGCTAAAGACATTACTGTATATTCAATTGTTTTCGGCAACAAATTTATAATTACTTTTGCAGTGGTGTATAAATTTTAATACTTCCTCCAAGTGTTTTTCAAGTGCGTTATCTGAAAGTCATCAGTATTAAGATTTTATTTAGCAGCAAAAAGGTTTAATTCCGGATTTCTTATTTAACATACACAATTACTTACTTGTACATAAATTAAGGGCATGACTACACGATCTTGAACAACGACCTTCGCCGTGTCGCCGCGCATAATCAATCTAATGTACAAATTGCTACGTTATTCATCCTGTATTTACCTTGCATTCGACTATGTTGCCTGCATATAAAAACAGACAGTCTCTACACGATGAAACCTTGATAAAACTAGGGGAGCTTAGACAGAACTACGTTATAATTAATACCATGCAGGATTATTTTTATGAGTTTTGGATAATTCAGACTTTTTTGTCCCAAACAGAGAATTTGGAAAACGAACAGGCAGCACGAGATGGTCATGGACATTTAAGAATACATACAGTCGAGTTGCAGATGCAGTTACCCCTTATTAGATGAAACACGGACCTCTTTGCTGTACTTTGATTGCACAGGCAGGCAATTTTAGTATCAAAATTCCATAGTCCTTAATATCGCTCACTTTATGGATTTCAATGTTCAAACGTGGCCTACGTCGTGCTAACTGTTAGGACGAACGGTTGCACATTACAGTAATTACTTACTTTTTTTAACTAGTTTTAAAATTACATTAGTAGAGTCATAGAAGACTGAACAGTTTGCAAATACTTAATGCACCTAAAGTATGTCTCCAATGCATCAACAAAGCAGGGGTATCTTCATATCAGCCCAAATTAAGTTCTGAACAACGCTTGCTCATAGAACCTAATAACGTTGACACAACTAGTCGACTGCGCATCCTCCACCTCACAGAGAATGGATGTGACGGGACAATGGACTTGTGGAGAAGGAACAATCCACAGAAAAGCTTGCCCATTCAACATCGGAAGCTCCTGAGTGACCCATCAAAGGCGTATATTACTTTATATAAATCGATTTTTTCTTAATCTGTTTCAATAATAAAAATATTCCAGTTAAGCTTTTACCACTGGAAACTTAATAAATCATGGACGACGATTATTCAACACTAATAATTTGACTATGGATTAACCTATTTTCAGTTTTTATTATTCGTAAATTGTATTTATCTATCTACAGTATATTTATAATTGGTTTAGATATGGTATATTATTAATATTTATTTGACACTTAAAATGCACTTATGCACGAATTAATACATTTATGCATATACGGCGTACAAATATAAATTTTTGAGTTTTTTTTTTCCTTTGCTTAGTATCTGCGGTGTCTCCCATCTACTTTTCATATTGACAAGGTTTGACTAGTAGAGAATTCCACTATGCATTAAGCCGATTGTAGCTCTTAAAAATCAAGCAACGAAGCATAAATAAATAACTACGAAAACAAACATCCCCAATCTGGTCATGGTATCTCTCAGTCAATGCATCGGATGCAATAAAGCGAAATCTGCTGCGTTAGTCCAATATGAGTTTGTTATATTGGATCGTGGTACAGCTACATCAGATAAGAAAACTATGCAAAATAATACATAGCCTTTACTGGTGCACCCTTGCTCGATCCCGTCTCGGAAAGATTCGGAACGAAAAATGTGAAATTATTCATGAAATTTGTCTCCGCATGTCAGCGTTACGGGTGCATAATGTACTAATATTGTTCTTATTTCTTCTGTCGAATACAATAAGGTCTCAATGAAAAAAAAAATTACTCAATATACATTTTTTGATGCTTAAAAAATATATCAATAGGCTATAATGCTTCAGTTTTTTTGTATATTCTACTTTGGTTACTATATGACTACTATGGCACTATACATATGACTACTATGGCACATATTTATATTAACAATGTTAGCGATAAAAACGTTTAAATACCATTTAATCGAAACGCTAAAGCAACTGAGTATAGTCATAAACTATTTATTAAAGTTGAACAGAAAAGAAAGTGAACTGGGGGTGTCAATTATATTTGTCTTGGATAAAGTCTCTTAAACTTAGAACCTTTCTGAATTTAATTAGCGCTATTTATTATGCAACCTTTTTATATTTACATTTGAAACACCATCTTATAACGTAACAATGCTTGGTCGTATATTATAAACGCCTTGAAACTAAACTAGAAATCAAAACAGAAACCATTAAATTATAATTCCGTATACATTAGAAATATTAAGATTGAGGCGAATCTCCATTAAAAGTATTGCAGCCTGAAGCGAATACCTTTGTCCGTTTGCGAGGCAACAAACGCATACTGGGGTAAAGAATTGTAGAAATCAGAATTTTTCTAGCCGATATCAAATTGTGGAGACCATGAAATACATATTTTAAATAAATCTGTCTCGCTTAAAATATATAAACTTACAAACAAAACTGCGTAAAAATAAAGTTCATATTTTACTGGATGCGACTGTTCATGACAACGTATACATAGACGTTGACTAAGCGATAACAATATTGCATTGTAGATATTGAGCGCTTCTTACATAATCATTCTTTTCCATGGTAAAGCTACCCTTTATCATTTTTTTTAAATTGTTTATATAAGGTATATTCATTTAACATGGTGAAAAAATGAGTTACAAAAAAGTGTTAAAGGTAGCTATTTCAAGTTCACTAGCCCTGTTTTATTTTTTGTATTGTCACTTCATATAACAAAATGTTCTATATGATTATAAAGTAGAGGAAATCATTCTGTACGTTTTCAACATTTGCATTCGCCAGATTAACTCTTGCTTTTTTCATCCAGTTTTTGAGGAACAAAAACAAGATTTGTTATTAGCATAATTTAAATGAACAAAAAATCTCAAGTTTTTAGTTTTCATTTTAATCACATGAACGAGGTTAGCCTTTATGCTTAAATTCAATGAAAATGTTAATTTAAGTACGAACTCGAAATAGTTCAAGGTTAGGTTAGTTAAGATCGATTAACACAAAACGCAATGGCAGATAAAGATCAATGTAATACGATAGACAACAGGATCTTTGATAGATATTGTTTAGTTCCTTGGAGTTTCTTACGTGTCCTAATTTTATGTAAAAATCACCAGCAAACAAGCACCTCGAGGTACAGATTTCATAATCGTTTCAATAGTTTTTTTTTAATGAAAATTCAGTGAAAGTCTTTGGTTAGAAGTCACTTGAAATAAAATGCAGTAATTTGGGCTCCGTATGAAACTAAATATAGCCTCATGTTGGAACGAATACAGAATAAATTCTTGTATCCATTTTATCCGTTGATGTACCCAACTTTATTTATTGTGAGAATGGTTGTATACAACACATTAAACGTTAGAAGAGATCTTTGTATGGTAGTGTAAATATTTGAATTATTTGAATAAATGTTTACATGCGGACTTATTGGGATAAATAGGCTTGTGCGTTCCGAATAAATGCGTTTGGGGCAGTGCAGATCATAGTTGTTTGTGGTACCGCAAAGCCGTTCCCGGTTGTTGAATGAGGCGCCGTGGAGGCATGCACCACGCACTTTAAATATAATTTCTGGGGCTATAGTAGATCTATATCCCCAGAATTCTTGTGTTCTCTGAGTGAGTTCACAAAGCTTGCGTTGTTAATTTGTAGTGGATATGGTTAATAAGTTATTTCTATTTTTGTTGTTTATTTGTGTTGTAGATTGCCGCACTATTGTATAAGGTTAAGCACCCGTAATGATAGTGTAAGGTTTTGTAATTAAATATTAAAGATTTTAATATTCATTGTCAAATGTATATACATGTCTCTATCCCACGGGTATCTCCTTTAAAACAATAAGTCATCTAAATTATTCTATTTCGCTAGTACTAGGTTCAATTCTAAAAGTTGTTTTGGCCCACTATATGATAAACCCTATAATTGAAAAGAAATTATAGAAAAACACCAAGATATTGCAATGAATACTAGTTATTAAGAAACTCATACGGCACATCCGTATGAGTTAGCGTATATAGCGTTAGCGTGTATTATCCGTAGTTAAGCGCGTTTAGAAAGGCTTTTAAACATTGTATTTGTCACTATAAACCCTTTTTTCACCGATGAGTTTTTAAAAATAGAAAAGGTAGAACCGCATTAAATTAATGAAAAATTCAAAGACCTTTCTTTGAATGTTTCATTAATTGACAATTATGGTTTAAACTTTGTAAGTGGTGTTAAACAAACGAATTGTGGAAAAAATAGCTCACCTATGAAAAAGGTCATTACACTACACGTCGGCGCTTTCATGTTGCGAACTCTAACATTTACAGAAGACAAGGGAAAAAAAACTCTTCAGCAGACGCCGGAAAATCATCTCGCAGCGTGACAGCCCCGCATTTTCCCGCCTAACGAGCCCTGACGCGGAAATTTTCACAATGCCGCGTTAACAATGCTTCGAAACTCATTAAAAAAAACTTTTCTCCATCCCCACTAACGCTAATTTTGTTCAAGCAGCAAGTCTGTCACTTTAGAAACACACACTCACTAAATCCATATGCGGAAAACTTCCTTATATAAACTATGGTTTGTGTCGTAATTTTTTGTATTGATCCACCTTGATCTACTACGTCATTGCATCTTGTAAGTTTACGTCGATGCGCACACTTGCGTTCTATAACAGATTGTTTCTAGTCAAGAGATCTATAGCAACTGTTGTCAATGATTCCGATTGTAATCTGTGTCTACTCGGACGGTAATCGGGTTGTGCAATTTTCTATAAAAATTTTGCTAGACCAGTATTTCTCAATCTCCGAGCAGACAGTAAACAATTAATTGCTATGGCTTTTATATTACGAGACAACACTGGGTACATTACAGTCATAAAGAATTTCTTATGTTCGTCGTTTCTTTGTTACAGACAGTTTACAATGCTTGTATTTTGGATTACGTGCATCTAATTGTTTCTTTTTTTATACTGTAATTAAGTTTAATAAAAATATTAGACAAGGTTAAAATGAACTATGGCTAATATAATAACTTCGTGTAATTTCGTTTTTATTACAAAACTGAAATCTGAACTGAGTACACACATTGTTTAATATAAAAATGATTATATTGCTAACGTAAATAACTATAACCTTAGTAATTACGAACGACCTAAGAGTTTATTTTTTTGTCCGCTGCTGCTGACAACTTCTACAACAACGATTAAAAAAAAAAGAAATTGTGACGAATCAAGCGCTCAGCCAAAACTAATCCTCCGTTTCGAAATTATCCAAACAATGTTTGTCGTAAAATTGATTTAACCGTAATTCACTAACTACGTTCATGTAACGGTTTTGTCACTTGACCTTTGCTAAAATTTATGAATACTATTTTTAAGTTAAATTCAGATTTTGTTCCCGAATTTTCAGTTTACTTTTACTCAAATGGATTTTAGGTTCCATGTTATTTTTATTAGTAATTATGAAATATATAATGGTGAGATTTACGAAATGAGAAATTGGTCGTCTGCTGCAAGTAGCAACGTTGATGGATTCTTGTTTAGGAATATTAGGATTTTAATAAATAATCAAATGGACGCGAAGAAAGTTTGAAACACGATAAATAAATTGACTATCTCATAAATCATTTTGTTTGTTTATTAAAAAATGGATGGTAATAAATTGTTACTACTAGTAACTATGTATGTTGTTAGTAACAATGTGTGTGTTATTACTATCTAGTAACAATGGCCTCAAACTTATTTCTATTTGAGAACTTTGTAGGCTAATAATGTTATTCCAGGTATTGTTTGCTATAACAAATATTTATAATTGATGTCGCATTGAAAACTTTACGGAAATCACTAATTTCCACATGCGTAATCAATTTAAATTAAATCTGCAATGTTAAGAAAGCCTCACATTTGTTTATACGAAATCATGTGTAATTTGAGTCCAAACTTTTGGGCATTATTGGTTCAGCTATTATCAAAGTTAAGCAACGTTGCATGCAGGACGTAATTGACTGTGTGGCCTTTTTGATTTCATCGATATACTACAAAAGGTGTGTTGGCGATGATTACATCATAGTCCGATCTTTGGTCTTATCTTTTTGACAGCTCATTAAAAACGAACAAAAGCGTACAAGGCCCGTGCTATGGTTCTTATCGTATTTAAAATAATTGACTTCATCATTAAAATAATCAACATGATTATCTTATTATATTGTGGAAGATCTATTTGACGTATCGAACCTATATACGTATCGAAGATATATTGTGTTGGTATATTTTAACACCTTATTTTTGTTCAGTACCACTTCGTTTGATTTTGAGATCACACGGTTTACCTCACGGCTTAAGTGTTGGCAGTTGCCAACTGCGAGTTCACGCTGTTTTGGGTCGGGTCCCTCGGAAAAAATTTATGAGCTAAAAGTTCCGAGTTTACTTTGTATCCCTGGTTTAAATTGGCCATATTCCTTTTTTTTTAAGAAAATATGGAGAAATGTCATTCATTTTCCATGAGCCACAGCACGCGTGTGTCCAAATAGTCAAACCGACGAGGGATTAATTAATCTTTAAAAAAATGGTAAAAAGCGATTCATTTTCCATAACACCTGATGAAAACAAGAAGGAATTATTCGCTATATGTCCTCTGTTAACTCCCAAAATCCGACTCGACTCAACTTTACAGTGCTCGTAATAAAGTAAAACATTGGGAAACATATCTCTTCAGTATAAAAGATTTTTTATATAAATTTTTTTTTATAAATAAATAAACCAGCCAGTTCGCAATAAGTCTCTGCGACGAAAACAATTTATCTTTAACATTTTCCTTAAAGGTATAGATAATATTTTTTGATACACATTTCTTGCCAATACAAATCAAGGTTTGGGCTTCTTCAAATCTTTGTGAATCTAAATTATAACCTAAGAATAATTTACGTTCATTCAGGCGTTCATAAAAAGGCTAGGGTAACGGGTATAATTTAATAAAGCTACGTCAACTCAAAACTTAGAATTTACTCAGTAACAGCACTCTAAAATCGATAACTCTAATCAAACACAATACGGGCTACTAAGAAAGTTTTGCTAAACTACAAGAAAGTTCTCCGGTTTAAGATTTCACTAATTACTGATTTCAAAGAACTCGCCCTGGGTATTATCTGCCGATATAAATTTTCCTGAGTGGAAACCAATTTCAAAACTTTTTCCTGTCTGTCTTAGACACGACGTGATGACAATAAAAACTGACACAGTAGCTCATTAAAAGGCGTATAGCAGCTGCTTTTTTTTATTTTGAGTGATACTCAGGAGCCAATCAAAAAATCATGTCAATAAAATGTGCCCAACGGGAATATTTTTTCAATAGCATGTTAATATAGTTTATGAATCACATAGTTTTTGTAATTCTTTTTTATTAATGTAAAGGCAACCAGGTAACCAAAGGCTATTGTACGATGAAGAAACTTAAAAACAGCAATAATTAAAGATCTTGTCAACAATAATTGTTATACCTAACTCATGTTATTCGAGTCTTCCAATATTATTAATTCACAGGACACAACAGTAGACTATGCGATGTAACATCGTATTCTCGAACGTTATATTCATAAATGAAACTAACGTCGCATGAAGCGTAACAGGATTGATCTCACAAAACTTATGCAGCGTGAGTGTCAATCAAAACGTGGTTAAAGCAGTTGTGGCGCCTAATTCTAATTAAACCCGCCATTTAACCATCCCTGATCCGTTTATTGCAGGTTACGTTGACGTCAAAATCGTTTAACCAAATCAAAATTTGTTGCCCAGAAAGACGAGAATATTGCTTGATACAATACTTAAGGAAATATATCATTAAGCATTGTAATAAAAATTAAATCATTCAACTTATTAAATAAGGAAACAGAAGTCGATATTTTTGACAATAATATATCCCGATTCAAACATTCGATTAAATTGTACTTAAGTGCCAACAATATTTTTATAAATTGTTAATATCTTCACCAGCCAATTCATATATATTTTTTTTATTGTAACATGTTTTTTTTTTTTAGTAACTTTTCTTTTTTTTTTATACTGCTTAATTTTTTTGTTCTGTTTTTACCGTATTTTAGTTAATATTTGTATTATTGTAATGCTCGTATTTCACATTTAGTTTTGTAAAAGTTTTTTGGTTTTTGTCTCCACTGCCTGTTGTAATGTAGTTTTTACCTATAATTAAGGTACCACTCATCACTTTTTGCATATCTTGTATAATTCTTCTGTCACAGTGTGTACTTTGTTGGTGATAAATAAATAAATAAATAAATAAATAAATAAATAAATAATATTACTGTTAAAATATATAAGTATGTTAATTATGAGGACATCATATAAATTTTGTAAACAAATTGAGTTTATTTAGTCTTTTCTATTATACAATATTTATATATCTTTTCTATAAAACAGTAATCAATTTTTTCAGCCTCGGTTTTTGTTTTTTATAAAGTACTAATCCAAATTATTCTGTTTCATATTCTGTAATTAATTAACCCATTTAAACACATCACTACATAGTATAAAACAAAGTCGTCCCGCTGTCTGTCTATCCCTATATATGCTTAGATCTTTAAAACTACGCAACGGATCTTGATGCGGTTTTTTCACTAGATAGAGTGATTCAAGAGGAAGGTTTATATGTAAAATACATTGCACCCGTGCGAAGCCGGGGCGGGTCGCTAGTATCATGCACGGGTGAAATGCAGATGAGAATGTGGAGCAGTGTGAAGTAATTAGAGAGATTATAATTAGTCTATACTACAGGATATCTTTATATTTTATGTTTTATATTTTACCGTCTTTATTTTCATGAGACAGTGCAAACATCTTTTTAAGATATACAATTCTGTAGTACATTAACTTGATCTATCTCGTATGATTTAGCCATAGTTTGCGATGTAAACAGACAAATATATGTTTGTTAATATATACATTACAAATCTTTAAATTTCTCTGTTTTCTTTCCAATCTAACACAATATGTATGTAAACTGCATATAAACCTTTCTCTTTAATCACTCTTATCTATTGATGAAAACTGCATTCAAATCCGTTGCGTAGCTTAAAAGATCTATGCGTACATACAGCGAAAGCGACTTTTTTTATACTATTGTAAAAATGTACCAGTCGAATACTTGATTCTCGTCCCGTTTGTTCCAGGACAAGTTGCTCAACAAGCTCGAGGAAAATGACCCGGAATTAGCGACATCTCCTGAAGAAGAAGTAAGTATACAAAAATTATTAAAAAAACTGTCGTATATGCTCCCTTAACTTTTTTTAAACAATTTTTGTACCCAATCATAAACCTCCACGGCTTACTCAAGTTTAATACATATATAATTTGTTAGATGTACATAATTTGAACGCGTATATGACAAACAAAGAAGCATTAATTTTATTAGCATATAAATAAAATGTTTGACGTCTCAATCGTGATCTCTAAAGGTATTGTTGTTGTATTATTTATATGGGGTCATATAGTATTTCTTTGACGTGTTCAACATCCCAATAGCAATAACATAATGTTGACTCTACCATTCGATGATTTATTTAAAAGTACCAGAGAAAATCAGCCGTAGATGTTAGTCGCGCAAGATCAGTTAAAGGGTAACTTTTACTCTTCCCTTGAGGATGCCCACTTTAACCAGGAAAGGGCTAAGCTACAACTACTACTACATACTTCTAGTATGTCAGCCGCACATCACCTTTTAGCATTCAGGGTCTCTTTTAAACGTTGGCGATGAAATGTAATCCCATGGGTCATCATCACTAGACGTGAATTGCCCTATGCCCACCTGAGTTCATAGTAAACATGAAAGTGAGTACTATAATTGTTAAAAGTGATTTAAATAAAGAAAGAACATGCAGCATGCTTTCCAACACGGATTTGTTGCAGGCAAGAGTCACGCTCGTCTGGGAAAGTAACAAGGCGTCACAGAAAACCGGTGTGAAGTCTTAGTTCTGCGTTTCGTCTGGTTAGTGAAGTAACCGGGGCACATTTTTTGTAAAAGGTGCAACCCTACGGTAATTCCAGAAGTCCCTGGGCAGCGGTAATCCGTTGAACTACCAGTTCGCTGGCCACGCTACACATAAAAATAAGAAATTTAAAATTTATCTACCCACTACCTACTACTACTTGTGACAGAACATTTATCATATATACAGTTAACGGTGTCACTTAACCATGCCAAGCGATTTGCAACACAATAACAGCCGTCTTATTTAATTTCAGTGCGTGATTTGCGTGAACGCGAAGGCGACCATGCAGACGTCGCCGTGCGGCCACCGCGTGGTCTGCAGACGGTGCTTCGTGAAGACCATCCAGATGGCGGTGAGCCAGCGTTTGCTGCCGCTGCGCTGCGTCATATGCCGCGCGAAGATACTGCGGCTGAGACCGGCCCCGCGTCTGGTCACCAGCAAGAGTTGGCAGGCAAGTCTGTGACCACTACCCCCACTACCCTACTCCCTCAGTGGCATAATGTAACCGTGTTATGTGGGCGCTTTACAAAGAAAAGTTAAATGAAGACAAACCATCCAGATTCGGAACACGCAATTATCTGGAATAAAAATACTCCCGTGGGATGAAAATCATACAGATCGGGAACAATTATCTGATATGAAAATACTTCCTACCGTGGGATAAAGTAACGGTTTTGTAAAGGCACTTTAACACAAATTAAGCGCGGACAAAACATCCAGATTAGGAACAATTATTTGGTATGAAAATAATTCCTAATGAGGGATAAGGTAACCGTGTTATACAGGCTCTTTACGAAAACAAGTTGAAGGATGAAACATCCAGATCCGTAACAATTATCCGTTATGAAAATACCTTTTCCGGTACGTGAGAATCGAACCCGCTACCCGCGGTGATGCGTACACTCCGCTAAACATGTCATCACGTTGTACGATTCTACCAATACTCTTTAAGTCAATTATACTTTAAAGACCGTACCTTTTATATATTTCACCAAAATCCACAGTCCAAAATCATGAGTAAAGATAATAATTCTACTTCTAATATAAAATAAAAAATTATATTTTTAATGTTATTGGTAGAAAAATTATATATAAAGGGTTACGAATAGCAGTTATTTCCATAGAATCGTCTCTTACTAAAATTATAAAATGTGCTTTTTTAGAATATCATAGATAACACTAAATTATTTATCTCTAAAGTAAAGTAACAGCCACTGCTGGGCAAAGGCCTCCTCTGTACTGAGGATATTAGGGCATAGTCCACCACGCGGCCCCACTGCGGATTGGCGGACTTCACTTCGAAATATTTTTTGTCATTATTTCGAAAACATGCAGGTTTCTTCACTATGTTTTCCTTCACCGCTGAGCACGTGAAGTCAGAAATTAAAATTAGCAATTTCATTGGTGCCGGCACCGGGGATTGAACTCAGTTTACTCAAGTATATTACATTAAAGGCCCCGACACTGAGCTAGCACGGCTACAATTATCTCTTATGTTTTTTTATCTCTAATTTGCATTAAATATCTTTATTTGGATGAAATTTCCAAAAAGGAGCCTAAAAAAATAATATAATTTCTACTAGCAACATTTCTTTTTTATGGAACAAGAACTTTAAATCAACATAGTTAGTTTTTTCCAGTATCATCAGTGGGTAGCTCTTTTAATGAGTCTCGTAAAGTAGAAATAAAATTCTTTCCCTTTTTTTATTTTATTTAAACCGCCCAAGTTTTATCATAGCTAAAGGTGATCAAAGTAGATAAGGCCCGGTCTCAACCTTTCAAATAATTGGTCGATTGCCAAGTTAAGTAAATGGCTATCAGATAAATACGGAGACGACAAATCTATACAACCTGCGATTAAATAAAAAAAAGAAAACACGGCTTTCTTACTTAAACAGAAAAGTTTGTTATCGTTTGAACCTACAGAGTACAAATGAGGAGTTACTCACGTTTTTAAGTATTTTTGAAATATAAAGCTTTCCTAACGATACTTATTATTTAATTTACAAACAAACAAAAGATAATTGTAACACTTTTAGTAAGTTTTCTTTAGTAAAAATTTCTAAAATGGTACTGTCTTATCGTTCAGTGCGGTATGCTAATTTTGGATGGATATTATTTTCGTGATTATTTAAAACAAATTCTAAATAATCAATAATTATAACTCGGCGCAGTTTACTAAATATGAAATTAAACGTTTTTGAAATCATAATCTATTCGGTAAGCAAAAGTAAATAGTCTTTAAGGACTTATCTTCGAAGACTGTCCATTTTTGTTGTTGGGAAAGGTAACAACCGAGAAGGCAAATCACCTAATATTAAGTGATACAAAACTCATGGGATTCCCCTTGCAAATAGTAAGATGTAGTAAGTAAGATGACCGGGGTCCAATCAGAGCTTATCTTGTTACTGAACGTTATTCAATCCAGAAGCAATGTGGTTCTCCAACCAGCAGGAGTAGTCAATAATACAATAATAAATAAATAAATAAAAATAGTTAATATATAATTAAACTAAATAAATAAAGATACCCTACAATAAAATCAGTTACATTTAAGAAATATGAAAAATAATTAGAGATCAAATGAAGTCAGCTTATTATATTTTTTTTTCTTTTATCTAGATTATTTGTGATAAAATAATGAATATTTTATCTATTCCTGATAAATTTAAATTGACCTCGTCGAAAATAATCAATAATATTAATAATGTCGCTTTAACTTTAGTGTGTATTACACACTTAAAGAAAATTTCTTAAGAAAATATTCACTTAAAGAAAGAAAAAACCATAAAAATGTATACTAATTATTTCTGAACCAAAATCTAGGCTAGGCGACTAGTTATTGCGGTTACACTTCCAAGCAAACTGTTTTGGACACTGTGCTATTGAATTAACTGTGTCACGGACAAAAAGTCAACAGGACCTTGCCCAAATTAACTGAAAAGTAGGTGTTATCGTGAAATTTTTTTACGACTATCACGATTTTATTCGGTTATTTTTAAATCCATGGCTTGTATAATTTAAAAAATATGAAAATAAAATAGTGGCCTCATGGTTCGGGCATATCGATGAAATGACTTTTCTATCATTGTACATGTTAAAAATTCAGTCTTGTAAATAAGCCGATGCATGACGACAGGGTAGGCCACCTGTAGTTTTGTAAGAAGGCTCTTGGTTTGAATTTTTCTGGAACTAAATGATTATTTACATTGTATATACTGAAAAGTAACTAAGGACAATGTTCCGAACATAGCGATAGTAATGTGTAGTATAAAATAATGAATATTTAGGCACTTTTTCCCTTACACACGTTCATTGTGTTATTTAACGTTGTTATATATTAGATAATTATACCATTGTTGTTCCTTTAATTTTTTTTACCAAACTTTTTATGTCTTATCCTTCATTCATAAAACATGTTACAAATACAAAACATGTTACAAGGTTACGTTGTAGAAGAGCATTCACAGTTTTTGTATACAATTCAATGGCAGCGAAGGAAAAAATTATACCAAACATGGAACGTAATAGAGTCAACTTCCTAATAATCGAATTATACATTAATATAAATAACTAACACATGATTATTTTACAAATCTATAATACAGGAGTTATAAAGTAATAATAATAAATGTCCCACGGCTAGGGCCATTTACACACAATACGTCTCCTCTGTACAGAGGGTATTAGGCGTAGTCCAACACGGGACTCCATTTCCAGCGGATTGGCGGACTTCACATATCTTATATTTTTAAATTATTCTTAAACATGTAGGTTCCCTCACGATGTTTTCCTTCACCGCTGAGCACGTGATAAGTCAGCACTTAAAATTAAAAATTTAATCGGTGCCGGCGCCGGGGACCGAACACGAGTTGCTCAAGCATACTGAGCTAAAAACAATAACAACCCCCTCCAATAACAGGTGTCGAGTACAGGCAACAAATCGTGGGGAGTGCCCGGATCGGTGTCCAGCTACTCTGTGGGCGCCAGGTCAGTGCCAGCCTCGGCATCCCTGTACTCCGTCACCAGCGGAGAATCTTGCATATCCGGTGAGTCGAAATTGCATAATTTTCGCAACAAAATCACTGTTAAGAAACGTTGCAGTCACGGACATGTTCTACACAAGTGCTATAAACGGTGTTTATGGCTTTTACGTCTTCACCAACAAGGCTTTTACAGAAGGTTTGTGAGTTTAGATCAAATATGCTCGTGTTCGTCTTTTTAGGGTTCCGTACTCAAAGGGTAAAACGGAACCCTATTACAACCATTGTTATATCGAATGTTCGTTTTACAGCGATAATTCCGATACATGTCACCCTTGCTTTTTAAAAAAATAAATTTTTATAGTGCTAATCTTTGAACTTAAGATTAAACATTAAAATTCGTAGAAAAACGTTCGAAAAGTTTTTTGCCGCTGTTTTGAGATTTTCATCAATGCGGCAACCAGATGACGACCTTCGATTCCCATAGCGGCGAAAAACTTTTCGTACTTTTTTCTACAAAATTTTAAATGGTACATCCATACTAATATTATAAATGCGAAAGTAACTCTGTCTGTCTGTCTCGCTTTCACACCAAAACTACTGAACCGATTAAATGAAATTTGGAACACAGATCGTCTAGAACCCGAGGAAGGACATTGGCTATTTTTAATTGCATTTTTTTTAAATAAAGATATTTATTTAAGGGCTTCAACGCGAGCGAAGCCGCGGACGAAATACTAGTATTACATAAAATTAATTCGATTGTTTGTACGTTAATGTCATTACATCATACCCTTTAAAATAAGCCACTTTTGAATATTAGATCTGTTTGCGAATGCGCCCTGAAACGATACTAATGATTTTAAAAGCTTCACCGAGCTACTCTAGACATAAGTATTGAAACCCTAATGGTCTTATGGATTGGAGTCTAATGTATTTCCAGGCGTGTCTTCCATCTCATCGAATAGTGGTGTTCACGTAAACAACAGTTGCACAACGAAGCTTTGTGGTGGTGCGAAGTGTGGTGGTGCGTGCCTCGGCGCAATACCACGACAGCCCCCAACCTCCGCGCCGCCGAAACCCCGACAACCGGCTTCGAAATCTTTGAGACGATCCCAACACCACAGCATGAAGGTAAACCTATATTTGCTTCACCGGTATATGTATGTGTCTGAATGTATGACTATATTTATGTTTAAATATACGTAAGTATACATGTTTTAATAAAATCTCTAAACAAAAACTAACAGTAATCTGTTTATTATTTATAATCGACTCTGCCCTAATACCCTCTGTCCAGAGGAGGCTTTTGCTCAGTAGTGGGACATGTTTGCTAATGGTTCTAAAAATTGATAGGCATGTTTTTATTTGGCAAGCATTTTTAGTAGTAGTTTTTAGTTTAGGGTAGGCTTAGTTTAGTTTAGGATAGGTTTTAGTAGTTTTTAGCAGTCGTCAAGGGTGATGTAAGGAAGCGTTGCAAACTGATAATGAAGCGATACAAAAATTATAATACTGTGAGGTATTACTATCCCGGACGAGCCTGCACATTCGTCTAACAGAATCTGCTTCCACAACATTAATATAGGTTGAAATTTAGTACTAAACGTTTTCATTTAATTATTTTCAATACGGCACATGTTACAAATCTAGCATTATTTACAAAATCCCTAAAATATGTTTCAAATTTTTATCTCGTATCTATATATATCTCTTTAAAGCTCTTTATCGTGATAAAACGCTGCTTCATTCAAATGGCTTATGCGTAATGGATTCCTTGGCGTATTCACATTTTCTCTTTGTTATAAAATGACACCATATAATGGAACCGAGCTTCCTTTGAGAGTAAAACTTTTTCCTTTTCACGGACACCGATACATGCATTATTTAAAACTTTATAAATAATGCGATATCTATCGAAGTGTGCGAAATAAGTTATTAGAATTAGAAATTTCATGCCTGTATGTCCCAATGCTGGACAAAGGCCCAAATGGTATTAGGGCTTAGTCCAATATATTCGATGGTTTAGTTTTTATTTCGAAAATGTGCAGGTGTTTTCCTTCACATTGCATTTAACACTTAAAAATGCATTTAACAATCTCATAGATGCCAGCACTTGAACGAGATTTGAACTCAGGTTGCTCGAGTATATTGAATTAAAAGCGAGCGCCTGGACTCTGAGCTATCACATCTTATTTAATATATTACGAGTGTATCTGTAAAGTAAAACATTCTCAGCACGTAATAAATTCCAATCTCCTTTTTGGTGTCTACATTTTCAGGATTATGTTGTTATTGTAGTTCCTTATTTCATTTGTCCTATAATTTAAAGCCCGAAAGAAACATTTCTTTCTTCTACTTCTTCCTCAACAAAAAAAATTAAAGTCAAAAAGTGAAAAGTCAAAATCATTTATTCGAAGGAAGATTTTTTCAAACCGTTTTTCTTTCTTTATTAATTGGAAAACAATACCAGTATAAAATAATAACAGCTTATGAATTTACTCAGATTACTGTACTATTAACTAGCTGTCCCGCCGCCACTTCGACTGCACCAATTCTACCGGGTCCATACGTTTCTACATTTAGCATAGCGCCATCTATCGGATACTTACTCAATACAGCCGATAAATTTATCTTACACTGCCATCTGTTAGAATCTTATGGGACTCACAGATAGCTCTTTGTCATCAAATAAACAAATAATTTGCAATAACAAATATTGAGATCAATAATTGAGATAAAAACTACCTTATCGACCAAGTTGGACCAAATTACAAATGCTTACAAAATTTGATAAAAATTGGTTCAGTAGTTTCGGAGTTTATCGCGAACATACATCGTGACACGAAATTTATATTTATTTATGTATATGCATCTTTACGGACTGATAGAGTTATCTTTTACCTTAAACTTTAAATAAAAATACCCTATTTTTACGTATTTACTTAATAATAGACATTTTGATTCATATATTACCTCGTAACGCTTGAATTTTAATTCTTGAAAAAATATAACCTAACGACCTGAACTCATAATTTCATAACAAGGGTCCTAATAGAGAGGTGACTAGAGTTGGTTGAATTAAAAATTATTTGAACTTCCAATCCACCGTAAACTTTCGGTGTTCTTCCAAATGCAGTTTTATTTTTTCTCCTATTATAATTAGTAGCTCATCCATTATAATTAGACACATATCACTTACGTGTTTCAGGTTCGACTCCAAGAATATCAAATGCACAGTTACACCGGTGGACCTTCCGGAGAGCCATCCGGCCGACTTCCGCCTATCAGAGAATTCCAGAGAGAGTTCCGCGAAGGAAGACGAGAAAGCGCAGCCCCCTCCTGTGCGTCTACTAGAATAAGGTGATATAAAAACAAAAAAGCTGCCGCGTCTTTAACATCAACGAGAATTGGATCCGAGACCTTCAATATATGCCGAAGTATTAATATTTAATTATTTATTATGTGTAGTATACGAGTATGTACTTTATTTACAACTCATAGTTTTAAAGTCGTACATTATTTAAAAAAAAAAGTATAGTTTCTATTTTCAATTACAAAATCAATGTTACAGTTGATACATGCTCTTTATTAGACGTGGCAGCAAAGGTTTCGTTTAAAAATGTATTACCATACAATTGATTTACTACCAATTGGCTAAAAATCGTACATTAATAAAACAGTATTTTATTTAATTACAATATCATTGTGCAGATGAGGCGAATTATGTGAAAGTATTGTGTTAAAGCGACTAAATAACATTTAATCATTGATATTGATATTATGTGACGTGAGAGTAAATTAAATTAAATGGTTATTTAAATGTTAATCTAGTAGGTACGGGTGGTACAAAGGTAACGTAATCTGCCTTAGTTTTTGCAATTGGCCTCAAATGGCTATAGGTTTTAATATCTAAGTTGTATACAGAAAAATAATTAGTTCACAATAATATTAATAAGGTAGGCAGGTAATCTGTGACAAGCCATGAGGAGATACACACCTTAGGAACGTTGAATTATTGCTACTACTGATTTAATCAATTGGTGATTGTTTATATTAGCGGCAAGGTTTTTCTCCATCGATTAAAAATATTTGTGAGTGAAAAATGCCCCTCCTACTAATATAAAAAAATTACTGACCAATTTCCGGTCTTTTTCTTTTACGCGCCATAAATTATATATAAATTTTGCCTTACTAACGTTTTGATTTACTGGTAGTTGGTGTCAAATAAGACAAAGCAATTTTACATGTTGCATTTGCATCAAACAAATCCATACTCTTATGGAGTATGTATTTGTCTCATTTATGTACCTTAATATTCTATGGGGGTTATATTTTTACAGGTGTGCCCAAAAAATAGTGACGCAGCTAGAAACATCGCCACAGAAGGACAAACCACATTTCTTCCGGCCTCTAAAGCCAACAAATCAAGACGATCCCCCTAATTCTAGAGATCATAGCAAAGAGACTGATACGAAAACAGATAACCCCAAAAGTAAGCCCAAAAAGGAAGATAAGAAAAAGAAGGAAGAAGAAACCACCAAGGCAGCTGAAAAAAGCAAGAGAGATGAAAGTAGTGATACCAAGAAAAATGAAGTTGCCGAGAGAAAAAAGGAGGAAAAGCTAAGACTTAAAGCAGAAAAAGAAGCCAAAAAAGAAGCTAAACTTCAAGCTAAGGAAGAAGAAAGACAAGCCAAATTATTGGCGAAGGAGGAGGAAAGACAAGCTAAATTATTAGCTAAAGAAGAAAAGAAAAAAGCAAAAAAAGAAGCTAAGTTAGCAGCACAAGCCGAAAAAGAAAAAGCCAAGTGAAAGTATGGTTAAACTTTAAAGTCGTAGAAAAACGGTAGCCGTCTTTAGGTTTTAGATGAAAGAGTTATTAAACATCAAACTTAATAATAGTAGTAATTAAAATAATTTCGTAACGCAGAAAATTTCATTATACAATAATTAATAAAAAAATCAGTTACGAGGAATATTTCCTTAAGCTTTTATATTTTTAAATAGTGATCGTAGATAAAGTACATTGAAATAATGTTTTTTTTTTTTTTTTAATAAAGCATTGTCAACGGTACCTACAATAATATTAAATTTAGTTTCGAATTTATATCTTATTACATGTGTTGTAAATAGTGTAAACGGCAAATGTTCATTTGAAAAGCAATCTAAATACATAATAAAACTTGGGACATAGTTGGAACTTTACAAACTGTGAAGACTGAACGATGAGGATATTGAAATCATATCGTTTTGTAATTTTAACTTTGTGTATGTACCTAACAATATTTTTAAGAGCTTGGTGCATGGCTGTACCATTGCAATTTCGATTTTGTTCGTCATTTGAAGAATCTTGTTTTATTAAAAAAAAGGTGACCGGAAACCATAATAAGAAAAAAAATGGATTTAAAATATAGATTTTAATCTAATTGAATAGGTAGTTAATGCTCACAATAAAGTAGCAACTCTGTGATGGAACGCTGAATGTTCTGTAATATTTTTTTTTATAGTTTAACCTTATGCCAATTAAATATGCCATAATATCAACTTTATAATAGTGCATGCTATATTTCACTTATCTCTCTATTAATAACATTCAGATATTTTTAAGTTACCTATTCAAATCTAATAGATATTCTTGGTCTTGTTTGGTCTAAAACATTAATCAGAATGAATGAATGAAATAACTTAATTGTAACCATGGTCGAAATGTAGAATCATATCAAGTCGCGTTATTAATAGATAAGTGTTGACATTAATTTTGTAAGGTTTCCACACGTCGGAATTTATTGTCAATCGTTAGAATTTCCTGTAAAATAAATAACAATGTTACCAGAAACGCTTTTTTTCTTGTACATGTGTATTTTGCATATAATCCTTCCATACCCTCTTTACCTTAACCGTACAATACATTATACGAAAATCAATGACGTTAAGCAAAACTCTCATTGCAGTTGTATAATTAGCACCGTTACCGTAATTCAAGCATCAGGTTTTCGGGTACTTAACCAATTCCTGCATCATTTCTGTATTGCTGCTACAACTATTTAACCAGTCTTAAAATTTCAGCAAACTCTCAATACTTTAAACTCGATTAGTTCTTTAGAGGCATTTTGGTATCATTTCACTATTTTATTAGAGGCGGCATTGTTTATGCAAATGTCCAACATTTGTAAGAAGATTGGCAAATACTGTCCATGACCTCGGTTAGCATACGATACAGAAAAATTAGCATGTCAGCTCAGTTTGGTTCGCCCATGTAGGGAGGTTTTAAATCCCTTGATTAAAATTAGGCAAATCAAGTGGCACTTTCCTGCTCCCTATTGTGTTTCAGTAACACAGTAGGCAGCAGGAAAGGGACTCTTAACGTAAATCCTATGCAGCTTTTAAATCAGTTAAAAAAAGAGGAAGAAATTTGCACTCCTCGACAGCTGCACTTTCCATTCTATTAGCAAGCTCAACGGATGCTTCAACAAGTGTACCGCCTAATCAAAATCATAAATCCTACTGGAGATTAAAAATATCGTTAATAACCGATTCCAAAGCCTGATTCATAATAAAGTATTTTAAAAATTACGAATGCTTATTATTTATTTCATACTTTTTAAAACATATAAAAAATTCTTTGATGGATGGACGTAGCCAGTCCAATTTATAACTCACAATTTTTGGGATTACCTAAATAGAGTTTATTCCATAATGGTAACAGTAGCAGCAAACTCCCTCACTCTTGTGTATAGCGTTATCTCTTTTTAACAAAGGTCTGTTTTAGCTTACATTTATTTACTCTAAAGGTGCCTTCCCTTGTTTTTAACACAGGCGGCACATCTAAATTTTGATGTAACTAGAGGCGATAAATTGAAATAGACCAAAGAGAAATAGATGAAGGTTGCCAGTAACTAAAATTATCCTAAAATCGGATAGAGGCGCTTTTGCAACAGCCCTGAATTATAGAAAAACAATGACTGGATTAAGGCGCTGTATGCAGTGAATTTTTAACTATTTGGGTGGTGAAGTATGAGGAAGCGGAGGTGGGGTAACGCCGCTTAGCGGCGCGCAGCGCGCGAGTTTCGTCGACGCGCCGCTAGACCATTCATTACCTCGTGTGTAGTGATGGGCCGTAGGATACTATCGATAGTATCATGGAAGGCTGTTGAAAATGTACACAGATGGTCCCTATAATATCTTTTATAGACCATGATTATATTTTACTCTTATATTATTATAGGAATAGTAATAAACAAACAAATATAAAGTTTGAGAAAGCAATCAACAATTTTAGAAAATCTACCTATTAATTATTTTAAATTATCGGGAAACGGATTAAAATTGACTAAAATACATGTTAAGGTCAAATAAATTAATAAAGGCAAATGACATTTCTTACAACAAAACAATAAATAAACGAATAACTATTTATTTTCATTTAAAGTAAAATTTTCTCATAAAAATTTTAAGCAATTTCATAGTCTCCTCGGCAGAAATTACGAATACTTTTTTGTTACATATTTTCTTAAACTTTATATCTTTAATTTATCCTTTAAGTGTGAAAGACTTATTACGTTATATTAATTCTTCAATGAAATTATATTTAAAACATTATCGATAAAATTCCTTATATCGATAAACGACAACAATTATAACTAGAATCGAAATATTGTTCCCTTCCGCAGACATCGTGTAGGCTATTGGTCCGAGCGTCATGGTTGATACATCTTTTTCAAATTTTAATTTGTTAATCAATTAATTATTTTTTTGTTATTTGATAAAATGTGGAAAATACAAAAATTATAAAACAATTATTTTTTCGTGTTCGTAAAAGAATAGGTTTCGTTTTAGGGTGAAAAATTAAATCTTTTAATAAAACAAATTAAAAACAACATACAATATAAGACTTGTTAAAAATTTTAAATAATGAAAACTTGGTTTAATATCTGATAGATTGTTCTCCAACTGTTGCGTTCTACGTTCAACAAATACAATAATATTTCGTTGTAATTATTTATAAAAATAAAAAATCAACAAAAATTAAATGGTAAATTAAAAAAAATACCTACAAAAAGAAAATCACCAAAAAATACAACAAAGAAAAATGTAGGGATTGAACCCAATTCCTATAGAATGATGGTCCTTTACACAGTGTTACCAACTGTTCAAAAATTATACTCCTAAAACAATTCGAAAACCGACTAAAATTTATTAAATTCAAACAAAAATTTCTAAATTTAAAATCAGGATTTTTTATATTATAGGAAAAGGACAAGAACATCAAATATAACATACTTCATTTGAAATTAATATGTTAAGAATAAAATCAAAACAATATTAAAAAAAATTATTAGAATACATAAAATATTCATACCAGACACATAGGCCTTGGCCTGACGTCATCCAAAGCAGCACTGAATTTTTTAAAATAAGTTGTTTTGTGTAGTTTTTTTCGAAAATGTGAATAAAATTTAACTCCTAAAAAATATTCCCATAAAAATTTACCTCCCAATAAACTTCCATTACACATTTTTTTATTCCTAAATTTCGGAAGAAAATTCCTTTAGTTGGCATCCCTGCCTTTACACTGTTTGTTTAGGACTGATAAACTTATCAATGACAAAATATGATATTGAAAAAATTACGCTTTAGTTGTTAATTCATACAAATAATTAAAAGTACGAAATATGTGAATATATATTTTTTAGTTTCGTGTTTTCGAAAGATTTAATAAAATTATAACCCTCAATAATAAATAAATACGGAACATATTTCGTAACGGTGAGCGGAAGACGAGCGGCATAGATCCATCTAGCAAGGCGCCTCAGCGCTCTTTGTTCAACGTGTGGTGTTGGAAGAGAGCCGAAACAACGCCGCGGTGGCGCGGTGTTTTGCCCATCGCGTTCGAATTAATTTTAATGAATTAAATTAATATTTATAAATATCTTACATCAATCAAAAAATTAAAACAACAATCCTTTTTATTAATATATTCTACACCACTGATATTAATTTCATTAAGATTTGTTGATGTATAACGTTCATTTTTGGTTTTGAATTTCTCTTTTAGAGGTAGTTTCATGATTTTTTTCTATCGAGAAAATATATCGAGAATATGTTTTGGAAACAATGTTCCCTTAGAATGTACGATCAAGATTAACATATTTTTTTTTTGCTGCTATAAAATGTGTAGAGTTTGCTAAAAAATCTTTTGAAAAACCTATTTTTACTGCATACAGCGCCTTAAATAAATTGATTTTATAATTTCAATAAAAAAAGTTATATAAAACGTATAAATTCATTTAAATAAAATGAATTTCATTTTCCAGAGATTCCAATAGAAATTAATGTGATTTTATTGTATTCTAGTCTTCAAATCATGTAATCATAATGAAATTTGTCGGTTAATATATCCAAGTGATCTTTTGGATTATCTGGATTATCAGAAGCTGCAGCTTTAAAATATTTTTCCAATAAAAGTTTAAGTATTTAGTTTTTATAAAGATAAAATGAAACAATTCCACTTACTTGAACATTTACAAGCTTAAACAATTATTAACCAACAAGAGTGCAGTCAATAAGGCTAGTTCCAAGTAAATAATTGTGAAACATCAATATTAATTTATTTTTTTATTTCAGGTATATTGAAAACAAAAACGAAAAAAAATGGCAAAAATAAAGTGTAACATTATTAGCCATTTATTTATCTACAAGAGCATATTGCAAGGGTACACTTGATCACTAAATACATCTACTTGTTCACAAGGACACTCTTCAGTCGTATTATTCTTCATAATCATCACCAACACGGTTGTACAATTCATCACCAACCTTCTTGTTGATACGCAAATATTTATTAACCATTGGTCTGTAATAGTATGCCTGGTAGTCTTGGCGCTCTGCCATCTTTTTCAGTATTTCCTTTTCCAAGGCGCGTAGTTTCATCTTTTGATGCTCTTCATCCAGGAAGTGCATGAATTTTTCATATTCCTGCAAAAGCAAATCAAAATTCAAAGGATTAAACATTAATATTTATTTACTAAAATGTTATAACAAAGAGTAAAGTAAGAAAGTTTATTAGAATATTAAATAAAGAGTACACATTTTGTTAATTAAAAAAAAATATATTTAAAAAATTATTGCACTTAAGTTCTAAATCGCCCGTGTTTTGAATACTGTGTAGTCTTCATGGGCACAAATAAAGATGACTGACATCAAAATGGCACCATGTAAAAATGTTATCTATATTGCGATATATAACTATGTCTGAGAAATTAAAAGAAATACCTATGCGATCAGTATTACATCATATTTGGGCATTGCAACTAAGCAAGAGCGGCTAATGAAACCAATAAATACATCAAGAATCTTATGTTCTATCATATAAAAAAAGGGACATCTATCGAGTGTAATATCTCTTTAAAATCAATGTGAGATTTGAAATAAGATTCCCCAGGAATCTGTATTTCATTATCAGACATTTATATAAAAGCAATCATACAGGATCTATATATATATTTACCTAAAAAAATATTAATGTAAAATTAAAATTATAAATTGTTGCTTAATTACAAAGTTACAGGCAGGTCACTCCTTGGGCAGCATTCTGTTTTCAACTTTCTTCACAATATAACTATAATTATATTATATATCACATTCTGAAGATTTTTATCACGACATTTATGTACCGGGCACAAGAACAGAATCACCATCAGTTGTAATAATTAAAAAAGTTTGTTAAAATCTAGGAACTGAGAAAAAGATTAGACCGAAATAAAAAAATACACTTTTTTTGTCTACATGGAAAATTCTTCCATAAGCAGGTAGTTTTTTTGTCTACATGGAAAATTCTTCCATAAGCAGGTAGTTCACTTGAGGTTAAATGATAATGCCCTCCGTAGAAATCTAGAACACCTGAAGGATTGCAGATGTGTTGCCAACGGTTAAAAAAAAGGGTGATGTGTTGAGTCACCCCCCACTTCCTATATTTATCATGTTGGCAGTACTGTGTATGCAGTTTTATTTAAATCAATAAAATGTACTTTCTTAGTGAACAAGTTTTAAATAAATTTTTCTCTCGTAAACTGAATGCGACCAGAGTTTTCTGCTTGTTGATTAATTCATTAGTGATTTTTCTCTATCGTTTAAATTTTTATAATACTTGCATCTTCGAAAACACTGAAATTTATCAAAATTACATTTCGTTTCACGTTTCGTAAGATTTTAAAATTTTAAAAAATAGCTAATTAAATTTTTGTCATGTCTCCGGCAGAAAAAAATGGGTTAGAGTGCTTGGTACGAACCTCCTTAACCCCCCCATACTTACAGTGTACTTGAATTCAGGCGACTCTATTCAAAACCCAACCCCAAAAGGCAACATAGGGACCACTTTATCTTTGTACATTTATATTTTTAACATTTTACCTGCTGAGGATTGGTATGGATGTAGCGCGCTATGAATCTAGTTATTGGGTGACGGTGGTATTCCCAGTGCTTAGGAATGTAGCCCTCGGGTATAGGTTCTAATTGAGCAGGACCAATGAAAACATTAGTGTAGAATATAATCGCTGATACTGGAATCAATCCAACCATGATATAGTAGTGAAACATGTCCTTGAACTTGTGCCATTGCCACCTATAAATATTAATATAAAAATTAAATTAAGCAAATTAAACATTTTGGCTAGATCACAAAATTGGTTAGGTAATCACAGAACTAGGGAGACATACCTAGATGGCTGTAGGGCCATCACCCTGTGACCATGATCATCACTAAGTACTTTGCTAACAGAAAAGTTTGCATTTTGACCTCTGAATGATGGTTTTGTATGATTTTTTAATAAATTAATGCCGAAAGATCGACCCAAAGCACTCCAGGACACCATTTTTATATTATGATCTATATAAAAATGACAGTTGATTGAAAGAAGGAATGAAAATACAAGTAACAGATAAAAAAAAATTTCAGTGTTTAAAATCGAAAAGATGACGTGAATGTAAATATCCTCATTAAAACCTTAAATGGTTTATTTAGTTTATTAATTATAATTGTGAGTTTTACAAAACATAGACATCGATAACTTCTTTCCAAATAAATATACGTAAACATGTCAGGAATTGATTTATAATGTCAAAATAATTGTTACGAATTATTTGAAAATCCAAGTAAGTTAGTAAAATTCTTATTTCATATAATATTTAGTCAACTTTCATAAATTTGTTAAAATCAAGATTAAAATTATATATATATATATAAATGCGTAAAATGTAAACTGATTCATACTATTATATAAATTATAATAATATTTACATTTTTAATATAAAAAAATATTATGTTAAATTGTTTCCATCATCACTATAATAATTATATTCAACCTGTTGATTCGGTTTTAAAATAAAAGCAAAGAGTACACAAAATCATTGTATTGATTTTCTTACTGAGCATGCTCAATAGTTGCGTGTTTCCAACAACTGATAACTGCGCATCAAACACCCACTAACGTTTATACAAAAGAATGATAGATAAAGATATAGTACTAGAAAAATTAACAGTGTAGTTAATGAAACTAAGTTACATTTTTTACGCTTCTTGCAAATCTGAAGCGAGCGTAATTCGGAAATAACTAAAAATGTTTGATTTGCTGGGTTGATATGGAGGAACTTTTACAAGAAATCTTTAAAGAAGCCACGGGACCCAAGTTAATAACGCTCAAGAAATCATGTCAGGATGCATTAGGTAGGTATTTCACGTGATGGTGGTGGGCACATTTTGTGTATTCTAAAACTGATATTCATATTATATACAAAGATAGTAATTACATCGATAAAGCTAAGGATCAAGTTTCACCACTTTGTGTCCACGAACAAAGATCTTTAAAAAAACAAAATCCACCAACTCTTCGATAGAAGCTGATGTAATGTTCATTATTTACTATATAAATAATAGTATTTTTTATGAACGAAGTGAAATTAATATAGATGCAGCAGGGTACATATCGTCTGCTGTAGCGACCGTGCTAAAGCAGGTTTGGGCTGGATCATTTGGGAAAGTACCACGGCCTATCGGAAGACCAACTCGAAGTAAAATCTTATACTTTCGATATTGAATACAATACATGATAATAGTGATATTTAAATAACTGTATCTGCACTACTTTGCGCTGGAGCGTGGCGTCTACTTGAATTTATTGATGTCAGTTTTACGGACCATTCATTGTAATGTACCCTCTGCTTATCTAGCTTGATAAATAATTTGTTTTTGTAGTTAAAAAGAGGCTTTAAATTTGGCCACAATAAAATTTTGATGTCGGCTTTGTCGGGTCAGCAAGTAAGGTATTATTTGGATACTCTTTTATTTTGGAAACATAATAAAATTTAACAGCATATAAGAACTAAAGTGACACATGGTATTGGAAATAATTGATTAATACATAAAAGTAATAATCGTCGCGTTAACGGTAATTTTCGGAGGTATTTATTATATCAAAGGTTAATTATTTATACTTGAGATATCATAAGAATTCATTTTACGGAAGTCGGTTTTAAATTCTCTTTTCTCTCTTTTCTTTAATCTTTAACGAGGTATCAGCACCAAAGTTGTTTTATAAATGTTAGACAAAAAAATATCACAAAAGTTTTATGATCTGAAACGTTATAATATTTACAAAATATTATGTAAAGCTAAATAGCTTCTGCTTTCTCCACCTTTGGACTGGCAAGTCTGAATCTTTCTGTTTTTTAATTTTTTTTTCTTAATTGTCCTGTCATTTCGCAGAGGTGTTATGTATCCAAGAAAGCAACGCTCGCCGGCCGTCGTACGAGTTGAGGCGCGCGTGCCTGCTGCCGCTGCAGATCGCTCTCGAGACCAAGCGACCGCGCCTCGTCTCTTACGCGCTCCAGGGCTTCCATGTGAGCGTTGCCAACATAAAATTGTAAAAGCTACACCAATGGAAACGGCCTGCTGTAATGTCGAAGAATACATTGATGACAAGGACAAGTTGAAGTGACTCTTGCTCATCACTGCTAATTTTGTATTTAAATAATTTTTGTACTTTATAATTAAAAAATAGAAGTAAGACCACAGAGTTTCCTGCCGCTTCTTCTCTGGACAGGTCTAGTTTAGTGATCCGGTCGTAGTTTTTGAACGTACAATAAATGCTTAATATAAGACTATATTGAAAAAAGAAAGTTTGACTTTGACTTTGATAACATTTTTTTTAACTATACTTACGGTCTGGTAGGCATGTTTGCTGTGCAATAGAGCATCCTACGCTCGCCATGTAACGCGACTAAATAAGTCAGGCTGACAGACAGCAGAATGACAGGACAATCCATCTGGATTCAGAACACCCATCAAGTTGTTAAGATTCTTCGTAGATCATAATTATACTATAGTGAAGGGAAAAATGTACTGTGGTAGAGCCATGCAGCAACTTCTTACTACGGCTTTTTCAACTTTTACTTTTAGTTTGGCGAGAGAGGAAACTGGCGCCCTTTCTCTAATAGGTTGACCACGTGACGTGACTGTAAGCCCATAGATGCTGTATATATCTACCGGCGGTAATAATCTCGTACCATCAGCAGAACAGCCTGCCCATTTAGATCTTAAGGATGCGCTCTCCAAGGATGTGAAGGCCTAGACTCACCATGGAGAGCATCGGGGCATTACATACAAGAGCCTGGGTGACCATCCAAAGGGTGAACATGAAAGAGGTTTTTGTGGATTCGATTCCCATATAAACTATGTGGGGTCTTCCGTCTGAATACAATAACGTCGCTGGGAACTCCGATGCGGCAAAAAGATTATATTGCTAGGAAAGTTCTGTTGCTGAGCCATAAAACTTTCGTGGTCCTATTTCAGTACACGGGTATGCGGGCGGTCCTATAAACAGTAGATAAATCTTTTGGATACCAATGTTTTTTCACGTCATTAACATTTTAAACCGGTTAGTCAGTAATTTAAATAAATTATTCATTATTTATTCTTTCCGATCCGTGGCTGATTTTTACCAAATTTAATATTTTGATAGTTGGATTGTAAACTTAAACAATAGTTTGTTTTTATTGCATTTTGGCGAATGTCTTAGAGTTTTTATCCAGTATAATACATTGTAATGTACTCTCGACTTTTTCTACTACTAAGTCGCACCCGTGACTAGGGACGATGTAAAATATTCGACCCCAATAAAGTCCGCAAAGTGGTCTTATTCAAATATATTTTTACCAATATTTTAGTCACAAGCAACAATAAAAAATTAACTTCATCTCGTATACGTTTTGTAAGATGAACTAATAGAATATGAATTTCTTGGTAATAGAAACGAGTATATTCACAATAGACCTGCTTGCATTTCAATTTCCTAAATGTTTTGAAATATTATAATTAAGAAAATATTTACTTTTAAATGGCTATTTACAGAAAATACTTCGCGACGATCGATTTCACAGAGGAATCGAACCCGAAGACGACTCACTATGGATGCCATCACAACTGCTGTGCGCTACTGCCTCCGTTATGTACCACCAACCAGAAACACAGGTGAAAAGATTTTTATTGTACCCTTCCTTTGTATATTCCGACTTTAATTTAGTTTAGTCATATAATAGAAAAAATATAAAATAATATAAAAAAAAAATCGAATGGGGTGAGGATTAGTTCTTGTGCTATACCTACTATTTCGGCTCTAGTAGTATGATGTTAAGGATCATTTTTTCCGTATGGAGCTACGCTTCTTCTCCGAATATATGTATTCCGTGCAGGCTTTGTTTTGATTTGTAAACATTAACTAAATTAAAATTTATAATACGTCAATAATAAACTGTAATTTAAATTTTATATTTTAATTTTATTGGTAATTTTTTTTAGTGCATACCCTGTCTTTAATCTCTGTGTACGCCCCTGACATTATCACTTAAAGTTACCAATTTCATTGGTGCTGGCACCATGTTGGCCATGAACTCAGATTGCCCGAGTACATTTAATTAAAAGCGATCGCCCTAACGCTGAGCTAACGACCCCTTCGCCGGCACGGGTGCAAAGTCCACGAAGCAAATCGTTCCGTTCAGGTGCAAATATTCCGCATGTACCTGTCGCTGGCGCTGTCACCGCGTCGTACACTGAACGGCCGCCTGTGCGTGTGGGCGTGTGGGCGATGCGGCGAGGCGGCGGGGGCGGCGCCCCAAGTTGCGGCGGCCGCCCGCGCCGCCGCCGCCCAAGCTCTGCGGGCTTACTGCGCGCAGCTCGGTACGTCGTCCTTCTCGCTCCCACATTGAATAGCGAATAGAGTTGTCATTAGTCATTTATTATGTCCTAATCCCTTTTTTGGCCGCGGTATCTATTAAAAAATTTCTTACAGGACCATAAAATATGTTCACTATTAAAAAGCGACGGAATATAATAAATAAAAAACATTGAATAATATAAATTATTACGTATTTTAAAACATTTATGACATTTAACATCGAGTTTAAACTATTAAAAACGATAGCGATCTAACCGTCCATTCAATTATTTCTACGTCATAGTATTTTTCTTCTACATAGATGAAGAATGCCAAGAGCTGCTCTCTGAAGGTTCTCCAGTCGGCGGGAATCACATCGTTGCAGTGGGCTGCTACAGCGAGGTGATACCGGTCATACAATATCTGTGCAGTCGACTGTCGGAAACGCAATTGTGAGTGGACAAAGAATTTCAATAGTTCTAAACAAAAGCATTCGGAAGACCCATTTATTAATGTTTTAGTTCAATGTAAATCTAGATATTAAAGAGCTAAAGGCTAATTCATACATTTACATTTCCATTTTCAACCGATTTCAAAAAAGGAGGACGTTCTCAAATCGAGTGTAGTTTTTTTTGTTTGTTATCTCAGAACTTTCGACTGAGTGAACGGATTTTGATGATTCTTTTTTTTTATTTGAACGCTGGTGCTCCCCACGTGGTCCCATATTTGTTTTGGAAAATTAAATATTTTGGTAGACATTGATGTTTAATGAAAGTAAATGCTTCATACAATTTTAAGAAGTTATCGTGTATATGTGTGTCTATTTATGTTCGCGATAGTAGCGCCACCTAACCTAAAAAATATTAAGAAGTTACTTTTTTTGATGTTATCGTCATACCTTTGTTGAATTTTTTTATTGTTATAACAGAATACCAAAGCAGAACCCACTGGCACTGTTCTTCCTCGACTGCTTGTTGACCCTGATGTCCAGCCTCTCGGAACGCGTCTGCGGCAACTCCCACTTCACAACGTTCCTCTGGCAGAAGTTCTGTCCATCCCTCATCTCCTTTCTTGGGACGCCAAGGGTCGACAAGAATATAAAGGCTAGGTGAGTTACGAAAAAAAGTCGCGACGAAAGGGTTGTGGAACTATTTGTATAATTTATTTATAACGTACCTTTATTTACTTTACACGTGTTACCAATTTGCGAAGTACACCTAAAGGTCTCTAGTTTTAATTTATTGTTTTGCACTAAACTTGAATACTAGTCTTTTTATTTTGTTTTATTCAAAAACATTGCCCTTACGATTACTTGTAAGATTACATCATCCTGTGTTGTAAGGACGTTCTACTTAGATTTTCACTTGAATTAGAATTTCACTTGAACAAACACCCAGACCCAAAACAATTATATGTGGGTCCCACATATAGTTGTCGTGAGATTCAAACCCACTACCCCCGCGTCGAGGTCAATACTCACGTAGTACATTTGTTGATACTCACGTAGGCTAAAAATGACGTACTTGACCTATTATTTTTGAAACTGATACCTCGGCAACGGCGGCAACTGTTGAGTTTCTTGCCGGTTTTTCTCAACAGAAACTTTGATCTTTCGAACCGGTGGTAATAACGTATTAATTTTTATGTAAAATTTTTGACATTTCATAAGAACGGGCCTATGTGAATAAATATAATATTATTGATTTTGATTTTTGATACCTCGGCAACGGCGGCATGGAGTCATCATAGTACTTGTGATTTTGTGATAAAAGCTTTGATCTTTCATAAAATAATAAAAAGCCGTTCGTAAAAAAATGTGTAATCTAAGAGCCAAATAGCATTGCAGAAACACTTCACGATTTTTTTTATTTTTTTATGTGAAAACGTGGCAAGTGAGTGGTTCATCTGAAGTTAAGTGATAACCGCCGCCTATTAACACACGTCTAACGCTACTTGCCAATAATCGAAAAAAAATATTAACGTTAAAAAAATCCATATTTAAAAAAAATATTTTTCAAACAAACTAATTAAGTAAAAAAGAAATAAAATATGTAACATCCTATACAAGTACAACTGACTGATTCATACATTCAGAATTTTATTCATTCGTTGCCACAGCGCCGCATTACAAGCCTCTCCTTCTAATAGTATGTTTTGTCTCTTTTAAATTCATTCAACCCATTCATATGCTTTGGGACTAATGAACTTTACAAATAAGCTTAACAACATTAAAGTTTTATACGTAAAACGTTCTAAAATTCTTTGTTTTGGAAAATTTGATAACTGGTTAAATATTTATGTTTAAAGAATGTAAATCTTTAATATAATTTTAAAAAGTTATCCTCTCTATGTGTGTTCATTTATTGTCGCGATGGTAAAGACACGCTGTATAATGTATCATACTTATTATAAAATACAAACGATGATATCTCGTAAACATAGAAAGTAATTCATGAATATTCAAACGGTGAGTACTACGCCATTTATTATCCTCACCAGGGAGCACGAAGGGCATCTAGTTGACGACTCCGGACGAGGTTCTGGTGCTCTGGTGTGCGCGCCGAGCTTCAACAGCAAGCAGGCTAAGGCTATTTATAGGTGGGCGATTGATCAAACTTTTTAATTATTAATTTTTCTAGATAAATGAACAAAAAATTGCGTCTTCTGGTTTCGCGCCCATTCGTTTTACCAACTAAGCTTTACCAGCTAAGTAGGCTTATAGTGTGGCTATAAGTGTTTGTTCAGTTTCTATCATAGTAATTTTTTTTTATAAACCGACTTCAAAAAAGGAGGAGGTTCTCAATTCGACTGTATTTTTTATGTTTGTTAACTCAGATTTATTTTATTTGAGACCTGGTGCTTCCCATGTGGTCCCATATTATTTTCATTGGTATTGGATCTCGGGCTCCAGAGATAATCCTAAAAATCAATTAATAAATGAATACAGAGCGAGATTTTTGATTTGAAGTCGGTTTTGTTTTTCGTTAGTAAAAATAGACTTGTTTATTACATTTTCGTGTGTTCCTCAATAGATGTACCACACGCCTCTGTCTACTATAAGTAATACTGTAATATGTGTCGTTCTAATGTCAATAGCTTTTTTTAGAAACTCTTTTTGAATACATTTCAGCTTGTTAAACAGTCATAACCATTCTCATTAAAACCGCTCTGATAATTGATAAAATTAATGGACAGGAAAAATCGTTCCATTCTAGAAATTTGTATATGAACTTCTGATTTAATTTTAAAGAAGGTGCAAATATTCCTGAACGTTCCAATCGTTAAGAAAATATAACGGTTGTTCTCTGGAAAGGTGTAAAGTTTCGGAATGGTGTTGGTTTTTGACATTCAACCAACCTTGAAAGAAACCCTTTCATATGAAAAATTCAAGCATTGTTCTTCCAATTCCTGATTACAGTTAATAATCGAGCTCCTTTGACTATTTTTTTTTCCTTTCAGCATAGCAAATCAACTCGTTCGATTAGTGGGCTCCATTGCAAATCTACGACCTGTCCTGGAAGCTCTGTACCATAGGATGCTGTTGTACCCGCCGGTGTCGCATCGCGTAGAGCCATTAAGAAGTGTGAGGGAGCTCCTTCAGCACCCGAAGAGACTGTGCCAACTGGTGCTTCTGAAGAAAACTGATCCCGAGAGACACAGCGACGATATGGCCATCATAAGATTGTAGGTGTAACACGGTTTCATTAAAATAAAAGTAGAGTCAGTGACAGATAATATCTGTGTACTATTTATTATTAGAATATTGGTAATTTTTTTATAGTGTTGCCTAACTAACGGCAAATCTTTAATCTGTGATCTCATTTAACACATATAACGAAAAAAAATACACAAGTTAATATCCTACTATTTTCTACGATCTCTATTATTAGCATTTATATACAAGTTCTTAAGGTGCAAATGTACTAAGTCTATTTTTTATATTTTCTGTTTTTTGTAAATTTAGGGGGAAAAACAATATTCTATATAGTTATTTCAGATTAATTTTTACTTTGTTATTTTAATTCAAACACTTTGGAATTGTTAAAGAACTGTCTTTTTAATCAATTTTTTCGTACAACTATAAAGAATGTCTTATTAAGTATGCTTTTCGGGTGAGATTCAATGTTTGATTTCTGGACTTTCGGGCACTGTTTTCTGGTTGACTAATCTAGTCTATTGACTTTCGGAAATGAAATTCGAAGCAACTTACTTATCTTCTGCAACTTTTTGCCAGTAATGGATATAAACACAAAGTGTGACATTAATCGCGATAAATTAACATTATACAAGATAGAATGGTGGATTTGTCTTTTTTTATGCAAGATGGTGTCAAACGGGCAATAGATTCACCTGATGGAAAGTTTACGGTGGTAGGGCCACGCAGCAGCCTCGGCTGTTGCACGAATGGGCAGGCCCGTCCGGGTAAGTACCACGACCTCACAGAAGACCGGCGTAAAGTGGAAGTATGACAAATACTTTCGCGTTTCGTCTGGTGAGTGAGGTAGCCGGAGCCCAATTTTCAAAAGGTTGTCAACGCATCTGTAACCCTCGAGTGTAGCAGATGTCCATGGGCGGCGGTATTCACTTAACATCAGGTGAACCGTCTGCTCGTTTGACAACATTTCGCAAAAAAAAAAAAAAAAAAAAAATGGAAAGTGATCACCGCCGCCCATGAACATTTGCAACAACGGTGGGCTTGTACATAAATGCGTTGCCGGCCGTTCAGGAAAGAATATGCTCTCTTCTCGAGGGTCGTAACGAATTATTTCCTTTAAATAAACATCACCCTTACTGTAGGATAACATTATCCTGTGTTGTAAGCACGTTTTGCAAACATAAATATCACACGGACAAACACCCGGATGCGAAACAACTATCTGTGGGTCGCACAAAGAGTTGTCCCGTGTACGGATCGAACCCACGACCCCCGACGCAGTAGCCAATACCTTGGCAACTGCGCCACGGTGTCATCAAAACCGCATCTTTCAGAATAATGGACGGCATAGAGGATTGCGGTCGCAGCGGGAACCCAGAAGTGGTGGCCGCCGCGGTGGAATGCGTGGTCTCCTTGCTCGACGCCCTCGAGAAACTCTGCGCCGGGCCCAACGATTACTTACTGTGCGATACCGCTGCGCTGATACTGAAACATTGGCCGAAGCTTCAAGATGCCGACTACACCGGACCGTTAACTTATCAGACCTTGGCCAGATTGCCCAGTCCATACAGGTAATATGGTTGAAAAAAAAATTATAACTTGAAAACAAAATTATAGATTGTTCTATAGCGGTATTGTTAAAAATTCAACACGAATTATTATATTTCGTATCCGTCTTTTTAAAAACTTAATTAATCGCAGTAAAGTTGGACACCGACCAAGTTGTCCAAAAATGGATTTTTCCATTATATTATGTTTTAGGGACGTGGTAGCGGTGTTGCAGAGCAAAGAAGAAAAGGAGCACGACTCGTCAGGTAACTATTTTCTCAAAACAAGCGCGTACCTAATTTATGTTTTAGCTAAAACATGATGTGTTCCACATACGTTTATTATTACTTATTTTTATTTGTCATATGACAACATGAAATATATTAAACATCAGAACGTCAGAAAAGTGAGTCTAGTTAGTCCGAGTTTTTCGACTAGAATAGTTCTAAAGAAATTGGCGATATTCGTTTGACTCATTACATAAAATTAACGAGAAACTTTCAACTTTTAATATTCTCTTAATTCAGACACTTCGGGACCGGAGAACGTGAGCTCGGCGAGTGATGGCGAGGTTGATTCGGACGCGGACAATGTGTTCCTGCCAGCCCGCACAAGCAATCCCTCGCCAAACAAAGCACATAGCGATCCCATTGCCGAGAGGACTAAAGCAGTTCCGAAGACACTGAACCTCGGCAGGTTAAACGATTTGGTAGCTATGGCAGCAGCAATGCTTAGATAAGATAACCAAAATTAATAAAAGTTAAGTAAAAGCTTATATACATGCGCCCCACAGCTAGGCAAAGGCCTCATCTGTACAAAAGAAAGGTATTAGGGCGTAGTTTAACACCACCAGTATTTTTTTATTATAATTATTACGAAAATATGCAGGTTTCTTCACGATTTTATCCTTCACCGCTGGGCACAAGTATTTCGAATCATTTTCAAAATATTTAATGATCAACTCTTCTTTCAGATGCAATATAACTGAATGCAATGTCGACCTCGAAAGGCATAACGCGAGGCAATTCGTCAAGACATTACAGAATTCGCTGTTGCCAAAACTTATTAACTTGAGAACTTGTATAGAGGTGAGTGCAAGTTTTAATCTTTCTCAAATTTTACTTCAAATGTCTGGCCGTTATACACTCTGCAGCGTATAAAATATCATATAAATACTCTTAAATAGTTCCAGATTCAGCAAATAAACAAATATCACTTAAAATGTTTTTTGGCTAACACAACCAGACGCTTTAAGTCGCATTTAGTTTAGCATTAAAAATAAAAATGAATCCTAAAATCACTCGTGTTAGTATATACCAGATTTTTTATGAGCAAACTTTTCACAGAATGGTGTGGGATATCCTAAGCACATGGTCATTTTAGACCATTGAGTGTCCAATTGCGTTGCCAACCTTTAAGATGGTGCGCCCACGTTAGCTCATTGACCAGACGAAACGCAATAGTATATAGTACGGCATCGGCTTTCCTCTTCTTCTTCTTCTATACTTGTCGATGACAAATTGAATCTTTCCGGCCCAGAACTTGTTTCCAGCAAATCCTGCTGTGAACAGATATATACAAAGGAATAACTCAACCGGCTTTCTGTTGAGTTTTTTCCTTGATAACCTGCGAACAGGTGATTACCAGGGAAAAATACAGGTTTTCTGTTGAGTATTTTCCTTGGTAACCTACGAACAGGTATTTACCAAAGAAAAAACACAGGCTTTCTGTTGAGTTTTTTCCTTGGTAACCACCCAAATCATTTTCAATATTCTATCTAGCCGTAGATTTAGTTACCAACGATAGGTATTTGACATTAGCTCCGTAACACTTACGTCAAAACTCTTATCTCCAATAACCAAATCTACAGATAGATAGCTGTTACCCGATACGATCGTCGATTTATCAATCGACCATATTAATAGTATCGGGATACGATCGTCGATTATCAACCAGGTGGACGAAGCGATGCAGGACTTCGCTTCAAAGTGCTGCCAGCACAACGCCGCCCAACCGCCGGCCACCGCGTGCATCATGAACGCGGACGGCGTCTACCTGGCCACGTACGCCGCACTGCTACTAACGCTGAAGCAGAGGCGCCTCAAATACTACAACGAGCCGAACGTGAGTGAGATTCACCTTTTTTCCGTGGGAAAAATCCTTAATGGATCGGGAGAGTGGCAGGGCTATCCGGGGATTTTCCGTCGGAAAAATCCTTTACGAATCCCCTGCCACTGGATCAGGGGAGTGGGGAGTCCCGGAGACGGGTACCCATTAAAAGCCCACGTTGCACCTGTCCCTATCGCATCGGCCATTTAGTGAAATTCGCATAAAGCCTTGAAACTGTCTAGTACTGGTTCACATAAAGCCTTGAAACTGTCTAGTACTGGTTCACATAAAGCCTTGAAACTGTCTAGTACTGGTTCACATAAAGCCTTGAAACTGTCTAGTACTGGTTCACATAAAGCCTTGAAACTGTCTAGTGTTGGTTCACATAAAGCCTTGAAACTGTCTAGTACAGGTTCACATAATGGTAGTGCCACGCGGCAGTCTTCGCTGTTCCACGAACCGACGGACTCGGGGAACAACGATCCCAAAGAAGAGCGGCGTGAAGTGGAGGTGTCACTTTTGATGAAAGAGTTAACACTTTATTAAAATATGGTAAAGATCTGCCACTTTTTAATAAAATCTCATGGCAAGAAAAGACAGGGAGAAAGATCCTTTCGTGTATCTAATAATAATAATAATTTATTTCTATTTATAAACCCAACCAGACAAGAAAACAAATAAATATCTCCGAGGCTAGACTCCATGAATCCTGACCTCGAAATTTAACCCTATCTGTATGTCTGTCAAAGGGATTTACACCTTGTAATTAGCCTAAGTGACGTTGCATATGAAAATTTTACGAAAATATAAAGTCGAGTCAATCTATTCTATAAAAATACGGATTGACTGCGGATCCTCTACGCAACATCTTTGTGGATTGACTATCTTCATATCTTTGCTTGTCTGCACAATCACACAAAAACGTGGTAACACTTAAAGCAGTATTTAACAGGAATATTATAGGAAGAGCCAATATTGGAATCATGATTGTAACTAAAATTCTCGTTTAAATATACATGACGTATATTTAATTCTGTTTTACCAAACGATCGAAGCATATAAATATAATTTCATTGAATCCTACAGAAAGTTCAAGTACCATTAACAGAAGACGAATTTGTGGAGGAAGTGCAAGGCAGTGGCGTCTTGGTATATTTGTCCGCAACTTGGCTACGCGAAGTGTATCAACAGGTTCTGGCCAACGATTTATTAAAGGACGTGCCTACATCCGATCATCCTCTCATGCATTTATTATCTGGTGAGTTAAGGTAAACTAAGTCCATAACTCAATAGGAAACATAGACCATTTTATCTAATTTAGTTAAAAATAAACTTGTTTCTTTTTGTAACATGTTTTATACTTCTAATGTAGATATCAAAAGCGAAACAGACGAAATTGTCATAAATTTAATTAAATACAATACTACGATATGATTTTATATATAAGGCGTAGATCGGTATCTAAGTTTTTAGTATTTAATTATTACAACCATAACAAAATATCGTTTTCTAATGCATCTACCATATTGATACCTCGCCAGATAACGCAATAATCTCGTTCGAGTAGTCTATAAAACTGTCCTCCCATCGTGTAAAAGTAATATGAATATTAGAAAACCAAGGAGACTGTCTTTCCAAACTCATAATGAATAATCCATATGTTCTAATGTTACAAAAAAAATCTAATTTTACAAAACATACAAAAATAAATATGTATGTATATTATATTTATAAAATGAAAGCAATTTATCATATATATTTACATATATAAAATTGTTCGCTACCCGTAAGGGATCACACAACACACGGTCAAAACACAATTAAATACAAAAAATAATGCTTGTGTGAAAACAATGCAAAAATAAAATAAATAAAAATTCTGTTCATTAGATCTCGGCGGCTTAGATCAAAACCCCGTGATGTCAGATTGGCAGAGGCTTAAAGAGGTCTCGAGGCTTTATAACCACTCGGACGATTCGCCGCAACAACAGGCCAGCTTGCGGTGGGCACGGAGGTAAATTACTTCTGTATTTAGTAATGAATCCCAGTTGCAGTAGAAAAATGCGAGGAAATTAATATCTTTACACATATCTTGATTAACAGATAATTTATCAAATCTAAATTTATTTGTTATAAAGATGTATAAAACGTTTAAGGATACTGACCTGTATTTGGGACTCAATGGTGACGGTCCTGAGTGTACCGTTGACGGGATACAGGAACAGAAAACACAAACTGCAGGGAATCATATCAAAGAAGATCAACACGTTCGGAAAGAGGAAGAGAGTCGCTTGGGAGGGGCTAACGATTCAGTGTTTAGAAGGACTTCATAAGGTTGACTTTATTCTTCACGGTGGTACCTTACGAACCTATACACATAATCTTTGATTTAACATTTGACGATTCATAAGAGCGCGCAAGCGTCTATTTGAATAAATATATTTTTGATTTGATTTTGATTTTCATAATTTTTCCCTTATCAGTACCAAATGCAATGTTTAAGATTGAAGAAAGATTTTATGTGTATCAGTTATAGAATAAAGCATTGTATTTTTCAGTATATTTGCTAATAAGTTAATCAATATTTAGGACTTCAATTTGATCATTTTTTATTGGATCTTCATAATGATGACATGATTTATATTATAAATTATTTCCCATAATTTCTTACCAAGGGCAATTTAGGATTGAAGACAGATTTTATGTGTATCAGTTATAAAATAAAACATTGAATTTTCATCGTTTAAGTCAAAATACGCTAAAGCTACCTTTATAAACTGGAAGAAATGTAAGAATATGACTGCGTTTGACTTAAACTTTTGCCCATTAAATGTTTTTTAATTATCAATTCAAAGAAATTTTATATAACGAGTAATTGGTGAAATAATTTCTCAGGCTGCCAGGATCAGTAACACATTGAGCCTGCAGAGCCGTTGCAGCAGCATATTGGCGTTACTGGCCAATTCCGCCATATCCCAACCACCTAACGGAAAGATTTTGGCAACTCACGCTCTGTCCCTGGACATATTAATCACAGGTGAGAAAAAGACGTATATAGAAGACGCAGAGCTAAAGTAATTTGTATTTTAAAGTAATAGCCTATAAACAAGTGGGGCACTGCGGCTTTGAGGACTTCATGTGACTTTGAAATATTGATATTAAGTGATGACCGCCTGCCTATAGACATTTGCAACACCCGAAGGGTTTGCACATGCGTTGCCACCTCTTAATAAAGTGGACCCTGGCTGCCTAACTCACTAGACGAACAAAATTGCTACACTTCTACCTCACGCCGGTCTTCTGTGAAGCCGTGGTACTAACCCGGACGGACCGGCCCGTTCGTGCAACAGCGTACACAGCTGCCCTACCACCGTACGAAAGTTTTCTGCACTTTATACCCACAGGTAGTGACACTTAACTTTAAGCGCCAACGGCGGTGGCAGAAAATGTCTGGCGACGGTTTCGTTTAACTCTTGAAGCGTCGTTTCAAGCGTCGCCCCTTAATCTAAGGTGGGCTGGAGCTCGGATCTAAAGCGCCGGAGTGCTGGGAGCACATCTTCAGCGCGTGCCACTACGTGTCCAGTTTGGAGCACTCCTTGTTCGGACAGCAGGGCAACAACGCCACGCCCATCGTGACGATGCAGACCGGCAGGAACAAGACAGTCTCCATACTGCAGGCGGACGCGAAGCTGGCGCTAGACGGGAGAGACGACGAGACTTGGTAACAGTGCCGATTTGCAGATTCAGTTCTTTGAGCGGAACATCGTTAGATTTTACTTTGCAAATTTGCAGATACACTTGATTATTTGAGCGAAATATTCTTACAGTTTAATTACTTGTCCAATTTGCAGATACACTTAGTTCTCTGAACGGTATATCCTGACAGTTTCCTTACTCTGCTAATTTGCAGATACACTTAGTTGTTTGAGCGAAATATTCTCACGGTTTACTTCTGTGCTAGAACCGCGCAGCACCTGCTGCTCCGTAGTGGCACGTCCGGGGAAGTACCAAATTTCAGAAAGTTGGCATAACGTAGAAGCATTTATACTTATGCGTTCCGTCTGATGAGGTACCAAGTCAGTTAAATAAGTTTTCTTCAAACTGTTTTCGAGAATAGATTTCGTAAACTATCAACATAACTTACCTATGATATGTTATAGCTTATTTGAATATTTTTATTTAAATAAATAATCTTTTTTTACATGCCTGAGTTGTAATAAACAAAAATAAATGTAACAAATAAAAAAACGCACATACTTGCAAGGTAGTCTGACCGGATGAAGCTTTATTTAATACTCGCGAGACAAATCTTCCGTAGAAATTACTAGTTCATGCTTTTTTGTATCATCAGTGTGGACGTGTTCAATTTTCTGCAACCGGTGATGGAGAACAATACTAACAATGACATGTCCGTGGCGAAGATCGTTGAAACCTGCCGGCAAGAGGTAAGAATAATCAAGGATGTGAATGGAATGTACTTTATTATTATAGACTGCGCCCGCGAAAGCGAATAATACGGTTTAAATATGGCATTTGTTAGTATTCAAATGTACAGTTTGTGAAATATAGATTGATAGGAACGATAGATATCAAAAAGATCACGAACATGAAGTCCCAACCTATTTATTTTTTTTTATAAAAATCAAGCATAGATACTGTAACGTACGAATGTACTGTAAGCTCAATTATAACAGTCCCTTGATTTGCAAATATGTTTATCGATAAAAAAAAATCAAACTTACTTTTCTTAGTTATTAATCCCACGAATTGCTCCAGCGAAGTGACTACAAACGAGATATATGGGTTGTGCTGAGTTGTTTGTTATTTCTGAGCACACAAACTATCAATTGGAATAAATAAAACATAAATAGAAAGATAGGTCTTTTTAACTAAAATGCTAATGAGATCTTTTCTGTATTAATACATACGGACAATCATTTTTTTTCGAATATTAGGATTAAGAAATTTACGCTTTAAGGACGCACTCAGAGAAATCAGTTGACGTTTAATCATAATCAATCTCGTTCACTTTTAACAAGAACTTATCAATTTATTATTGACTGAAATTGACTGGATCGGGTTCCACTGAAAATTAGATCTCATGAAGTTTTCTTTTAAACTTCGTGAGTTTAACGCGGAGTGAAAACCTTTTTGGTGCATTGATATTTAGCATTTAAAATTATTTTCTTTCTTCGTAACAAAATTACTGCGTTTATTTTTATATACCTACCTACCAAATAAATATTTTTCTTCGTTTCTTTCTTTAAAATTACATTCATTAATTAGTCAGTGACTACTGAATCTCTGATCGAATTCTCTCACTGAATCGTTAGCATCACAGTCCGTGATGTATTTAATTAAACGTAATGCAACAGAGACAAGCATTAATATAGCAGGGCGGCAACGTGATCTCGGGGGCGGGGGCGGCGCGCGTGTGCTGCGCTCTGGCGGCTGCGGCGGACACACTCTTCACGCGGCTGGCCGCCACCACCACGCTACCGACACTGCGCGCTGCACTCCAACGTCTCGTCGCCCACCAGCACCGACTGGTGTGTACACCATTTTTACCAGCTGACTAACGACGCTACTGATGTGTGCACCGTCCTAAGTGCTCCTTCTCTGCCGCCCGGTGTGCGCAATAATTGAAGCTAGTCGCACACCGGCGATAACGCTTCTGCCTAAAGCAACAGACAAACAGGATAATTGGCCTACGTGTGCATGGTCAAACCCTACAAAGATGTTTCCTTTCATCATAATGTAAGCTAACAGAACTAAGCATGTATTTTATCTCTAGAAAATGTTGTATAAGTATACCATTATTCGTTGAGTTCGTCCTGTAATAACTGCCACCCATGGACATTTCCAACACCCATATGGTTGCACATACGTTGCTATCTTTTAATGAAGTTTGTCCCGATTACCTCACTCACCAAATGAAACACTAAAGTAGAACCCTTCCATTTGACGCCAGTCTTGTCGGGTCGTAGCACCCGGACGGATCATTTTTTTTTTTCCACGTTGCACCTGTCTCTGTCGCATCGGCCGGGTACACGGGAACACGTGGACGCAATCTTCCGCGACCCCGGCGCGACTATGGCCCTGTTTAGGCCTCCTCTACTGTATCGTGCTGTGCCGGTGCAATTGGCATAGCACACGTATCGAGCCCCATATTGAGCGACAGACACCCCCATGTCTGCCGCTCAGGGTCTCGCTATCAGGGGGGAAGGTTGCGCGCGTAGGCCAGCCTCCTGCGCCCTGGTCTCCGGCGGCGGATTTCCAGGGTGGCAGTTGCCTCCCTTTCTCTCTCCGCGGCCTCCTTCCGGGTGATAACGTCCTCGCAATATGCGAGGACAGCACCCCACGCTCTCTCGCTGTCAACCATAGCGCGAACCACGACTGGCAGCGAGAGGTCGTGCCCCACGATAGCGCATAGCTCTCGGCGCTGCTCCGTCCAGGCTGAGCACTCCTCCAGTGCGTGTTGGGCCGTCTCCTCGGCACATACGTCACAGTGGTGACATTCCGCTGTGGGCTCCCTCCTCGTCCATGAAACAGCCATGTCCCGAGAGGATCTGCGTCGCACGGTAGGTGAGGGTGCCGTGTCGCCTGTCCAGCCACTTCCTGAGGATAGGACGTATGGCCTCTACGGTTCTTAGGCCGGCACTGGGGTGCTACAGCCTCTGCTCCCACTCCCCGATGGCCCTTGAGCGCAGGCGATCCCTGCGCTCCCCCAACTCCTCCGGGGCCGGCGTATGGCCCTGGGCTTTTGCAGCCTCGCGCCAGGAGTGCAATGACGCGAGGATCTTAGCTTCCAGATCCCAGGGCAGAAAGCCGGCCAACAGGCAAGCCGCCTCACCGGAGATCGTCCGGTAGCCCCGTATGGCCCGAATAGCCAACACCCTCTGTGGTTTGCGCAAAAGCGCTTGGGTCCGGCGCTTCAGGGTGTCAGCCCAAACGGGAGCTCCGTACAGGGCCATGGACCGCACGACTCCGGCACCCGGACGGACCTGCCTATTCGTGCAACAGCGTCTGTCCCGTGACCATGAACGCTGTAAATGGATCGAAAAGTCGGGACTTAAAATTAAAAATATACTCGATAAATCCATAAAAACAGTTTAATTTGTAACGTCAGATCTATATTATTGTACAGCTAGCGACCCGCCCCGGCTTCGCACGGGTGCAATGTATTATACATATAAACCTTCCCCATGAATCACTCTATCTCGTAAAAAAAGCCGCATCAAGATCCGTTGCGTAGTTTTAAAGATCTAAGCGTACATAGTGTAACTCGCACCCCCTGTTATTGTGTATATATATAATTAAACTTATATATTTTTTCCCCCATTATATGAATAAATCATATAACATCATTACGTGACCAGGATAATTTAGTGATCTTTCTATAGGATCTTTCTAAAGGTAATAATTAGCCGTATAAATATTATTGTGATCGTCATATTCGGTAGGACCTCATTTACGTTGTGTTTATTTAGTAACTTGATTCTTTTAGGTGTATCTTGGATAGATAAATATTCACTAGTCGCGGTATAAGCCAGAGATAATGTCAGATTGCTTTCTTATTAACTAACCCCGACTCGCTTGAGACGGGCTCAGAGTATATAGTATGGGAGTATACTTGAGTATATATATATCTCACGCTTGTAAAGGGCTCACAATATAATTTTTAAAACTAACATCCCTTCTCTCTTGAAAAGGGCTCACATCAATTTTACACACCCGATAAAAGTCAACAGCTCCCCCACATTTTAAAAAAAAATGTAGGGAAGGCACACGGCTCCATGAAAACACTCACCAACGCCGTGTGCGGTGAGCGCCAACCAACATATTGCGCCCCCCCCCCCCAGAAGAGGGACAAAAAGTTGGGGAAAGGACCGAAGTCCATTGCAAGGCTGTTTTTACCAGCATAAAGAGGGCTTGGCCCCTTGGCAGTGCGTAAGCACAAACTTTGACCGAAGTCGCGCATGTCAATGCGTGTAACGTCATACAAGCCGACGACAAATCCAGTCTTCGTCAATGTACGTCAATACGGTTTTGGGCATGTGTTAAAGATCAGGCACTCTGGCCCTATGATATAATAAGCCCTCCGTAAGCGCCACCACTTTTGCCAGACCGCCGCGACTGCAGACGTGATTGTTAGTGTTTTGGCATCACTACCATTAAAAAGGTTAGCACGACATTTCGTCGCAGAGCGCGTAGCCCCAAGGGTATGGTTAAAACGTTGCACGGCATCGCCGCAGCCTTGAGAGGTTTTCTCCCGCCAGCTACCATCCACATGAGGTAAACGCATATGCTCCACCAACCATTGAAATAGTCAGATATAGCCATAGTTGTGATTTTTATGTTTAGCCATCAGAAGGGTTTATAATTGGCAACATATAATTATTTGTCAGTGTCTCTGACGTTGAGTATAATGTATTTTCGATCAAGTTTGTCTCACCCACCAGCAAGTTGCCATTATTCGTTCGAACGGTGGGAACTTTACTGAGATTCGTTAATAATGATAAAACGTATAAAGAGGTCAGACAGTCTGCAGTTCCGTCATCAGGAACCCGACTTGGACAAAACTACTGAGATGTGCATCAAACCGAGACGCAGACTCGGCCATTATGAATAGCGTCGTCTCCCAAGCAAATGTCGTAAGACGCAATGTCACTAAATGCAACATGCATCAATACAACTATCGCAGGTCAACACGCCAACATACAGCCTATCCGCATACACAGCAGACATCATCACCTCGAACCTCCGTCAACCAGAATCATACGATGCAATGATATTGGGCGCAGATCACCCCGCAAATACCACAAGACGCAGTACTGCATATAGCCGCACGCATCAATGTGACTATCGCGTAGGTGGCACACCCTCACACCACACCAATACAACTCCAATCAACTTCGGCTCCAAAGTTTAGAATATACTCAGAACACACGAAGTGTCCAAACATACTCTTTCACGATCCGAATGATAGTCGACGTATCATAGCGTAAACACTAAGACGCCAACCACCAACGGACCCCCCCCCAGTCAAGTAATAGCCAACGTATCATAGTGGAATACACTAAGACGCAAGCCACCACCAGACTCCCCAAAGTCAGATGATCAGTCGACGTATCATAGTGCAGCACACCAAGACGCCAACTACCACCAAACTCTTATTATGCCGAATGACAGCCAACGTATCATAGTGATGGTCACTAAGACGCCAACTACCACCAGCTATCGATGATATGTCCACCACTGAAGACATATCCATTCATGGTTCCACGTTTACCGTAGACCATATCGTCGTACAGAAGTACCACGCAACTCCATAGTAATATGTCTTATAAAGTCCCAAGTCATTCATTGCTCTTCATTATATTTATATATTCATTATTTTTTCTCTGAGCCTTCACATATTATTACTTTTATCCATTAGACCTTACTTCCATATGATATTGGTATGGGACGTTCATACAATGTACTTTGACTATAGTACTAAGAATCGCGATCGACCTCTGTACTTACATATGTGCGGTCATACAAATGTGTCCCCGCACGGTACATAATACTTCCCTTAGAAATCACTAAGTATGGAATTGTATTTAATGGACATAATAGTGATCGTATCTTGCTATATTTTTAATAAATATCCTTTTTTGAGTATTTTAAGTGATTTTGAACTATTTTTAATCAATTTTTGGTAATATCATTTTCTCATACTAATACTTATATTTCTTTAATTTAAGTATATATTATTAACTTTTATTGTGATTAAACGTTCTTAAACGTTTTATTTTCATCTTAATTGATCTTTATTATGACTAATTAATAATAATATTTATTGTTATTAATAGGTCGTTACAATAGGGACAGACAGACGACTTTGTTTTGTACCATGTAGTGATGACGGTTTGTCAACGCCGTGCCCCGCAGCTGTTCTCCGCTTGGGAGCAGGACGTGGCGAACAATAACGCGGCGTGGTGGCGGCGCGGTGCGAAGGCGCCGTCGGCAGGCGCTGGCTGCGCGGCGGAGGCGGCGCGCGCCCTCTGCCGGGCCGGCGACGTGGCGCTGCGGTGCCTCAGGGCCGCACGCCCGCTCGCCCACCGCATGCCCATCTGGACGATCGTCGGGCCGCACTTCATGCAGGTCGTATACGAAACCCTAAACCTAGATCACTGAACTCAATGCAGGTCGTATACGAAACCCTAAACCTAGATCACTGAACTCAATGCAGGTCGTATACGAAACCCTAGACATTGAGCGCCGAACTCGTCGGCGCCCAATCGCGCAGGTCGTACACGGAACCCTAAACGTATAGTGCCGATCACACGGCCCTCAATCATACAGATCGTACACGGAACTCTAAGCTTGTAGCACCGATCACACGGCCCGCAAACATGCAGGTCGTACACTGAACCCTCATTGTTTTATGGTCGGGTGCCCACTAAAAACCCATATTGCACCTGTCTTTGTCGCTTCGGAAGGGAGACCCGGGAACACGAAGACGCAATCTTCCGCGATCCCGCGCGACTATGGCCTTCTTAGGCCTCCTCTTCTCGGGTATCGTACACGGAACCCTAAGCTCGTATCGCCGAATTCATCAACGCGCAATCATGCAGGTCCTACACGAAATCCTATATCTTAAGCGCCGAACTCATTAACTCTCAATCACGCAACCTAAGGAACCCTAAAGATCAAACAGCGAATTCTTCAGCCTGCATTTATGCGGTTCGTATCCAGAGCTTATACTAAGAACTCAAACAACAAGACACGACGGCTCGCTCTTGCTGGTCGAATACGAAGCTGTGCAGCTCAGCTGACACTAAGCAAGTAGTATTTGAAATAGATAAATACTATTTGAAGCCCACCAAGACAAGTCTGCATTCAAGTGATAATAAACCTGCTAGCATCATTATAAGTCTCTGCATCGTGATTTTAGCCTCACTAGCAGGTTTCATTTAGACTGTTTTGAGCGTTAACTTCAAAAGGCCAAAAGCCACCAACAATACGTGGTCTGCATGGATTGACTTTTGTTAAATCGAAGTTTTTATAGTGAGTCATTCAGGAGTTTTTTTTAAAGGGGGTTCTTTCCATGACTAGTGATAACTATATCCATTAGTTTTAATATATATTTACGTTTCAGGCGGCATGTCACAAAGACATTCAAATCTCTAGTCTAGCCATACAATGCCTACATGACTGTGCAACGACACTGCTTAACCAACAAGTGGAGCTACCCCATTTCCATTTCAACGAAGCTCTACTTAAACCATTTGAAAATTTACTTTGTCTAGAACTTTGTGATGACGATATTCAGGTACAATGTCGTATTATTTTACTGGCTTGATATCAAATATTTAATCCTGTCTAAGCATTATTGGACTATTTTATTTTCAGGAACAAATTATTTCCTGCATTTGCGAGTTTGTGGAAACGAATCGGATGGAAATAAGATCTGGATGGCGCCCTCTGTTTAATACATTGCGGGCAGCCAACAACTCAAACCAGTATTCTGCTATTTTAGAAATATTCAAAGTCTTCCTGAATACGGACAACACTTTGGTCTTCGCGAATGCTGCCCTCGACTGTATACTATGTCTCCTGAGCCATATAAAGGGACTTCATTACGACGAAGTTCAAGCTACTGAAGTTAAACCAAAAAAGGTCACAACACCGCCACAGCCGAAACCAAGTTTGAGTCTAAAGTTCTCAAAGAATAGCAAGTTCATTCCTCTTAGCGAAGAGAAATCGGAAAAAGTTATAATTGACATGTGTAGAGAAGCTTTATATCATTTGGAAAGTTGCGCTGATATTTTGACAATGATGTACAACATGCCCAAATGTCCTATATTCAATACCGGCAACAGAGTCAAAGGAGATATGCCACTGTCTGTCGTAGATCCTATTATACCAGGGGGATCACTTGATGTCACGAAATACATCACAAATGACAGCTTCGAAGAGGAATTAATATCGTATAGAAAACTATCTACCACTTTGCATCCATCGAACACTACAAACACTTGTCTCTTGAAACTGGACAAGCCAAGTAATATACTTAAGGTTTGGTACGTTCTAATAGAGGGTCTGATATCGGCAACGGTGGTGTGCTCGAAGAAGAATCAGCCAGCAGCCATGGAAACGTTGTTCAAATTATTGAAGAACACCGCCGATGTTCCAGGAACACACTTCGGTCTCCATTGCATCAATCATCTGCTTCTGCCAACGGTGCAGAATTGGCTCAGGCAAATTGCCAACGTCCACACTCACTGGGACACCATAATGCCAAATTTCAAGCAGTGTTGCGGTATGACGACAGACACTGTTGTCGTTTTCCTACATCATTTACAACAGATTAACTTGGAACGCTCGACAATAACGGACGAAATTGAAGAGAATAATGAGGTAACAGAGGTTGAGCCCATAGAACACCCTGAGGCTACATTTGCTTTGAAACAAATTATGTTGATACTTGTGGAATGTATAGCACAGCCTCAAGAACCGGTAGCCAGATTGGGTGCTTCTTGCATAAGACATATAATACTCACATCGGGACATTTGCTCACTGATAATCAATGGGAAATTGTTTGCACAAGTCTGCACAGGGCGTGCAACGTCAGTTTGAGCCCTTTGAAACAAATAACGTATGCTTTCAAGGAAAATTCCAACAGTTTCTATGGCGATTTGGCTATGGTTAAAGTGGCGGCTAGACGTGATTGTTCTGTCAATGACAATGTAAGGTTGCACGCAATGGCGCAGCAGGTGTTCCTTACTGAACAACTGAGAGGAGATAGTAACATAAAGGCTAACGCGAAGAACAATCAAAACCAAATGTTGATCGATGACCGCAGCTACATATTCTTGATTTATTTGCAAGAATCCATAAATTCGCTAAACCCCGAATTGTACACAGTTAGAATACCTTACAGGGGATTAGTCGTCGGACTGCTGGCTCATCAAATCTTAATACAAATAATTGCCACAGTTCTCATTCAAGCATCTTCAGACGTCTTTCAAGGTATCAATAACATATTACTCGAAAGCTTGAAAAGCGGTTCTAACGTGTGCAATTACCGATTTTTCCTAAATAACAATAATATCGATTTACTCCTGAAGAGTCTTGAAATGTCTTACATGAGAGCGATGCAATTCGATTTGCGACCGGGTCTGAAATTTTTGGTTCAGAAAGTCTCCAACCTAGACCATGCCGCAAATCTGTACAAGCAGACGACGTCTTCGTGGTTGATTAAAATTATAGCTCTGACGGAAATATTCTTCAGTGGGGTATACAGATACAAGCTTAAACCCACCGACGTGTCTATAATATTGAACAATTACACGTCCTCGTTGAATTTGACCCTCGAATACGACCGTTTCGTGAGGAAAATATTCGATTTGAAAACAACGTGGGAGTTGCTCTGCAACAATTTCGTCAAGCACTCTATCCACGTGACGGACTTCGACGAATCGGACCGCTCGATGGAGAAGGATCGCTTGTCCTGCAGCTCGGTGGAAAGCGAGTCGTCGTCTAATAATTACGAGCAGTATTACGCACAAGAGACGGTCGATATCCACGAGCCACCGACGAACGTTTCAGACGTTGAGACCGCTCACGAAGAGACTACAGAAGAAACCGTCGACGAACCCAGGCCGTTCACGTTCGCCGATTTCAAAAGGAACAGTACCAAAGCCGTCGCCGAATCAGTGAGCGCTCACGAAAACGTAAACCTCGAATGCATCGATAACTTATCGGACATTGAAAGGAATCTCCAATCGAACGACCTACATACGGACAAAAGTAGGCGGGAGCTTATTGAGGGGACAACGCACAGGCCGTTGACTCGCTCCGAGAATGAAGTAGAAAATAAAGGAGAGAATAAAAACGCACTAATTAACCAAATTAACGCGCGAAAAGTTAACATTACTATATGCGATGGTCCCACTTTTGAGAAGAGCAAAGCGCCTGACCCAATCATTCCTCCTCAACCCGTGCCTCCGGAAATTGAACAGCAGAGGACAATGAGCATAAGCAAAGTAAGAACGTTTAACTTTTATTTTGAGTTAAATTTGAGTTAAAAATATATTGAAACGTTTTGCTACTTGTATTCGAAATGTCATATATGTAACTGCGATACCAGCATCCCGAATGTAATTCACAATTTAAAAAGGCAACGATTTAATAATCTTAAAAATTTTACCGTCATATTTTTTCCAAAAGCGCCCAAATAAGAATAACTTCAATAATAAGTTTACGTCATTTAATATTTTTGACTAATTAATAGTTTTAATTCTGAACAAGAAATGTACAATAATTCCTTTTTTCAAACCTTTTTGTTCCTTAATTTTATGTTAGCAAAATGTTATCGCTGGTAGTTCATCTATGTGGCAAACGGTTTCAAATAGTAGAAATCAAAATTATTTAAATTGAACACTTTCAGGACATGGAGCTGCGCCGTACGTGCCTGCAAAGCATACTGATGGCGTACCTGGAGCTGGTTCTAACGTTCCCGTTGGAGAGATTCCAACTAATCAATCCCGTGCTGAACCACGGTTTCCTGCAACTGGCCAAAACGGTCACAGAGCCGCAGCTACTCGATAGAATAAATCTATTTTTCGACAAAAAGGATGTGAACGAATTTAATTATAAGTGATCAATTAATTGTGAAAGTATATTCACATTATTATTACTATAAATATAATGTATAATCCCTCTTTGTTCAGTGTTGTCATCTAAATAAAACAATGGTATCGAGATTACATTCTGATTTAATACTCCTTTTATTCATTCAGCTTTAAGCATAAATATACTTTCGTCTAGAATATATCTAAAATCTGTTTCAACAAAATATAACAAATCATAAAATTGTAATACACTATTTGGTTTTAGACTACAAATTAAACTGTCTTTTATACATTTGTAGTAACAAATCTTATATCAGTCCATTCTCTATAATACATTTCGTCACATGGGGTTGCCAGGTGTCTCTTATAACGCAGTTGAAGTGTTACCTTACCCTAATCATATTATACTAATGATATTGCCTTGATGCCATACTTATTTCTAATAGCCGATATTGTTATTGAGTTTTATTTATTAAACTAAAATCATCAATAATATCTCATTATTGTTCTGTTTTTACTCAAAAAAATAAGTAATCATATAGAACAAAAAAATTAAAAGGTAACAAAAATCACCGTCATTCTAATGACGCTATTATACATGAATTAAATTAAGGCATAAATGTGATCAAAAATTTTTGAAACTAATCTCAAAAAGGTTAACCAAAATCATTTTGAAAGTAATCCCAAGAATACTTATTTGCAAATCTTAGTCCGAAATCAATCGTCATATTTACTCAGGAAAAGTTAAAAATTTTAGAAACAACCGTTTTTAAAGCTTACGGCCACCCACGTCGTATAAAATATGTGCTTTATCTTTAACATAAACGTATAATGACACAATCATCTTGACGATGGCACAATGAACTTGCAATGACATAATTAAATACGACTTCTTAAGGTATGAACATTTCAAATATCCATACAACCTGAAGGATAAAATTACTTAAACTCAACACAAGCGCGCATAATTATATAAACAATTCGTAATTAATAAGCACATCCCAGTTGTCTATGGTATTTCTTCAGATATCTTACGATGGCACATGCGTTTGGTTTGTAACGTCGCTTATATCTACAATATTATTTCATCTAACAATTTTGTAATTACACATACATACAGCCGTTTTCAAATATTTTGTTTGGGCAGGCATCCGATATCGGCTCTAAACAATTTTTACCCATTAATGCTTCTTTATGCATAAATATCCTATTCTGTAACAAATAACAGTGCCCGAACTAGAAGAATACACTTAAACTCGATTTGAGCTCTGCAAGCAAACATTATCTCGATATTAGCGTTACGAGACACGATAAAATTAGCAGCGCGATCGAAATGTTAATTCCGCACGCGCTCTGCGTTGGATAAGTGTGCACAGGGATAGCGTAAGACAACGCGCATAAGGCCACGTCGCTATTAATAAGGGCGCTGCCTCTGTTAATCAAATCGGCTAACTTCTCGGCCTCCAGTACGCAGACGCTGAGCTGCAGATCCGTCGGATTCTCCATCAGCGTCTCGACGGATACGAACAGCTCCATTTCCACCGTCAAATAGCCCCGCAGCGCGCACTCGGCTATCTTCACGTGCCTCTCCAGAGTCCTCAGTATGTTGTTCAAGTGCACCACGTTGTCGGAAATGTTGGTTCCGTACAGGGCGCGGTCGAACTGCTTCTTCGCGTAGAGGACCCTAATGGCGCCGCCGCACTTTGGACAGCATGCGCCCGGTGCGGTGAAGCCTAGACAAGCTGGGCTCTTGAGGGGCGGACACTGGATCCTGTCGAATTCGCACCTGGGCCCCATCGAGTCCGAAATGGGCCCGACGGCGAAGCAGGGCCCGTGGTAGTCGACGCTAACGTACTCCGCCCAAGCGGCGCACTCGGACGCGTAAGTGACGCCGTTCACGCCGCACACGGTGCCGCTCTGAAAGAAATTAGTTCGTGGGTCCTTCGCTCGACAAGAGGTACAGTATAGACTGATTTCTTCTTATCTCACGGACCCTAACGTCTGTTTTTGTACCGTACGTTTCCCTGTACAACGAAAGTTTCTTAAATGTGTTCTTAGTGTTTATGGAAACAATTATAAAACCGGGTTCAACCAATCGTGGCATCATCGCTGTCCCTTCTATTGAAAGATAACAAGTTATATACATAAAGATAACAAGGTATATTGAAAGATAAATAAATATTTTGGGACATACATTTAAACAACGTTATGGAGTCCCAAACTAAGCAAAGCTTATACTATCTTTTTTATCTTTTAAAAAAAAACATTGCCCTCACTTTAGGATAACATTATCCTATGTTGCAAGGACGTTTTACATACATAAATTTCACGTGCACAAACACCCAGATGCGAAACAACTATATGTGGGTCACACAAATGGTTGTCCCGTGTGGGAATCGAATCAACGACCCCCGACGCCGAAGCCAATACTTTGACTACTGCGCCACGGAGTCACCCATGCACACTAGGTAACTTACATATAAACATACTTAAACGTAAAGTACGTTTGTAAATAAATAGATGTTACAGGTATATAAACACCCAGACACTAGAGAACCACTATATTCAGCACACAATATTTTTCCGGTAGTGAGGATCGAACCCACACCCTCTGGCGCCAGAGAAAGGGTCACCATCCACTGCGCCAATTGGGTCATCAAGTAATAAACATGTAAACTTACCGTCACGCAGCCCGTTAGACAGTGTCCCCAGTACGCCAATGTTGCCCGGCTCATCACCAGGTGACAGGGGCTGAAGTGGGTTCTACCATCGGTGTCGCAAACGGGCATGACTGGTTGCGATTTGCAGTTCGTCGTGTTCACTATAAAGATACATTAATTAAGAACAAGCCTAATACATTTCCAAGTAGCATCAGCCGTTAGGGACAGTGAAGACCTTTACAACCCATTGTATATAAAGTTGTATTATTTACATAATATTTGAGAGCATTCTTGAATAAAATTTTCTGGAATGAGGAAAAGAAGTAGAGATAGAAAAAAATCACATCTGATGTGGAAATAAGAATAATAAGGAGAAAAAGACACGATTCAGTCAGAAAAGAAGGCTTTTTATAAAACAGAATAAAAATTATTAATACTGTTCCTAATAGAAAAGGAATAATCAAGAATAAAAGTGAAATAGAAAACAAGACAAGCCATCAGTTGAAGCGTCAGAAAAAGAGAATGAACAGAGAATATTAGCATGACTACAAGTAAGCAGAAAGAAAAGGATATCCCGACCGACCGCAAACGTAGTGCGGGCACGTGTTAGTACTAAGAGTAAGCGGATAGAAAAGGAGATCACGACTAACCGCAAACGTACTGCGGGCACGTGCTAGTACTAAGAGTAAGCAGAAAGAAAGGGAGATCACGACTAACCGCAAACGTACTACGGGCACGTGCTAGTACTAAGAGTAAGCAGAAAGAAAGGGAGATCACGACTAACCGCAAACGCACTGAGGGCATGTATTCGTTCTAAGAGTAAGCAGAAAGAAAAGGAGATCACGACTAACCGCAAACGTACTGCGGGCATGTATTCGTGAGCTGCGATAGGCAGACCGCGGGCCGCGGTAGGCACACGTGACGGCGCGGGCACGACGCTGCCGCACAAGCGGCCGTCGCTCCGAACTCTATGAACACGTCTGGGACTCCAGCGCATCTAGACCATGAGATACAGAACCTCGGTGATACAGTATTGTGTTAATTGTGGCGAGTAGTGTACGTAATATTTAATATATTTTGTTTGACATTTTAGGACACATTTTTACACAACGTTCTCAAACTAAACAATGCTTGTACTATGCGTACTAGATAACTTATAAACATACTTGAAAATACTTTTCTTTTATAAATAAATACATATTATACATATATAAACACCCAGACACTAGAAAAACACTGTGTTCATCACAGTAGTGGGGATCGAACCCACACCCTCTGACGCAGGAGACAGGTACACTACGCCATTCGGGTCGTTAGTATGTGGCACCACGCTGTCACTTTTTTTATGTCAGAACGTGGTAAGCTAGCTGATGGTTCAACAACCGTTGCAGATCTGTTGCCTGTTTTAATAAAGTGGGCTCGGATACCACACTCGCAAGACGAAATACGAAATTATATACTTCCAACTATATAGGATGAATTTTCTAAAGTTGCCCAAATTCACACAGGACGTTCAGACTCGGTAGTATAATCGTTTATTGAAATAAAAAAAAATCTTTTTTTTTTTTTCAAAAAAAAAACTGCCATTCCATTTCCTAAAAATACGTAACTTGTTGACAATGCGGTAGTCATTCGTAAATGAGTCGTATACTTTTGAAACAAACTTGTGTGCGTGTTAGTTATGAATGATCGCGCGTAAAATAGATGAGTTAGTTGCCCATAAATCACGCACTTTTTGAGATAAGTTCAAATGAATGTAATTAATTAATTACGAGCGATTTTAAATATTTATCATGTTTTATATAACATTATTTATGTCTAGAATTTAATAAAAAAAAGGATACACTTAGAAAAGCCTCTCTGTATAAGGACAATATATAAGATTTTTTTATTTATTTATTTTAATCGGCATTCTTATTGGGTAAGACTAACTTGGCTAAACAGGCGTTGGCGTGGTGTCTGCCAGCGGCGGTGACCGGTAGGTGGTGGGGCGGACAGTTGCAAGGGAGCCCAGTCAACAGCGCCGCCCGGCCGCAAGCCCGCCTCGCGCACACCCGCTCGCCCAGCACGCACACGCACTCGTTGCACTCCATGTAGTACTTCTCGCCTGGCGAACGGCACGTTCCAGTCAGAAGCTGTGTCGCGTTTTGTAAAGCTTGCACGCGTGAAACCGTTAAACTTAGCTGTGCCTAGCTATAGGAACGTGGTGCAAGAATATCATAAATTCAAGAACATTGTTTATGACAGACATTTTTGAAGGTATTTTCGTTTAATATGTTCAGAAATTCATCGATTAAATTTACTCGACAATTTCATATATTTACGCGAATTGTATCCTAACTTCGGCATATCTTCTTGTCGAATATTCCTCAATGTTTGAAATTGAATACAAAATAATTCAATCAATGTGAGTTGCCAGTGATGACCCACGGTACCGAGCCATGGCCGTTTAGACCGTATGAGGAAGCTCTAGGTGGCTCACGATCTTCCTTCGTGGTACTCTGTATAGGAGACCTATGTTCAACAGTTGCCTCAAAGAGGCTGAAATGATGATGATGATGATGTCGCGAATTGTCGGTTTAAACTTATTAAGATAAACGCAAAAAATCCCTCAAAATAGTTTAATTACACCTAATGTAATTCCATAAATTTTACTCGATAACAGAACCGGTCACAAGTCAGTCTTACCATCTTTAACCACTTTGTCGTGGAGCCTGCAGTTAGTCGAGTCCGGGTAGATTGGCGGCAGCTGCTGACAGTGCGCCAAGTTGTGCCCCTCGCAGCGGCACACTTTGTAGCACAAATCGTTGCCGTAGCACGGCACTGGCACGCGCACCCAGGATCCGCTGGGGACCATGTACGAACTGCCCTCGCCTGTAATGTACCACGCGTATACTGTCTTAACGGTGAAATAATAGAATGGCATTTTTTCACCCGATTGGCGTAGTGGTTGTCTCTTGCACCAGGATTCGAACTCCAGTACTAGAAAAATATTGTTTATTGAAAGGTCTTGGTGTCTGGGTGCATATAGATATTTATATCATGTATTTATTTACAAAAAAAAAGTATGTTTAGGTATGTGTATCAGTTAACTAGTGCCTATAGTACAAGCTTCCGTATTACGCTTCCAGACGTCGAAGTCCTCGCCGCGTGAAAATCTCGAAGACATGTTTTTTTTTGTTTTTATTGCATTATTACAAATGGTCGGCGTGGAGCTTAATTTTGAGTACAGAAACTAAAAATTTATAGATTAAGTAACAAAAAAACACACGACAACTAGCTTTTATTTAAACAGCTATAATTCAAAATCATTTGATATTTATGCAAAATTTAATTTCAATCGGTTGATCCCTGGTTTAACATTCAGTTGCACGATTTGACTGGAACATACACACAAAACATTACGAGTTAAATAAAGACTGAAAGCTTTATTTCTGTAACGTACCGGAGTATATCCATAAGACGCTTTATTTTTTTAATGAACTGAGTATAGCTATGAGACAAAAAGAACTTACCCAGAGGGCATGCGTCCAGACAAGCGTAGCGCGCGCAGCCAGCGCCGTACGCGCAATTGCGGTTCACCACGCACAGCTGGCTCGCGTTGCAAGGCGAGCCAGCGCACGGTGACGTCACCACTTCCTTCGCCGACAGCAACGCTGGCTCGGTACCTGCAGACGAGCCAATTTTTCCAAGACGTCACCTACTACCGACCTCAAATATCGCCCACTAACGTCTGTAGAGATCTTTATTGTGTTGCTGCCAGTAACATACATATTTAAACTAAGCCGTTCGAGCCATTTCAAAGATAAGCGAAATTTATACATATATCAATATCGAAATAGAGGAGAAAACGCATCCGGAGAAGTACTATCGCCTCACAGAAGAACGGCGTGAAGTGGAGTTATTATACTTTCGCGCTTCGTCTTGCGAGTGCGGCGGTTTTCACTAAAAATCAATTGAATAGGCTGCTCGCTGCAACTTTTCACATAAAAAATACATATGTGTGTACTTATGTACGCACGTAAGAAGTTATACTTCTTTAGCAAACGGTTGCCATAATAGCACCGCGAAGTCGGTGTCTCATTTAAGTGCCGCGCATTGTAAAAGTTTGCTCTCATCGTTTTCCCAATGATATTATATACAAATACGAGGTAGATATGACACTAATCGCACCGAAACTGAGACATTTAAATTACACCAATTGGTGTAACTAAATTGTAATTCTATAGACCGGTATCTCTATCCGTATCATACATTTTAGATCATCTGACACATTCAACACATTATATTATATATAACAGTATGGACATGCGTCGTCTATATTATTAATCATCGATTATCCCCACACGCGCCAATACAAGTACAGTTTGAAAAAGACGAGTCAACTGACCCAGTTTCATGAACTCGTGGAGGGGCATAGGGGTGCCAAAATAAGTATAACTTCAAAAGAACGAGTCAACTGACTTGGGTTCATGAACTCGTGGAGGGACACGCAGGGTGCCAAAATAAGTATAACTTCAAAAGGACGAGTCAACTGACCAGGGTTCATCAACTCGTGGAGGGGCATGCAGGGGTACCAAAATAATTATAACTTCAAAAGGACGAGTCCACTGACTTGGGTTCATGAACTCGTGGAGGGGCACCCAGGGTGCCAAAATAAGTATAACTTCAAAAGGACGAGCCAACTGACTTGGGTTCATGAACTCGTGGAGGGGCACGCAGGGGGCGTCCGGGGCGGCGGGGGCGAGGCGGGCGCAGAGCGCGGCCGCCGTGAGCCGCACCCGCGACCATTCCACGCACGACGACACCACGCGGATGCAGTCCGCCGCGCACAGGAGGCTGCTGTGGCCCTACGAAGGCAGAAGCGCAGCTCTCGCTTTCATTACGATCGAACCCAAAGTCAAAATCTCTATCTTTTGTAAAAAAAAGTTATTGGATTTAAGTTGTGTGTACAGGACAACGTCTGCCCGGTCCGCTAGTCTTCTATATAAATAAAAATGAATGTAGGTAAGCGCATAACTCAAGAATGGCTGGACCAATTCGGCTAATTTATTTTTTTGTATGTCATTTAAGGTTCACGGAAGAACGAAGTCTGTCGGGGCAGCTAGTATATAATAGGAGAAAGTTGGGCAAATTTGAAAAATCTAATAGACTGACCAGAGGATAAATACGGAACAGATCTGGTTATATGAGCGTTAAAAGGACCCATGATCAGTGTACAGTAGTTTTGAGTATCCATTTTTTATTAAATTGGAGACATAAATAATGTTATATAAAAATCATAAATATTTAAAATCACTTGTAATTAATTACATTAATTTGAACTTATCTCAAAAAGTGCGTGATTTATACGCAACTCATTTATTTTACGCGCGATCATTCATAACTAACACGCACACAAGTTCGTGCACAGTAAAATTTTGGTATTTATGAATGAATACCGCATTGTCAACACGTTCTGTTTTTTAGGGAATAGAATGGCATTTTTTTTGGAAAAATAACTTACTATTTCTTACTATTTATTAAACTATTTCAATAAACGATTATACTGCCGCGACTGAACCTCCTGTGTAAATTTGGGTACTTCTCAAAAAATCTCCCTGTTTATGTAATCAAATTAGACGTATGAAACGTCGAATTTATTTACATAAAAATTGAAACATAAGTTCGTAAGTTGCCAACGGTTTGGAAAGCAGTTTCTGTTGTGAAGAGACCGACCGGCAAGAAACTCAACATCTGTACCATTAGTTACTCTATTGGCAGCGATTACTTCACTGGCAACGCTCACTTTCCTTACGATCTGTGTCTTTCCATGCTATCTGGCCTAACCAGGAGTCTGAGCTACTTTTAAAGCAGGGTACGGAATATCCGACATTACCATTTATGCCCTCACTCTGACAGGGTACATAGAAATCATCAGCGGTATCAACATTTCGAGCTCATTAAGACTCAAACGGGACCAGTGTAAAGAATAGCATAAGAGATAGATATTTACTATAACTATTATTTTCAGTTTATATTTGTTTATGATTGCTACACCAAAAAGTTATCAAAAGATACTTGTGGAATTTTTAATCAATAAACAGTTTTTTTATGATCCTATAATATTAATTATTAAAAGATATAAATTAGCTAGCTATGTTATGAAGGATTATAACGATGATAATGACAAAAAGTTTATCTGATCTTTAAAATGGCTGACTACTGCAAGAAAATTATGCCTCTATAAAGAATTAATTAAATTTTTCACTTACCTTACTACTGCAGGGTTTCACATGAAGCGTACAGGCGACACTCTTCCAGAGGTCTGTTGGACACTGAGAAGAGTTCTTTAACGGAAGATTGAGCCCCGATATGAGCACAGAGCTGAAAGCAATAAAATTGTTCATATATATCTATTGAATACAGAAAATAAGTACCTAATAATATTTATATAAAATTTCCAAAATTTCATTAATTTATGGATGATTCTTACGGATGTTGGACTTGGGCTATATAAGACAAACTCCTTTGAATCTAGCTATATTTGTATGCGAAAACAGATCAAGAACAAATCTTATTCAATACAAAATGTAGCAAACAAGAACCTAACAGGGTCACGCACATAGAAGCTAAAATCAAAGTGAAATCGCCTACTACAAAGATGCTAAAAACAAATACTGCACAAATGAGAAGAAATAAAGGTCACACCTCCAAAACTGCACATGATACCAAAAATATACAAAAACAAGGCATCAATGCGCCACGCTTTTATAATATTCTCTACCGCTATAGGAAAGCAAATTAAAAATTCTCATTTCAATAGTTAGTATTGATGTCCAGTCATTATTTACATTCTTACCTTTAGAAGACGACATCTCAATTATAATTAGAAAGCTGTTAATGGACATGCATTATGTCGCTAATGCTTAAGCTCCATGCTATATCTGGATATTTGGTAATTATTAGAGAGGAAAATATCATTTTTTTTACTTTAACTAATATTTTTGCTTTCGTTCCGTAGACTATTCAACCTTCGTCGAACACCATCCTCACTGCATCCATATCATATCAAGGCTTACTTCCATGTATAAATCTCTAAGATTAACTAAACAACGAAAAAAACCAGATAGATTTGAATGTACTCACCCCTTGTCCTTGCGTTCAGCTACCGCCACGTGAGCATTTAGATCCGCCTGAGCGGAACAAGAGCGGAACAGCGTGGTCGGACGGTTGTTCAGCTGGCTGCAGTAAGTGAGACCCGCACAGCCCAGCGAGCAGGGCGCATCAACTGCAACAGTCGACAGGGACATAGAACCCAATGGTCGGAGCAAATGTACTGTGACTGAGGTAGAGTCTAAAAGCGGCTTCTGCTGTTGCCTCGGTCAGATCGACGGGAGAAGAAAGAGAAGAGATGAAACACAGACCTAAAAATATTTATACTTTGATGTTTCACCGGTAACTTAGATCAATACTAGTATCAACTTGAAGGTCGGCAACATGTCTATTGACTGAGGTCAAATGTACGGCTTTGCCTATATACCTCAAAATTTTGTCCTTAAATTGTAGCGGATTACAGTGTTAAATGTGTTGCATCGGGCCCGTTTATTCCGTTTAACGAAATCGATGTTTAAGCGGGTTTTAATCATTTATTCCAAAGATTGAGAACCAAGTGATAAAATTGTCCTTACCAGTAAGTTTGCAAAGGATACGACATATTCTGTATAGTATGTGTAGTGTAGTGACACTATAATAAATATGGTTACGAGTAAGTTTGCTCAGGATTACTGTGTAATAAAATATTATGAAAACTACGTTACCCTCTTCGATGCACTCAATGAGTTTCATCTCCTGCGGGTCCACGAGGCAGTCGCTGTAGAACTTTTGTCCGTTCGTCGGCCAGCCAATGTTGAATGTTTCGAAGCATAACTTCTTGCAGTTAATCGTAACTGCCTGAAATTCAACACGAAAAAAGACTTCAATTTCTACACGCATATGATCTTTAAGATCATAACATAAAGCATTTTAGACGCGTCAACATTTCTTATAGTGGCGACAAGTACAATAGAAATGTATATCCTATCTATTTACTTCTTAATGATTTACCGCTAGCGCTACATTGAAATTTAGCAATTTATTTTATTTTAAGTCAAGTCTAGTCGTTTTAGTTTATATATTTCCATAATTAAACAAATAAGAATGGAGAAAATCAATACCACATAATAATATCATTTTACACATCTTTGGGTTCATCCCGCAAAAAATATTTATTTTCTACATACTTTTACACAACAGTCTCTAGTCCCTAAGTACTAGATAACTGATAAACGTACTTAAACATACTTTTCTTTGTAAATACATAATATAGATATATAAACACCGAGACACTGGAAAAACACTATGTTCATGACACAATATTTTTCCAGTAACTCGATGACCAGAGTCCACACCCTCTGGCGCGAAAAGCAGGTTCACTACCCGCTGCGCCAATCGGGCAAGCAAAATAAAGTGATGCTTCTACGGTGATAGGGCCACGCGGCAGCTTCGGCTGTTGCATGAATGGGCAGGACCGTCCGGTTAAGTACCACGACCTTACAGAAGACCGGCGTAAAGTGGAAGTATAATACTTTCGCGTTTCGTCTGGTGAGTGAGGTAGCCGGAGCCTAATTTCCAAAAAGGTTGTCAACACATCTGCAAACCCTCGGGTGTAGCAGCGACGGTATTCACTTAACATCAGGTGAACCGTCTGCTCGTTTGGCAACCATTCACATAAAAAAGTGGCCACACCTTCTCGCAACAGTGCAGCTTGGCGGCGTCGTACGGTACGAAGTTCTTCGTGTTGACCGGCGCGTCCTTCCTCAGGAAGCACTGCCACAGCTCGTCGTGGATGGCGGGCGCGCCGCAGTTCAGGGCCAGCGCGTCCGCTATCTCCTGCGACTCGCCGGTGCGGTGGAGCACCGCCTCGCAGTTCTTGCGGCACTCCGCGCTAGCGGACTCCTGGCAACAGGGCAGGTCTGCCCGGGGAAGCCTGTGTTTGACTGTGGTAGGGCCACGCAGCAGCCTCGGCTGTTGCACCAATGAGCAGGCTCGTCCCGGTACCACGATCCCACAGAAGACCGGCGTAAATTCAGAGCCCCATTTTCAAAAGGTTGTCAACGCATCTGCAACCCTCGGGTTTAGCAGATGTGCATGGGCGGCGGTATTCACTTAAAATCAGGTGAACCGCCTGCTCGCTTGGCAACTTTTCACATAAAAAAAAGTCCGCCAATCCGCAGTGGGGCCGCGTGGTGGACTATGCTCTGATGCCAGAGAAACAGAGGAGGTGTTTGCCCAGCAGTGAGATATGTATAGGCTGATACATTTAGTAGAACTCTTGATCATTCAATAACTATCATCGACAACATGAAAATGCTGGATGACAGACAATTTTAAAAAAAAAGTTATTAATATGGTTAAAGGTAAATAATTTTTACGACATCAAAGAATTTTTTAATAACATTTAAAACTTGACATTATTTTAATTAATTTTAATTTTATTTTTTCTACTCTTTATTATAGATTATGACAATTAATTTAGAATTGACTGCAACTGTATTTTGTAAACTTTATATAAATAGTAAAGTGAAGTGGAATGATTGAAATGGGTAATATTTTGCATGCTATATAAAAATTAGCATAACATGTGGTACAACAGTATTATGATTTGTAACACCTTGCGAAACCATGTTATAAGCAAATAAATAAATAAAATAAACAAATAAATCATTGGTTAATTATACAGTGACGCGTATTCCATTGCCTCTGATGATAATAGTTGGAACATTAGAATAATATACTTAGAATATTATACTTAATGATAACGAGGCCATTGATCATTGAGAAGGTCATTCTCATCAATTCGGAGAGTTTAACCATACTTTTGGCAACTTAAATAACATTTGAAAAACCTTTTGACAGCTGATTAGTTAACTTCTACGGTGTTACAGAAACCGGGCGTTACTACTATTACCGGTGTTCGAGCAACTCACATTTGGAGGTGTCTGTGTGCACTGTGGACGCGGTGAGGTCGTAGAGGCAGCGCAGCAAAGCCGGCGAGCCCTCGCACACCTCGGCCGCGTGGTCGGTGAGCGATGAGTCGAACCTGCCCAGGCCCACGCGCCACACCACGCTCTCGCAGACCTCGTGGCAGCTGAGCGACACGGTCTGCGCTGCAAGCAGGCACCGCTTTTTACGCTGCATTTACGCAAACGACAGTTCTATAGACTAGAGGGTGGCAAACGAGCAGGTTCACCTTATGTTAAGTGATAACCGCCGCCCATTGACATTTGCAACACACCTAGAGTTGCAGACGCGTTGCCCCCTTTTAATATAGTGGGTATCTCACTCATTAGACGAAACGTAGAAGTCTAACACTTCCACTTCACGCCGGTCTTCTGTGAGGTCGTGGTGCTCAGTGACAGTGACAGCTGTTGCGTAACCTTACCACAGTTAAATGCCAGCCACTGACCTACAAACTCATTAGATACAGCACCAAATACATGCATTCAGTAGATACTCCAGTACAAAAACAATATAAAGTTAAAAAAATTGTGTACGTAAGCTTACAGATGTGTAAAAATCTATGACAGGCATTAAGTGCCGGAAAACTCTATATTTTAATTAGCATCGCAAAAGGTACCTTAAGGGGTATCTTCTACGTGAACCCTGGTTACTCACAGCAACACCACTGCGCCTCCTGCTGCCGCTGCACGCAGTCGAAGAAGGCGATCTCGTCGGAGCGACGGCACACCGGCGAGAGGGCGCGCGCGTCGCTGGCGGAGGCGCACGCGTGCCGACACTGCCCGCTGTGTGCTAAAGCGCAGCACGTCTTGCCCCACCATCCCGACCCGGAGACCACCTCTTTGCAAGGATAAATAGTAAATTAAAGCAAGTGTGAAGCAGCAGAGATGGTTGAGAGAGTCTAAACGAAACGAGACTATATCGTACAACTCCACTCACTTTTTTTTGCTTCTCAAAGAAACGTTACGTGTACAACACTGTCCTGTATTGCAGGAACGTTTTAAGTACAAAGTTAGATCATTGTCAGGCGAACAACTGTTTTATATTACGATTGTCGTACGTATTGTCCAGAGCGGCAATCGTAACACGTCAAATGTTGACGATTGTAAACACCCTGTACCATACTGGAGTTTCAGCTATACATAGGTGGCGACCATTTAGCATCAGCTGAACACTTCCATCTTTTCTTGTAAAAATTTTGATTTTTCAATTTCCATCTTTTCTTTTAAAACACTTGATAGTGTACAATAGAATCAAAGTAATACAAGTGCTTGAATTATCACTTACCTTGAATTGTCTGATTCATGCATATCCAGAACTCGATCTGTAAATGGAAATAATCTTACAGATAGCAAGTCCACGTTCTGTTTCGGAATACCCTTGCCTATCGAGGGGCGGTAACCCGATAACGCGGCCCGGTAACCCAAGACCGATGTAAAGGCATCCCCAATTACAATACAATGCCGATAGGCGGTTTATTGACGGATGAAGAAAAAGTACGCACGTCTTCGCGGCGAATGCGAGCTGAATGGGATGAATGCGAGGTATCGCCTTACCGGTTCCCTTCTGCGGAATAGAATTGTCCAAATCCACGGCAATTACCCGATTCGGCGGTTTTATTTACGGGAGAGCATAATGAGGGCCAGCGAACACTAGCACCGCAATTGTCCTTGAATGAATACCGACGTTATTAATATCCTTTCTGTATTAAAACTTCGTTTGCCCGACCTCAGAAGAGAGAAGCCATCGTCAACAAATCGCTCCCTCGCGCCAAGGATGATGCTCCGGAAATTTCAGTTTAAAATTAACGTGACAAAACCCGCAAAAATAGTTTCATGTTTTAGTTTACTAGTATAGACTAATACCATACTAATAACATACATTTTCGCACAGTGATCTCCTTGTCCATCAGAAAACGCAAGTTTTATTGTCGTGAGTTCGAACCCAAATACCGTTTAACTATGGTAGTAACTATGTATAGACGATTGATGATTTTGATACACGGTAAAACTCTTATGAGTTTATGTTTGTATCAGTTTAGTATATGTTTATAAACTGTATTTCTTATACAAATAAAATAAATAAATATTACATGCAAAAACCGTTGTCTCAAATTCGAGCCCTTTCGATTCCCAATGTATATGTAATTAACAATGTATAATATTCGCGTAAAAACAAGAAATTAATGTTTACCTATAATTCCTACCTAGTTATTTTATTAAACCGTTGTCAATTGCATTTAATATCTCCTTTTGTTTTCACAAACAAACAGTGCTGAACCACAGGACTTTATTTACTTTTTTTTGTTTTCTTTTACTGTACTTCAACTACGGATTCCAAACTAAGCTATTTCATGTTTTGGGCGACAAAAACCATATACATTTTTATTTACTTAAAGATAACTTTAACGTATTTTTTTCGTATTTTCTTGCGCATTGATAAATGAAGACGTATTTACGGAGTTTAATGTTACAACCTTCTTGATCGGGCAAAAAATAAGTTCACAAGAGGATTTTAACTTTAACTGATGTTTTGCCGGGGTCTATTAAAGCTTCATCGAACCGCAAAATAGTGAGTCAAAAACAGATACAAATGTAGTTAACTCGAGGGAGTTAACTATATCACTAACTTGAATTAGAACGTAAAACAATCTTGTCCCGTGACTAAAATAAATCTTTCCGTGATTTGAATCAATATGTATTTAAATATTACTTAATCCCCAAAAAAAAAGAAGTCGCTAATTTCAAATCTCACTGCATCTTATGTTAACTGGTAAGGAACTGTTCTTTGTATATTTATTCGGTCGCTTAGCTTATTTGAATGAAATTTACATAAGCTGTATACCTAATTCGCAACACACCATAAATATACATATTTCCGAGTGTATCATAAATATTAGCATATTCGCCCATTACAGCGTTACGTCGCAAAGGTTATATCATTACGAGCTTTTCACAAACAAAATTCCGCCCAGTCGTATATTTCAGCCTATAATCCCTTGTTGAAATTGAGGCGCAAAATATGGGCGACATATTTTTATTAAGGCAAACAAAGGGGGAAGCAAATTGACTATAAAGTAGGCGTTATTATCTTCGTAGAATTAAATTAAAAAATGGTACCTAAGAATTACATTTTCACAGCTCTATGCAGGCATATGAATCAAAACTCGTAAATCTAAAAATTACCTAATATTAATGAATATCGATAGGAACTCCTCAAAGCCTATAAGAGTTTAAGGTGTTTTATAATAAATTGATAGGTACACATTGTTCTTAAATACAAATATGATTAACACAACTAAAATAAAAAAGATTTTATTTATTTATACTATTTATCGAAATAGTAGGTAAGTTTGTATAAAGTTATTGAGACGGGAATTGAATGAAAATGAAATTAAATGATTAAGTTAATTTTATTAGTAGATTTAAGATTTTAGAAACAAAAATCGAGTGTAGGGACTATATTGTTGATTTGGACTTATAACTATATGAGGTACAGATATACTTTATATAGGTATACCATCCACTATATTTTTTATTTTCATTTCGAAAATATGGAAGTCCTGATAATTATTTCTAAGGTTTCTTTCCTTTCTTACAATCTCACTTAGATTCTGATCTCAGATCACAGGATTTGAATTTCAGCTAATTTTAGTTTTTTTAGATATTTTAACAACGAAGAGGAAAGAGACCTATAAACATCCAATTCACTTACCAAATCTGGCGTGCAGAATTTGTAGATATTTTGTATCCTTTCTTCGCGTATACTCGATCCAAGCGACATCTGAAAGAACAAAAATGATGTTATTTCTCAGCATCAAATAGAAAGTTTTCGTGATATATCTTATTTATTATAGTCTCAATTTTTTTCGTCTCACTCTATACTCATCAAAGAGTAACCTCACTTTGATGCGCTACAAGTGGCAACAAGCCGTAAATCATTTTATGACACACCCCTATAATTCTCCATATACTTTAAACATTTTTAAATAAAGCTCGTAAAAGACGACAGAAAATATAAACATCATTAAATTGTTTACTTTGTCCGGTGATTTATAGGGTCTCATCGTAGTCTTATCCAGATGGATAATAAAACCAAAGTGGTTTCTATCTACGTATTCTCGGCGTAATATAGTAGAATCTCTGTACTCGCGAGAGTATAGGGAAGTGCTAGGGTCGCTTTTTAAGGCGATTAAAACAAGATTTCGGGTTCACGAGTGGTCAGAGTTGGTGCTTGATTACCTACTACTCGTAGAACGAATCCAGGGAGGCCAGCAACATGAAGTAAGCCAATATTGCCGCAGCAGAAGGCGGGTACGGGAGCCGATACCTTTCCTTGCATGGATGAGTTCAGGCTCAGTGCAAAGGCACTGGTGCGTTTCACTGATAACCCCAAGTAGAGCAATAAAGGTATCCACGACATCGAGATATAATGTGCTTTAGGATATAATGCACTTACAACATATTATTTAATTTAATTAAAGTGGAATTTAATATTATATTTACTCCTAAGACAGTCAAACCTAAAAGCTCTGTAGTTTTCATTGAATGGGCAACAGTCGGAATTCATAATAGTAGACGTAGATTGTATGAACTTTATAGTGAAAGGACATACAATCATAGTCAATGTTTTGTTTTTTATGTTAGTGCCTACTCTAAAATATTTAAAAAAGCTTGTTATACTGCTAAATCTCTATATATTAGGAATAAAATAAAAAATGCACCTGATAGAATCAAAATGACTTGGAAAATAATTAATAGCGAAACGGGAAGAGTCACGAAGCGCAAATCTGACCTAATGTTAACTAATGATAATAATTCCATTCACTCAAATCAACAGACTGCTACTTTCTTCGAGAAATTTTTCGTTGACATTCCAGTTTCAACAACCAAGTCACTTCTTTCCTCACCGACAGTTGCTGAGTCATTACTAAAAAAGAATGTTATGGAATGTAAAGTCAACTTTAAATTTACTACTGTAAACAAGACAAAAATTGTTAAAACTTTTAAAACTTTAGATGTTAAAAGAACTGCAGATCTATGGGGGATCTCGGTTAAGGTTATCAGTTCTATTATTGATGTAATATCACCTTACCTAGCAACTATTTTTAATATTTGTATCAATCGTGGCGAATTTCCTGACCTTATGAAACATAGTAAAATCATTCCGGTGTTTAAATTAAATCTGGTAGTACTTCCGACCCCAATAATTTTAGACCTCTCTCTGTACTGCCAACTCTTAGTAAAATTTTTGAAAAAATCATGTTGAATCAAATGTTACAGCATTTTAGCTCTCATAATTTATTACATAACAAGCAATATGGGTTTACTAGGGGTCGCTCAACAACTGATGCGGGTGTTCAGCTCGTTATGAATATTTTTGAAGCCTGGGAAAAGTCGCAGGATGCCTTAGGAATATTCTGTGAATTAACCAAAGCTTTCGATTGTGTACAGCATGAGACCTTGGTCAGGAAACTACGCCACTATGGTATAAGAGATGCCGCACTCAATATTCTGAAATCGTACTTGAGCCATCGAATTCAGAAAGTTGACGTGAATGGCAAGAGATCTCCCGGGGCCTTGGTAAATATGGGGTCCCGCAGGGATCTATTCTTGGGCCTTTTCTCTTCCTCATTTACATAAATGATCTACCTTATCTTGTTAATAATAATCATGAGATAGTATTGTTTGCGGATGATACCTCTTTAATCTTTAAAGTAAACCGACGTTCTTTAAGTTATGACGATGTAAACAATACTCTATCTACTGTAGTACATTGGTTTAGTGCTAACAATTTACTGTTGAATAATAAAAAAAAACTAAATGTATTAAATTTACAACTTTCTCCAATGTTAAACATGTAAAAACTGATGTACTTTTATATGGGGAAGCGTTGGACCCTATTGACTCAACTGTATTCCTTGGCATAACTATTGGTGCCAAACTGCAATGGGGCCCCCATATTAATAGACTGGCGAGTAGACTTAGCTCAGCAGCTTTCGCGGTCAAAAAAATAAGACAGTTAACTGATGGTGAATGAAGAATCGTTAAGAAACTTGTTTAAAGAGATAAAGGTATTGACTGTTGCTGCTCAATACATTTTTGAAAATGTTTTGTATGTCCATAAAAATAAGGATAAATTTTTAAGACATAATAATGTTCATATATGATATAAATACTAGGAACAAAAATAAACTATAATATTACTACTATAATATTAATGATTATTTAAATGATAACACATCTGGTAATGAACTGATCGCTCCAGGCTCTTTCAATCGGAGTTCTTATATTGTATTTTAACGAATTTATGTCAAACTGCTTATTTAAAAAAAAAAAAGCCCGCTGAGTTTCTTTCGCCGGTTCTTCTCAGTACAGTGGCTTTCTTTTCCGAACCGGTGGTAGTGTTTTGACTATCAATAAGTGAGTAAAATGCTCCTATGTTGAATTTGATTTTGATTTTGATTAACATTTGATTTTGATTTTGATTTTGATACTATATCTCAATACCAATAAAAGGTATAGTTGAGGGGTCAGTTAGTTTCTTTCTTTCTTCTTTTAAAGTTATACTTCTTTTGACGCGTTTGGAAAAATTATGAGAGTAAAATTTTTACGATTCCCTCGCACACCGACCCTCAAAAGGGACATGATGCTCGGTAACCAATTTAACCTTGACAAGCAATAACAAAATTTTGACATTTATCAATAATTCCAAGTTATTTAAACAAACCCTTATCAATTGCATTTAATGTCTTCACGTTAACGAAGTATAAATTTTTACGTGCGTAGGTAAGTACATACATACCTTTTTTTATCTTTCTCTTTCTTTATTTCTTACCGAAAATAAATTAACGCTGTGGAACGTGTACAAATCATGGGAGCGCATGCGTTCTCGTTATTGTGCCACATTAGAATCAACTAATGAAATTAATTGATACGAAAACAACGTTCCCATTCTCGGGTGTCTTATTACTCGGCGCGGCTAAATTTGTGTTTCATTATGTGAGAGATCCTATAATTAACTCCGAACTTGTCACATGCTATTGGACGTGTTACAAATGCCTTATGTTTTTTGTTTCTTTCTGTGCGACAAATAAAACTTCATTTTTTTAAGTAATAGCATAAATACTTTAGCATAAAAAGCTGTGATTATTTGTTTTATGAATAACTCGAAATTTTTCAAAATGTACTGACAAAACTTTACGTGTAGAACCAATAATAACGTAACTTAGTATTCAGTTATTATTGATTTGTTATTTCTATTCCAGTTAACAACAATTTTGACAATAATTACAATAAAACAATATTCTTTCTTGTTTTGTACCCCGCGCACGTTAATTATTGACCCGAAAGCTAAAAATTTGATATCCTTCAGTACCTTTTAATTACCAAAAAGACTGAAGGAAATTTAATAATCCACCGAAAAGGTTAAAACACACATTTTCTAAAGATAACTCATTAACTTTATTAATAAACATTGTGTCCACTAACGGAAGTGTACGATTAAGTTGAATGAAATATTTAAGATTATGTCGTGATGACATTCTATATCGACAGATATTATAGCTTTATTTCAATTGAAACTTAATTTCATCTATTTACACAATTATCTAAGTTTACCACGTTGCTTTAATTACAATTTTTTTTTGTAAAAATTATATACTGACCGTCGATGGACTGCCATCCCACCTGATGTTAAGTGGCGAAGCAGCCGTTGAATCAATTGTTAATAAAAATTTGAATCATATCAATGGAGACAATATAATTTAAAAGTTTAGTAACGATACATTTCATTGTCGCTCTTTGTTCATCACGGGCTGTTATCTTTGTAAGTGTAAAAAAGGTTATCGTGTGCTACCGTTCCACATTCCGATAAGACGCTAAACACCAATATTGTTCTAACTCTTACGAAATATGACCCCATTATCGCTAACGATAACGCTTTTCCATGAAATTTCATTAATTATTTGATGGAAAACAAATAAAACTTATAATTATGTGCCTATCGTTGAGAGCTAAAACAGCAATTATGTTATTTCCATATCTTCTATTCATATGATAAAAATGTAACTGATGTCTGTAAATGCAAGATATTGAAGAAAAACTATTATTGGGGTCCAACGCAATACCCAAAACGATTGTTGTTAAATTTTTTGTCTGTTAGTCTCTGCGTTTGATTTGGGTGCAACTTTTACTAATGCATTGTAGTAAGCTTAACATTAAGTGTTACTTTTATTTATATCGGGTCATCAATAAAAAAGTTATATCAACTTAAAGAACCACATTGAAGATTAGTACGATAAAATGCTATATAAAAACTACAGTTGAATTGGATGAAACTATTGTTAACTATATATTATGGCCTGTAAAATAATGATGATTGTAAGTTTATATAAAGTTAAAAAAATTTGCCAAATGCGAGTCGGTCTCGCGCATTAAGGGTTCCTTTTCAAGCACGATATAAAATTTAAGATGGAGCCGCGGGCGAAAAGCTAGTAAAGGCTAGTAAAAAAAGGAAGTAACTTATACGTTCAGTACTTTGATTGAATACATGAAGAACTGACTAACTAAATCCAAGGTAAATAACGTAACGTAATAAACAGAACATGACCGTGTCCAACATTGCTTATATACAATTTCATAATATTAGCATACCATTCAAAGGTTTTCACGGTGGTAGGGCCATGCAGTAGCCTTGGCTGTTGCACGAATGGGCAGGCTCGTCCGGGCAAGTACCACGACCTTACAGAAGACCGGCGTAAAGTGGAAGTATAATACTTTTGC